TTTGTGTGGCCACCATCATTTTCCAGCACTGCCATAACCCTCTTGGGCATGGAGTTCACCAGAGCTTCACAGGTTGCCACTGGAGTCCTCTTCCACTCTTGCATGACGACATCACGGAGCTGGTGGATGTTAGAGACCTTGCACTCCTCCACCTTCCGTTTGAGGATGCCCCACAGATGCTCAATAGGGTTTAGGTCTGGAGACATGCTTGGCCAGTCCATCACCTTTACCCTCAGCTTCTTTAGCAAGGCAGTGGTCATCTTGGAGGTGTGTTTGGGGTCGTTATCATGTTGGAATACTGCCCTGCGGCCCAGTCTCCGAAGGGAGGGGATCATGCTCTGCTTCAGTATGTCACAGTACATGTTGGCATTCATGGTTCCCTCAATATACTGTAGCTCCCCAGTATATTGAGGGAACCATGAATGCCAACACTTGTCTTTGTACTCCTCACCTGGTTGCTGCCACACACGCTTGACACCATCTGAACCAAATACGTTTATCTTGGTCTCATCAGACCACAGGACATGGTTCCAGTAATCCATGTCCTTAGTCTGCTTGTCTTCAGAAAACTGTTTGCGGGCTTTCTTGTGCATCATCTTTAGAAGAGGCTTCCTTCTGGGACGACAGCCATGCAGACCAATTTGATGCAGTGTGCGGTGTATGGTCTGAGCACTGACAGGCTGACCCCCCACCCCTTCAACCTCTGCAGCAATGCTGGCAGCACTCATACGTCTATTTCCCTAAGACAACCTCTGGATATGACGCTGAGCACGTGCACTCAACTTCTTTGGTCGACCATGGCGAGGCCTGTTCTGAGTGGAACCTGTCCTGTTAAACCGCTGTATGGTCTTGGCCACCGTGCTGCAGCTCAGTTTCAGGGTCTTGGCAATCTTCTTATAGCCCAGGCCATCTTTATGTAGAGCAACAATTCTTTTTTTCAGATCCTCAGAGAGTTCTTTGCCATGAGGTGCCATGTTGAACTTCCAGTGACCAGTATGAGGGAGTGTGAGAGCGATGACACCAAATTTAACACACCTGCTCCCCATTCACACCTGAGACCTTGTAACACTAACGAGTCACATGACACCGGGAGGGAAAATGGCTAATTGGGCCCAATTTGGGTACTCACTTTTGTTGCCAGCGGTTTAGACATTAATGGCTGTGTGTTGAGTTATTTTGAGGGGACAGCAAATTTACACTGTTATACAAGCTGTACACTCACTACTTTACATTGTAGCAAAGTGTCATTTCTTCAGTGTTGTCACATGAAAAGATATACTCAAATATTTACAAAAATGTGAGGGGTGTACTCAATTTTGTAAGATACTGTACATGTGTGCAACGTGCACAACAGACACGCGTGGAACACACACACACGTGCGCCACACCATAAAAGTTAAGGCCACCCTGGTACCTTCGAGAAGGTAACCGTTTTAATCTGAATCAGCAACTGAAGGGAGGTGTTGCTATTGTCTTTTTAGCACATTATAGAAATACACTAAACTATTTCTCCTACTGTACACTCCGGTCCACACTGACCTAGCTGGAGATACAGTCATAGTGACATTTCCTAGTCCAGGGATCATCAACTATATTCAGCTGCAGGCCAATTTTTTCTTGAGCAGATGGCCGGAACATAATAAAACAAATATATATTTAGACTGCAAATTGACTGCAAGAAGCCTAAACATATATCATATTTGACTAAAATACTAAACATAATTTAAAACCTTGATTACATTTGGGAACATTGTCCTGCGTAGGGTGCCGTCTTTCGAATGGGACGTTAAAACAGGTGTCCTGACTCTCTGAGTACCTCAGTTGGTAGAAAAGTGCTATATAAATCCAATAAATTATAATAAATTATAATTATTTGTTTAAGATCACATACACCAAAAGTATGTGGACACATCTCATTCCAAAATCATGGGCATTAATATGTTGTGTATGTCTCTCTATTATGCGTGGGAATACTTGGGAACAGATTTCCAAAATTAAAATCACTTTCCTGGTGTTTTTACAGTCTTTTATGTCACTATACATGGGGAGAACAGTATTTGATACACTGCCGATTTGCAGGTTTCCTACGCAAGCATGTAGAGGTCTGTCTTTTATCATAGGTCACTTCAACTGTGAGAGACGAATCTAAAACTCCAAATCCATGTAGATTTTTAAGTAATTCATTTGCTTTTTGCATGACATAAGTATTTATCATCAAAAAACTTAATTTTGGTTCAAACCTTTTTGCAGTACAGACGATCATTCGTTCCTGTAGGCACCAGTTGCACACTGCAGCAGGATCTTCCCCACTATTATAGCGTCCGATCCAGTTTCTGTCCTGGGCATACTGGTTAGTGAGTGTTGCAACCGAGGACAGACGATTTTCACCATTGGTGGTCCCGTTCTGTGAGCTTGTGTGGCCTACCAACTTTGCGGCTGAGCCGTTTTTTTGCTCCTAGATTTCCACTTCACAATAACAGCACTTACAGTTGACGGGGGGGCAGCTCTAGCATGGCAGAAAAAAATTTGACAAACGACTTGCTGGAAAGGTGGATCCTATGATGGTGCCACTTTGGGAATGTCACTGAGCTCTTCAGTACGGGCCATTCTACTGCCAATGTTTGTCTATGGAGATTGCATGGCTGTGTGCTTGATTTATACACATGTCAGCAACGGGTGTGGCTGAAATAGCCGAATCCACTAATTTGAAGGGTTGTCCATATACCTTTGGCCATCTTGTGTAGTCTCTTTATTATGCGTGGGAATACTTGGGAAAGATTTCCAAAATTAAAATCACTTGGAGCTGATTTCCTGGTGTTTTTTACAGTCTTTTATGTCCAAAACTATATATATTTTTACAAAAAACACATACAGTGGGGAAAAAAAGTATTAGTCAGCCACCAATTGTGCAAGTTCTCCCACTTAAAAAGATGAGAGAGGCCATGAATTTTCTCATAGGTACACGTCAACTATGACAGACAAATTGAGATTTTTTTTCTCCAGAAAATCTCATGTAGGATTTTTTATGAATTTATTTGCAAATTATGGTGGAAAAAGTATTTGATCACCTACAAACAGCAAATTTCTGGCTTCACAGACCTGTAACTCTTCTTAGAGGCTCTCTTTTCAGTCACTGTATATGGACTGTTTGAATGTAGATACATTAAACACCTGTCCCATCAACAGCACCTAAACTCCTTGCAAACCAAAGAGTCAAAGGACACCGGAAAAAATGTATGGCCACAGTTGGGTATCATTGTTGCAGCTGGTTTAGAAATAATTGGGCTGTGAGTATTTTAGGGGAAGAATACATGTTATACAAGCTGTACACTCACTTTACATTGTAGGGCAACAGGTCATTTCTTCAGTGTTGTCACAATGAAAAGAATACCAAATATTACAAAAATGTGAGGGGTGTGACTCAATTTTGTAAATATGTACCATGTGTGACAACACGCGCACAAGACACGTGAACACACACAGACGTGGCCCACGCATAACAGTTAAGGCCACCCTGGACATTGCGAGAGGCAACGTTTAATCTGAATCAGCAACTGAAGGGAGGTGTTGTCTATTGTCTTTTTAGCAATATAAAAACACTAAACTTTTCCTACTGGACAAGTACCGAGTCCACAACGAACCTACTGGTGATACAGTCATAGTGACATTTCTCAGTCCAGGGATCATAAGAACATATTAGGCAGGCCATTTTGTTTTGAGTAGAATGGCCGGAACATAATAAACAAAGTGATATTTAGACTGCAAATTGACGGCAAGAAGCCTAAACATATATCAAGTTGACTAACATCTAAACATACCCATTTAAAACTTGATTACAGTTTGGGGAATATTTGTTTTTTTTTAGACAGGGTGTCAGACTATCTGAACCTCATTTAGAAAATTGGCCAAATTTTGTTTAAACCCATACACCAAGTAGGTCTACAAATCTGATCCAAAATCTTTGGTATTGGCATTGTGGAGAGGTCTCTCGTTATGATGAGGTTGGACAGGTTTTTTACAACAATAACCCTGTAACTGGTATAAAGGTTTCTTAAAAAACCTAAATCTCACTATTATGTGGAGGGAATACTTGGGAACAGGATATAATATTTATGTTTTTTTTATCAGAAAACTTGAGGGGCCAAATAAAACCACCGGCCCCCAGTTGGGGAACCCTGTCCTAAGCCATGATCCTAAAGTTGGAAAATACAAAAATAGCCAAAAAGCAGTAGCTTAGTCTAATTCATTTTACAAACTTAATTGCAAGAACATCACAAGAGTCACATCAGCAGCATTTTCTAAGAACTTGTGGGGTTTACACAAGCTATGACAGCTCCTAATTCACCACAGGCAACCAGCCAGCAAGGGCTTTGTTCTAAGTCCAAGGGAAGGGGAGTGCAATGAGGAAAAACAACGAATGAATAGACGTCCTGTGTGTTAGTGAGACACATCCATCCATCCCCTTCTACAACTCCCAGACGTTTACCAGGGCAAACCTACTCACAGCCTGCACTCATTCTGGCCCAGCCATGCATCTGGGTGACAGCACCAGTGGGGAGTAGGAAGGGGAGAATTCCCCAATCTTCCCCCCAAACCCTTAACCCGTCCACTGCCCTGAGAAAAAGGCCTAGGCCTACATGCTCTGCTGCATGGACAAAGCACCTCAAAGGGAAGCACCAAGGACATGTTCATCCTCCTAGTTCTAAAGGAGCCCTGCTGAGGGGAGTCTTTAGCAGTTTGTAGTTTGCATAACAATTCACTGGCCACTAAAGGGCATAGAAAAACTATGGCGCTGTGCGGGAATAAGAACACATGAAACTTTAAGATAGTAGAATAATAAAGAACTGGATGGGAAATCCTTAGTTTGATATTAGTTAGAGAAAACCATCCAAGTGTGTAACATGCATCAAACACTCACTGGTTTAAGCCAATAGAAATACAGGATTCCTCACTCCCCTATAAAATGATGAAGAGCCTAATGTTTGGAAACCTATCACCATGGAAACCACCAGTATACAGTACACAAACATCACCTCTATCTTATTACAGATCAAGTCAGGAGGAGGGCGGGCCGTCTGACAGGAACAAAACTTTATTGAGTGACTCTCAGTCAAGACAGATATGAGAACAGAAGCTCCCAGTGCCACCCAGGTTTCTTTGATCTCATCCCCTGGGGTCTGGAATGGGGTCAGGTCATGGAGCTCAGAAACGACTTCTCCTTTGAAGAAAGAAGAAGAAAAACCACTGTCCAGTCAAAAGGACAGGATCATATTGAAGGCCACACGGTAGCAAAACAGAAAACGAAAATGAGTGTGTTTTATATTGGACAAGTTCAGGTAGTCTCTACCTGTTTCAGTCAGTTTTCTTCTGTTTGGTGCCTGACGAATACGAACCATGAGAGACAGTCCATGTATACATGTATGAATTCCCACAGAGTTAGTCATGTCTACATGAATTCCCACAGAATAATGTAGGTGGTAATCAATACCTCTCTACAGACTGTAAACCAGGGAGCATCTGGAATCCTTCCCTGGCTGCAAGTACACACTCGCCCCCTTGAAACCCCCTGGGACCAAGGTGCAGACGGTGCCTGTGTGTGTGTGTGTCCCGTGTGTGTTCCAGACCTAACGGTAGAGTGACGCCAGACATCTTTTAAACTTTTGCTGAACATATCATTTGATCTCCACCACTTGCTTAGAACCATATGACGTGTGCATGTAATCTTTTCCTGTAATGCATTCCATGTGTCTCACAACAGCAAGGCTGACAGTGTGTCTATGTATGTGTTTCTGTGTATCTGTGTGTGTGTTCCAGCCTTCCAGGTGTCTCAGTCCCAACATCAAGGCCTACCTTTGTGGTGGTGGTTGAACAGTCCTTCCATCTCCATACTGGAGCGGGAGTGAGCGATGCAGAGCATGGCACAGGGCACTATGCCCTCCTGGGCAGGGGAGCGGTCTGTGGTCCTCACCAGGCACCAGTCCGGCTTGTCATGGAGCCTCTCCAGGACCTCCACCGTCTGACCCCTCCGTACAGTCAGCTCAGAGCTGCTGCCATTACCAGCAACAAAGTCATGGATGACCACGGTCAGCTCACAGCCACCAGAGAGCTGGAGAGAGGGAGGGACGGAGAGGGAGAGAGAAACAGAGGGAGGGAGAGAGAGAGGGATCAAGGGAGAGAGAGTATGTCAGTTTTACATAAACATACAATAGCCCCATTACATTACATAAAGGAATAGTTTGAGGTTATGAAGAAACAGCTTGAATGTATTGATGTTTAGGAGCAGTACCATAATGAGCGTGTGAATTATAACTACATGTCATTAAATGGCGAGGTTCTTAGGTACTAATCAGCAATAGCGAGTCTATTATTAGCATGTCAACAACGGAGTTCATATATGGGTTTGGAAGTCCCCAAGTCCCCCTGAGAACTGCTGATTTACCACTTGTCAGTCATTCCGTTTCCGCAGACCCAGTCTCAGTCACAAGGCCAGAGTAAGAGCTTATTCTGATGGCCATTAGAGCAGTCGCTCAGCACAGTGCCGGCTCCAAACCAACCACATACTGTAGCTCCACTGTATTGTGTCATTCTGGTGAGTCACTCATCTCACATTCAGATGCCTCAATATGACTCAAGAAACGCTCTGACTTTCTAAAGCAGTAGATGCAGGGGGAAAAATGTCCATTAAACTGCCATATATGCCATTAAAATATACATTGACGATGATGGGCACATCAGTGACGTTTCAAACAGGGAAATCATGACTGTATGCACACATGACTGTAAGTCGCTTTGGATAAAAGCGTCTGCTAAATGGCATATTATTATTATATTATATTATTATAAATCAGTTGCAGGAGGATGACGATCACCCTCGGCAGTTCCACACTGACAACATATTCTTCAAAAGTCTATCAAATCAAACCAATTACAGACTCCAACCAACATCCAACCCACACGGCTAGTTAGTAAGTGCTAGAGATCCATACATACCCATTGGTAGTGAGGCAAAGCCAGCGAGTTCAAGAGCTGAGCCACCGGACCTGAGTTTTTATTATCTTCCATGATTCGGTCCTCTGTCCTCTTCTCCTTCATACTCTGATGCTACTGACGCTGAATCTAATCCATCCACCCGACACAAGGTTAACTTAACACTGAACCACACTGACCTGAGGTAACACGCACGTCCCACCTACTCTCATATCCCTCCGCCCGACGGCCCTACGATGGTATCTAGGTACTATATACCAGAGCCAAAGCACTCCATTCCTTGTCTACTGTACCAGCTGTGCCTTCTCTAAGGAGAGGCTGGAGATATGACACTGACACAGAGAGTGGTACAGTTAGTGGGAGGCTGACACACTCGTTGACGCGTCGCCGACACACAACTCCGCTCTGTCATTGCATCTCACAGCTCTCACAACACGAGGCGAAGAGGCAGAGAGCGAGAGAAAGAAAGACAAAGAGAGAGAGGCAGAGAAAGAGAGGGAGAGAGAGAAAGAGAGAGAGAGAGAAAGAGAGAGAGAGAGAGAGTTGACTGTGAGTGATTGTGCCCTGCATTAAAGGAGCCACGGCCCATTAGTGTACATGAGAGGACACAAGGACTCTCCCTCCTCACCTCTCCGTGACCTTGACTGACCCTCTCTGTGTTGTTTTGTGTACCCTGACAGAACCAGAGCTACACTGTGTCAGGAAGGACACTTACAGAAAGGGACATACTATGCATGCGCTCCAAATGACACCATATTCATTTTGCAGGGCATTCTTTTTTACCAGGACTGCACTATAAAGGGAATAGGGTAGCATTTGGTACTCAACCAATGTGGCTAAGTCAATTTGAACCTAATTTCTTCAATTAGGAGCATAGCTGTATAGAGCAGAATAACTGCATGTCCAGCTTTGGCAGGGAAGCATGGTCCCTACAGAGGTGGCGTGTTTGTGTGAGAGAATATAGCTCTGACTGTGAGTAGGAGTGATATCCTTCTGTGCTGTTATTGCCTGATAAAATCACACTATCTGTTCCTTCCTGAAGAAGAGCCATGTTTTTCATGTTCATCTCTGAGATGGAAAGGAAAAGTCTAACGAAAGGTTGGTTTTCAAACAGTCAATTTTCAGACAACAGGTTCACAGGAAGCCAGTCCAAATTAAAATCATGTCTTGAAATACTAATTTCCCATTTACTTGTCTGGTGGCTGCCTCTCCTAAAAAGCAGTGTGAGCTGGATTTAGAGGATACAGTTGGAAATGCTGTTGAAAAGACTGCTCTAGTCTAACGTGTCAAATGATACTGTGAAGACATCCGCTGTTCCACAACAGAGACCAACAGCCATCGTTGGTGAAGCCCCAAACTGCAGGGATTTTAGCAGCAGACCATTGTCTTACATCAGAGTTGGCAACGTGTCGTGTTTGAATGACGTAGCTGTAGGAAGGCAATGGGCAGCATATGATGACTCACCTTGTCGCTGTCCAGTGTGTTCTGAGAGGTACGGGAGGCGATAGAGATGGTGTCTGGCTGACTGCTGGCATCACCCTGGCTGTCCAGGTCCTCTCCATGACTACAGAGGGACAAGAAGAAGACATGTCGATCAAGATAGGGCGGAGCAGCTCTCACAATCATATAATGTTGGGGCACTTTAACGTTAGGTTGTGCTGCGGTATTGACAGAACAATAACTGTAATGTATAAACCCAATGTGCCAATGCAGTCGGCCTTGTATGGTCTGTAAGAAAGGCTGAGAGAAGTGATGGGGTTGATCCAAGGTGGAGTACTGTACTGTACCTTCTGCCCTTGTGTTTGACTGTGGTGGTCTTGGGGATGTGGATGGGCTCCTTCAGGGCTCCTCTCAGGTGGATGGTACGCTCCTGGATTACCTCCCGGATGTGTTTGATCCATTCCTGCTTGTTCTCTATGCTGGACGCCTGAGGGGACAGATGGATGGACGGTCAAGACAGACTGGCGGGCAGAAGGATCTCAGTCCACACATTCCCAATATTTCTACACTATCTAGGATACAACACTGACTCTACGCTCTGAGCTGTTCAGTCAATACAGCCAACCCCGATGCCTTAATTGATGTGTTCACTGAGTCACAGCAATTATCCCAATGCTTACTATTTTTACCAGAGTACATCGACAGAACACACAAAGGACATTTCATCATGTTCCTGTCATTCAGTAAGACCATTTCAATCGATTACAGTATGTTTCGCAATTGAGGAATTCTCATGCTGGCATCTTAACTTCAGTCATTTCCGAGGAGACATTTAAAGGGCCCTTCAGTGCTGTGTGAATGTTGTGAATGCGTGGACACATATTAGCATATGACTCACACTGTACTCATGTATTCATAGGAACTTTGCAACAATAATCAAGAGTATGCTGCTGTTACATAACGGACAGATTAAGATGGTCAGTCTGCCATTATATAATGTGTATAATATATACAGTGCCTTCGGAAAGTATTCAGACCCCTTGACTTTTTCCACATTTTGTTACTTTACAGCCTTATTCTAAAATGTATTTAATAGTTTTTCCCCCTGATCAATCTTCACACAATACCCTATAATGACAAAGCAAAAACAGGTTTTTAGAAATGTTTGCTAATTTATAAAAAATAAAAAACTGAAATATCACATTTACATAAGTATTCAGACCCTTTCCTCAGTACTTTGTTGAAGCACCTTTGGCAGCGATTACAGAATCAAGTCTTCTTGGGTATGATGCTACATGCTTGGCACACCTGTATTTGGAGAGTTTCTCCCATTCTTCTCTGCAGATCCTCTCAAGCTCTGTCAGGTTGGATGGGGAGCGTTGCTGCACAGCTATTTTCAGGTCTCTCCAGAGATGTTCGATCGGGATCAAGTCCGGGCTCTGGCTGTGCCACTCAAGGACATTCAGAGACTTGTCCCGAAGCCACTCCTGTGTTGTCTTGCCTGTGTGCTTAGGGTCGTTGTCCTGTTGGAAGGTGAACCTTCGCCCCAGTCTGAGGTCCTGAGCGCTCTGGAGCAGGTTTTCATCAAGGATCTCTCTGTACTTTGCTCCGTTCATCTTTGCCTCGATCCTGACTAGTCTCCCAGTCCCTGCCGCTGAAAAACATATCCACAGCATGATGCTGCCACCACCATGCTTCACCGTAAGGATGGTGCCAGGTTTCCTCCAGACGTGGCGCTTGGCATTCAGGCCAAAGAGTTCAATTTTGGTTTCACCATACCAGAGAATCTTGTTTCTCATGGTCTGAAACACTTTAGGGGCCTTTTGGCTAACCCCATGCGGGCTGCCATGTGCCTTTTACTGAGGAGTGGCTTCCATCTGGCCACTCTACCAAAAAAGCCCTGATTGGTGGAGTGCTGCAGAGATGGTTGTCCTTCTGGAAGGTTCTCCCATCTCCACAGAGGAACTCTAGAGCTCTGTCAGAGTGACCATCAGGTTCTTGGTCACCTCCCTGACCAAGGCCCTTCTCCCCCGATTGCTCAGTTTGGCCGGGCGGCCAGCTCTAGGAAGAGTCTTGGTGGTTCCAAACATCTTCCATTTGAATGATGGAGGCCACTGTGTTCTTGGGGACCTTCAATGCTGTAGAAATGTTTTGGTACCCTTCCCCAGATCTGTGCCTCGAAACAATCCTCTCGGAGCTCTACGGACAATTCCTTCAACCTCATGGCTTGGTTTTTGCTCTGACATGCACTGTCAACTGTGGGACCTTATATAGACAGGTGTGTGCCTTTCCAAATCATGTCCAATCAATTGAATTTACCACAGGTGGACTCCAAACAAGTTGTAGAAACATCTCAAGGATGATCAATGGAAACAGGATGCACCTGAGCTCAATTTCGAGTCTCATAGCGCAAAGGGTCTGAATACTTATGTAAATAAGGTATTTATGTTTTTTATTTTTAATAAATTAGCAAAAATGTCTAAAAACCTGTTTTTTTTCACTTTGTCATTATGGGGTATTGTGTGGAGATTGCTTAAATTATTTAATCCATTTTAGAATAAGGCTGTAATGTAACAAAATGTGGAAAAAGTCAAGGGGTCTGAATACTTTCCGAAGGCACTGTCCATAGCATGTATGTGTTTGTGTGTGCCGTGACTCACAACGCATCAACACGCAGATATGTCTCTAAGTGCATGAACTGTTATGCAAATCTTTAAACTTGAACACGTAGGCCTGGTAACGCCCAATCAAAGAAATACGTTTTGGACGGAATTGTAGGAGTACATTTAGTGGTCATCAAATCTTAGTGGGTTGAACTTAAATATTTCAAACACACAGTAACGCCCACTTAAGGAAATACGTTTTGGGCAAAAGTGGGAGTACTGTAAATACATAATTATTAATTGTCATTGTGCTTGATTGTTTGCTGGGTTACTGTTAAGTCATAATGTATAAGTTACCTTCAGCACGATCTTGTTGTCTGAGCTGGGGGTCCTCCCAACCCAGAGAGCAAACTTACACGGATCCCCCTCCACGTGCTCTGTGACACCCAGCTCTGAAGTCTTAGGTGCAGAGACAACACGAAAACAGAGTTAGAGAAAGAACAGGAGAGGAAGAGAGTATACATGGTTGATAAAAAAGTATTGACTAGAGATCCGCATGGGCAACTCTTTTGCGTAAATCATTAATTGATGTGAATGGGAGACTTTAATTTAAGTTAAGCGTGCAGATCTCAAGCCTGAGTTCCAGCCATTGTGATGAGAGAGTGGACAGGTTGTGCTTACAAAGAGCTTGCTCTTGTAGAGGTACTTGTTGCGTCCGTTTGAGTCCTTGACCTCCTTGCTGAAGACCAGGGACATCTCAAATAGGAAGAGGTGGCGCTCGCGTCCCTTTCGGATCAGAGTCTTGGGATCCCACACCTGGAAGGACTCCTGCAGGATCAGCTCTCCTTGGGAGTCAATATTCCCATCGAACCCTGGAGGGGGGAAGAGGAGGAGGAAGAGAGGGGACTGTCAAAGTTACGTGATTCAAATAATAATTTCTAAACCTATATTCCTTGAAAGCTTCCTATGAGTTAGCCCTGCTCCACTAGGAGCTAAAATGGAATGACCAGTAAGTCAAGGCCTTGTCCTCCTACCACAGATAAAAGGGGAAACCCTTAGTTAGGTCAAAGTATATTTGCTCCTACCGTCCATCATGCTGAGGTGCATGGCGTCGTTGGCTCTCTTGGGGACACTGAGCATCACCTCCAGACCATCCTTGATCTCCCCCTTCCCCTCCTCACAGCACGTCAGCAGCTCCTGAAGAGGAAACGCACACACACACACACACACACACACACACACACACACACACAGAGAGAGAGAGAAACAAACACAAAACTTCAGTTGCATTTCACAAACCTCAAAGTCCAACGAAAGATAAAGGCTGTAATGGATTGTGTTCCACGCAGGATGCAGTTTAGCTTCCAACGCTGTAGCTTTGTTGACGACTAGCGATGTGTTCTACAATAGAGAAGATCATTATACAAGCTAGACTACAGAGGGTGAGAGAACAAAGGGTGCACCAGAACGTCTTGTGTTGTATGCTACATACTTATTACAGAGAGTCGTCTAGTGACTGTTTCTATTTGGCCAGCGTACAGTACCTTGAGAAGCAGCTGATACTTGGTTATTCTCTGGACAGGCTTGATGAGGTATGAGGATATGGAGTTGGCCAGCCGGTGCCTCTGTTGAATTTCCTGGAAACCAAAAGACACAGACGTCTTAAAGGGCACAGAGATGCCGAGGCAGCAGTCGCCAGTGTAATCCTGCTCCTAGACCTAGACAGACAGCACTGATGGAGAATGGAGATACCTCTCTCCTCAGAGCTGGAGGTCACTGACAGCAACCTAAGGTCAATGTTCTGTGAGTAGGCATCATCTACCCCTTTTCCTCCCTCCCTCCTGTACTACCACCACAACTCCTGTTTAGATCAGCGTCACTGCCAAACACCCAGGAATCACCCGGATAAGCCAGATTTGGAGGCTACCGTCATAACTGATACAGTGGGGAGAACAAGTATTTGATACACTGCCGATTTTGCAGGTTTTCCTACTTACAAAGCATGTAGAGGTCTGTCATTTTTATCATAGGTACACTTCAACTGTGAGAGATGGAATCTAAAACAAAAATCCAGAAAATCACATTGTATGATTTTTAAGTAATTAATTTGCATTTTATTGCATGACATAAGTATTTGATCACCTACCAACCAGTAAGAATTCCGGCTCTCACAGACCTGTTAGTTTTTCTTTAAGAAGCCCTCCTGTTCTCCACTCATTACCTGTATTAACTGCACCTGTTTGAACTCGTTACCTGTATAAAAGACACCTGTCCACACACTCAATCAAACAGACTCCAACCTCTCCACAATGGCCAAGACCAGAGAGCTGTGTAAGGACATCAGGGATAAAATTGTAGACCTGCACAAGGCTGGGATGGGCTACAGGACAATAGGCAAGCAGCTTGGTGAGAAGGCAACAACTGTTGGCGCAATTATTAGAAAATGGAAGAAGTTCAAGATGATGGTCAATCACCCTCGGTCTGGGGCTCCATGCAAGATCTCACCTCGTGGAGCATCAATGATCATGAGGAAGGTGAGGGATCAGCCCAGAACTACATGGCAGGACCTGGTCAATGACCTGAAGAGAGCTGGGACCACAGTCTCGAAGAAAACCATTAGTAACACACTACGCCGTCATGGATTAAAATCCTGCAGCGCACGCAAGGTCCCCCTGCTCAAGCCAGCGCATGTCCAGGCCCGTCTGAAGTTTGCCAATGACCATCTGGATGATCCAGAGGAGGAATGGGACAAGGTCATGTGGTCTGATGAGACAAAAATATAGCTTTTTGGTCTAAACTCCACTCGCCGTGTTTGGAGGAAGAAGAAGGATGAGTACAACCCCAAGAACACCATCCCAACCGTGAAGCATGGAGGTGGAAACATCATTCTTTGGGGATGCTTTTCTGCAAAGGGGACAGGACGACTGCACTGTATTGAGGGGAGGATGGATGGGGCCATGTATCGCGAGATCTTGGCCAACAACCTCCTTCCCTCAGTAAGAGCATTGAAGATGGGTCGTGGCTGGGTCTTCCAGCATGACAATGACCCAAAACACACAGCCAGGGCAACTAAGGAGTGGCTCCGTAAGAAGCATCTCAAGGTCCTAGAGTGGCCTAGCCAGTCTCCAGCCCCGAAACCTGAAGGATCTGGAGAAGGTCTGTATGGAGGAGTGGGCCAAAATCCCTGCTGCAGTGTGTGCAAACCTGGTCAAGACCTACAGGAAACGTATGATCTCTGTAATTGCAAACAAAGGTTTCTGTACCAAATATTAAGTTCTGCTTTTCTGATGTATCAAATACTTATGTCATGCAATAAAATGCAAATTATTTACTTAAAAATCATACAATGTGATTTTCTGGATTTTTGTTTTAGATTCCGTCTCTCACAGTAAGTGTACCTATGTTAAAAATTACAAGACCTCTATTGCTTTGTAAGTAGGAAAACCTGCAAAATCGGCAGTGTATGAAATACTTGTTCCCCCACTGTATATCAGCATAATATTGCTTCCTTGCATTTATTCAAAACTATTTGCATAAACAGTACTTGAAAGGATCTGATTCAAAAGACCACATAATAAGACCTTGCAGAATTTGATTAGTGGTTCAACATTCGTTGTATTAAGTATTTATAGCATGCCTAAGTTGGTACTTATCTTCACGTACATCAAAATAGGGCCCTGCATGCTCCAGAATGAGCTGGGTAGAGTCTGGTTTGTTCTTGCAGTAGTTCACATACATCTGGAACTTATCTGCCTGCAAAATGGACACACAAATGTCAAGAGACACAATATTCCCACAACATCTCAGCCATGTCAAACCTTGTTGTAACAATATGTCAGTGTTGTAAGCTGGATTGTCCAGACGTGAGACACTCACCCAGGTGACAAAGCAATGACCCACATCCTCAGGTAGCTGTTCGTATTTCTCCAACTCCTTCAGGAAGATGCTGTACAGAAAGGGAGAGAGTTTCAGAGGAAATCTCAAATCAGGGTCGTATTCACTAGGAACCGAACAGAACTAAACGGGGCGAAACAAGGAGGGACTACCTGACCTTGTCCAATAAGAAACGCTTGTACTAATGAATAGGACCCAGGTTGAGTTACTATAGACCAGTGATATTCATAAAGGGCCTTAGGTTGATTGAACCACTCCAGTGCATCTAGAAGGCAATGGGAGTCCCTTGTGGGTAACTCCAGTACAGAACACTAACTTGTGGTGGAACTCGTAGAGGTCCAGCATGTTGCCAAATATGATGTGCTCTTTGTTGACGATGCCTGGAGGGATCTCCTCCACACCGCTGGTCATCTCCCACAGGTAGGTCTGGAAACCACACAGAGAACAACACAACGTCTTTACCTGCTTGTAATCCTGACATCTGACATTTCTACAACCAGAAAACCACCAGATGACAAACTAAAACTAAACCAGATCAATCAACCATACCTTTTGCATTGCCCTTGGGCCTTGGCTTACATTATGTTTTCCTTTCAAAAAATCGATCCCTTGGGGGTCACTGTATAGAGTCTGTCAGTAAAAAGAGTGTGAATGTGTTACAGGTTGAATGGAGTGGCGGTTTCTCAGTACTTACATCTGTACACTCCCGCAGGTCTCTGACGTAGGCCTTCTCTGTCTGAATGAGCTCTGCCATTATGAACCTGGAAAAAAAAACATTCAACGTGTGGGAACTGCAGCAGAGAGAGAGAGAGAGAGAGAGAGAGAGAGAGAGAGAGAGACTGGCTTTTGTTTGGGTCTGTTTTGTGTGGGTCAGGGACATAGACAAATGTCACGTGACACAGCAGTGGTTCCCAAACTGTGATCTTTTCGGGGGAAAGGAAAAGGTTGGGAACCACTGATATAGTCTATGTCCCAAATTGTTCTGGTCAAAAGAAGTGCACTATATAGAAAACGGGGTGCCATTTGGGGCGCAGCATACAGTAAAACCACCCAAAAATAAATATGTTTTATTGCCACATACACCAGATAGGTGCCGTAAAATTTGTTGTTTTACACAGTCAGTCATAGTAGTACGGTGCCCCCGCCTTGCTCAAGGGCACATCAACTTTTCACCTTGTCGGTTCGGGTATTCAAACCAGCAACCTTTCGGTTACTGGCCCAATGCTCTAACCGCTAGGCTACCTGCCGCCCTTAAAGGTGATAAAGGGGAAAAGGGACTAGAATGAAAATGCTCTAGCTGCTATGCAGTTTGAGGTGATAGTATGACCTTATTTTCATGGTGATAGTACGACCTTATTTTCATGGTGATAGTACGACCTTATTTTCATGGTGATAGTATGACCTTATTTTCATGGTGATAGTACGACCTTATTTTCATGGTGATAGTACGACCTTATTTTCATGGTGATAGTATGACCTTATTTTCATGGTGATAGTACGACCTTATTTTCATGGTGATAGTATGACCTTATTTTCATGGTGATAGTATGACCTTATTTTCATGGTGATAGTATGACCTTATTTTCATGGTGATAGTACGACCTTATTTTCATGGTGATAGTATGACCTTATTTTCATGGTGATAGTAGGACCTTATTTTCATGGTGATAGTATGACCTTATTTTCATGGTGATAGTATGACCCTTATTTTCATGGTGATAGTATGACCTTATTTTCATGGTGATAGTATGACCTTATTTTCATGGTGATAGTATGACCTTATTTTCATGGTGATAGTATGACCTTATTTTCATGGTGATAGTATGACCTTATTTTCATGGTGATAGTATGACCTTATTTTCATGGTGATAGTATGACTTATTTTCATGGTGATAGTATGACCTTATTTTCATTTCAATTTTGCATGGCCTAAATGTATAACTCTTACACATAGCAACATCATCACATAGTCCCAAAAGGAAAGGGCTACTAAACTAAAAGTGGCTCCGACTTTTTCGACGGCCTCATTATTTCAATAACCTTCCAGTGGCTCTGCCTTTAAAGTTAGATACAGTATGTCATTATTTTTGTAAATAAATTTTTAATGTTCATTATCAGATTTAATGAACATATCTTCAATTAAATAAATGGTAAGTGTTAAAAAAATACTACAATGAATTACTGCAGTATGAAGAGGTTAAACATTTAGGTAATCCTGTGCAAACCTTCCTGTCTGGTATTCCCAACAGCCAGTGCTTTCAATGAGTTACAATTATGCTTCTCGACCAAACTGTGTAACCACTGTGTATGTGAATGCTTACTCTTTCCTCCTGGCAGACTTCCTCTTCTCCTCGTTGAGTTCGTGGGCAGCATCCCTCAGCTTGACCTCTGACCCTGGGAACGCTGGCGGGGATGATGTCCAGCTGCAGCCCTTTACTCTGTAGGACAGACAGGGGACATTACGAGGCGCCGCCGAGGGGACACGGACACAGACACACACAGATACAGACTCATGCACAGACACAGAGACACACACTCTCACACATGAGCGTGAGCACGCAAATTCACACACACACACTCACCACCTTTCATCTGTTTCACACACACACACACACACACACACACACACAACCTCCCCCCTCCCACACATACACCATCTTCCATCTCAACCCTCCACTCCAGCATTCCTCCATCCTCTCCTCCAGTACTCACGGCCTTGTTGGAGTCAGAGGATACAATGCCCAGTGCTTTCTCCAGACAGGACCGGTACTTGTCCATGCGGAGGGAGAAGTCTCTGTAGCGCTTGTCCACAGAGGTGACCCATTTCTTTATCTCCAGCGCATGGGCGTGCCCTTTGTCACAAAAGCCATCCGCCAGCTGGATCAACAGTTTCACCCTCTCTTTGGTTTGCTGTCAATACAAAGAAAGAGAGAGAGAATGAAAGAGAGAATGGACGAGGGCCGTGGGGTGTGTGTGTGTGCCTGTGTGTGCCTGTGTGTGTGTGCCTGTGTGTGTGTGTGTGTGCGTGTGTGTGTGTGTGTGTGCGTGTCACCCACGGGAGCCAATCCCACTGTGCCAGGGGTTCATGATTACAATAGAGTTTTCTGCCACACAATAACCCAGGAGCCCAGAATATCAGGGACAATGGGCCGCCCTGTGACTGGGCCTCATAGATACAGCATCATAATACCTAGCACAGGGCCACAAACAGGGCAGAGTCCCAAATGGCACCCTACTCCCTAATATAGTGCATTACTTTTAACCAGGGCCCATAGGGCTCTGGTCAAATGTAGTATATAAGGAAGAGGGTGCCATTTGGGACACGCCCACGCAGATGGACAGTACCCTGCACAACCTAAACAGATCCTAGACAGCCCTACTCTGTGTATGTATGGGACAGGTTGACTGACATTAGTCCATGTACAGCTCAACACACTGGCTAAGGTTCTTACATGCATCACAATCTAAACAACCCATACAGTCTGATTCAGAACTACAAAGGTCAGTGTCTGTTATAGAAAATGGATGGATTACATCCAGTAGACGCAATTTGATTGTGTGAGGTGGTGTTTGATAGTGTTGGACACTGCTGGAGGGGACCTTCACCTTGGCTGTGATCTGGAAGTCTTCATGCTCCTTCAGCAGCTCCTGTGTGTGGTGGATACTGGAACCGGTGGAGGTGTGTGTCGACAGGTAGAATTCTCCCGTGTCGTGGATCCACTCCAGAGCCTGTGGACCAATCACAATGAGAAGAGGTCCAGATCACTTATTTGTCATCACACTAATGTTGTATTCCTAATCCCTTGCCTTCTCCCTTTGAGGAAGTGTGCACTTGTTCACGGACATAAAGCAAGAATCCTTCAATTAAACAATATCAAAGTGGACTCCCTGTATTGCTAAACAGCTAAGGGATGGGGCTAGAGAAATATAACCACTCTCAAATTCATAGACAGAGCTATGTATGCAAGGACTGACCATCCATGATATCAAATGCATCATTTTAACCATGTTTTGAGGCTATACAGTGTTTGTTTAGAAGTAAGTTGTTTACAAACACTGCAGTAAAACAAGCTTATATTGTAGGTTCCTTACACCATTCTATTAATTTTACATCCATGAGGGGGAAGGAAGATGAGTGCACTCTCACTGCTGCCTCTCCAGACCAGTGTAATGCTAACACCAGCCCACATGGGGGAGCAAACAATCTCCAATTGAGATATACTTTAGTCTGCTCTGCTGCACACATTTGGTCCATCAATCAGCACTGACTAAATGAGAGGAGAAGGTTTGGAGAGACTGAGGAGAGGAAAGACACTGCACTACAATAAGCCAGTGTTGAAATGTAGGGCATGTAGTTATAGCTGTGGTAACACTACAGTGTTAAAATGTAGGGCATATAATTATAGCTGTGGTCACACTACAGTGTTAAAATGTAGGGCATGTAGTTATAGCTGTGGTAACACTACAGTGTTAAAATGTAGGGCATGTAGTTATAGCTGTGGTCACACTACAGTGTTAAAATGTAGGGCATGTAATTATAGCTGTGGTAACACTACAGTGTTAAAATGTAGGGCATGTAATTATAGCTGTGGTAACACTACAGTGTTAAAATGTAGGGCATGTAATTATAGCTGTGGTAACACTATAGTGTTAAAATGTAGGGCATATAATTATAGCTGTGGTAACACTACAGTGTTGAAATGTAGGGCATATAATTATAGCTGTGGTAACACTACTGTTGTGTTGGGCCTCTGTTACCAGTCTACCTCATTTCCAATTCCTCTCCAAAAACATCACTTTGTATAACACTGAATGGGAACGGAACCAGATTTAGAGGCTTTAGTTTGGTCAGCCCCTGGTCAAAACATTAGTCCAACCAGTGCTTAGCTGAGCAGTTTGCACAGGGTTCAAAATGGTGGTATGGTATAGTATGACCTTCCATTATGTTATATGTTACGTGTCACACCCTGGTCTGTTTACGTGTACTTTTATAGCTTGTGTTGACTGTCTATCTGACCGTGTTGTTGTAGTCATGAATGTTACTGTTCGAATTCTGGTATAGTTCTCCTTGAGGAGCAGTACTGACCTGCTTAGCGCTGCGTTCAAACACCACATACTGCTGACACTGGTCCAGTCTCCTCTTTCTCATTGTCCAGAAGTGCAGCACCCGGTTCTCTCTCTGGAGCAGCTCATTCAAGATGTCTGACAAAACACAAGAGACACATTATCATTTAAGCCATGGCTATGTCACAAAAGGCAAGCTAGTCCTATAGTCTACTACTAAAGCACTTAAGTAGTGCACTATATAGGGACTAGGGTGCTATTTGGGACACATCCCATCTGTTTAAAAGAAGAGGGCAACTGAAAGGAATACCACAAGAAATAACGATCAAATGTGTATTTGATTGGGAGGGGAAAAAGGAGCACGCTTACTTTTGACCTGTGTTTCAGGTGCCTTAACGTGAGATAGCATCCCTGGCATGTTGACACTGTTTCTGTGCAGGTACTTCAGGAAGACGTCAGCGTTTCGCCTTGCTAGTGTACAAGCCTTGAGGAAGGCCTCTTTCTGCTCCAGGTGTTTGCTGATCATGGGTATGACATGGTCTGACTCACTGTTAGGGCCCAGTTTATCAGCTCCCCCACACCAGTCCTCCTCACGCTTATACTCCTGCTCCAGGCTCTCCAGCACACTGCACACCTACAGAATAGCACACAGCACAGGTCAAAACTACACTACCCACAATGCACCACAGAGCCAAAGCTAAGTACATGAACACGAATACATGGCAAACTGCAGTGTAATACCATATAATACCACCCTATCTAGAGTGGTTATTAGACCCTAATCTGGGCCATGTTACTGGGCTAGGGGCCAATGGGCCTCCTCTGACAGGTTGCCATGGAAACAGTTAGAGATGTCCCACCCACCTGCTCGGAGGTCTTGTAGAAGGCTACAGAGGCGTTGACCAGTTTGAGCCGGTCCTCCATCTTGAGCATGAGCTGCTGCCAGTGGTCGGCCACCTTCTCCGCACAGTCCCGGATCATGTCCATGTCGTAGTGGTTGGCTTGGAGCAGGGCCTCAGCCTTCTGCTGCACCTGCAATGCACTCTGGTGGGTTTTCTGTGGAGAGGGAGAGAGAGGGGGGGGGGAGGGAGGTGATTAATAAAAGTGTTCTACTTTATAAATATTGTTCACATTAACATCTTAACATTTTCACAAGAAAACTGAGGAATGTGATTGGAGGCTATAGCTACAGGAAAGGAGTCTGAGCGTTATACACCATGTGAGTCTTCTACCTGGCTTCTGCTACCATGACTGTTAACACACCACAGCATTAAACAATATCATTACAATCCCATAATCAAATCGATTGAGTAATTGAGAATAATAATCTCCAAAAAGGTTTTTTCCTCTCCTTCCAAAGTGAGTAGAAGGACTCCAGAAGCCTGCCTGCATAACCTCAGCCCTGCAGAATGTAGTCCTTTATACAGTACGACTGCATTTCAAATGAGCCCTGCTCAGAAGAGTTCAAAGGAAAAATGGTCTGGGTTGAAAACAGGGGCCTGTTTCTGGTGAAAGAGAGAGAGGCGGATGATTTATGAGGAATAGAGGATGAAAAGAGGAGTGGGGGAGGTTAGGGTTTTTAGTGAGGTGTGTAGGAGGAGGGTAGAAGGAGGGAAGAGGAGGAGGAGCATGAGAGAGAAGGAGGAGAGGAGAGGAGTAGGAGGGAGATGGAGATGAGGAAAATAATATTAATAATAATAATAATAATTAGCTGGGTGCTTATATTTGTCCTATTGGAAATGTGTTTTTTTGCATTTCCCACTCTCCCTGAGAAATCCTCGGAGAGTGGGGTCAAGGCCAGGGTCACGGAGAGGAGGAAAAGGAGATGGAGAGGAGGAGTGGAGAGGGATGGAGAAGAAGAGGCATAAATGAGAGAGATGGAACAGAGAGATACCTCTATGGCATGTTGGAATTGCTCGTGTTCCTTCTGTAGCTGTTCTGCCTCCTGTAGAGAGCTGGCTGTGATCATACCTGCATTCAGCATGGACTCTCCATTACGGATCCAACCCAGCACCTGAAACGCACACACACACACACACACACACACACACACACACACACACACACACACACACACACACACACACACACACACACACACACACACACACACACAAAGGGAGAATCAGTAATGGGTCAGACTAAGATAAACAGTCACACACACACACAGGCACATAGACACATGTTGATAATGGACATCGTAATAAAGACTCATCATCCCAGATAAGCACAGTATATAGGCCTAACCCACCATGTTTTCACCACCCTGACACACACACAAAGGAATACATTAAGGGTCAGGGCAAGGCCAAGTCAGCTGTGACACGTCACCCCCGACACTTTCGCCTCCCAACCTCTCCCCCTCTCTGTACACACAGGAACGGCCTGCCAGTGGCCCCAGGGAGAATTCCACACCGTCTCCTCCTCCGGGCACTGCACACCTGGTGTGTATCTGACTCATGCTCTGTACTATCACTGCTGCCAAACTCATAGCTCAGCATAGCGGCTGTGTGGGAGAAGAGGCTACATGCTGCTCAGTGAGTAACAGAGAGAACAACTATTCCTGCATTCTAGCAGGCCTGCTCTCTCAGCTTATAGCCACAAAAACACACATAGGCCTCTCTTCCCTTCCAGGACATGGGTAATCTCTCGCTCTACAACGATGACGAATGAGGAAAATGAAATAAATTAATAAACAGAATAAGATTAACAGATGATGCTCCTGCTGGCCTAGTTTGTCTTTTTCCTCATTTTCGGGCCGGTGGTCATCTCTAAAGGGCTGCTCTACTTTCCCAGCACACATTGCAGTGTAGAATAATAGAATAGAGGAAAGATGTTGTGTGCTATTAATGCGTATAAGAGACGCTAACTGATTTATTTATTGACCTTTGAGAGTTTCTATTTGTATTTTATTTTAAGAAGATCGGGGTTCCAATCCCCTTAAGTATTTTATAGTTTTTTTGACAGGACAGATGTAAGTACAGAGTGGGAGATAGATATGGAGAGGGGTACAGAAAGTGGTTAAGAGCAGAGACAGTCTGGAGTCGGGATCTTAGACCGCTACACCAGACTCTGAAATTAAAGTGACTCAGGGAAGATATTCTATAATATACTGTATATGGTCAATGTCATAAGACATGGCCATATGTACTGGTTTCATATGTCCCGTTGTACAATCTAATAGAATCAACCCCATATAATTAAATACATCTGCTTGAAAAAGCATTTCACTCTTAATATTACATGCACAGAAAGCAATCTATTCATAATCATGTGCTCTCCACATAATACTACACAATCACTTCTTTCACAACAGCAGCATCTCATGGTTGTCATCCCACATGCAGTACTGTACTTGGAGAGAGAAAAATTAAGAGAATGAAAGAGAAAGAGACAGAAAGACTGTGTGTGAGTAAGGGAGTGAGTGAGAGAGAGTGCAAATGAAAGAGAGAGAAAAAGCGAGAAAGTGAGTGAGAGAGCGAGAGAGAAAGACCACAAGTGAGAGCAAAAGTCAAAAGTAAAGAGAGAGAGAACAAAAGTAGAAGAGAGCGAGAGAGAGAGAGAGAGAGAGAGAGAGAGAGAGAGATAATGGTGCATGTTTACCTGTTTGACCTCGGCCTGAAGGTGGCGTAGTTGGACACACTGTTCCAGGTGCCTCCTGTGCTGCTCGGCCACCACGTCCAGCTCCTGCTGCTTCTCATGGAGGAACTCCAGCAGGTCCTGAACACGTGTAGCCATGTCCACATCCCTGTCACACAGCAACTCCACACCTAGACACAGAGAGGTGGGAGAGCGAGAGAGAGGTGGGGGGGTATAGCGATAGAACAAGTGAGTGAAAGAGAGAGAGAGACAGAGAGAAGGAGAGCGAGAAGGAAGGAGAGAGAGAGAGAGCTCATCAGCTACTGTAGCAAATCCTGAAAACAACACAAAGAACAAGAGCCATTATGCAACCCAAACCTAACAAAAAGATGAAAAGAGAGAAGAAAGGTCTCTCTCTCTCTCTCCTCATACAAGACAATCAGTCTCGACTACCTGTAAAAGAGTGACAGTTAGGTAAGCATACAGACATACATCAGTAACTCCATATGGCCAGTCAGTCAGACAAACAGGAACAAATCTGCCATTAACATTATATTACTTACATTTCACTCCTGTGTTCCAGACCTGCATTGGGCTGCTGGAGTACAGAGCCTGTCTGTCATAGAAACTCTGTGTGTCTGTCTCTTTGGTGTCCAGGAGAGAACTGCTCTGGGATGCATTCCGATTATGCAAAATCTCCTCTGTGTATGTCGTCATTGACGTGTGTGTATGTGCCAATGCAGCCTGTCGTCCTGCAGCACTGCCTAGTGGTTTTACTCAGCGACATGAGTCCATAGGATTACTGTGAAATCTGCTCGTCTGGCCTCGGCCTGCTGCCGCTACTGTGCTTAGCTCTCCAGCGCCCGATAGCTGGGTTTACCCCCCCCTCCTTCCTCCCCTCTCCCTATCTCCTCCCCTCCTCAACAACACTGAGCTGACCTGGCCTGGCTTACAGCTCATCTGCCCTGGCAGCAGCAGCAGGGCTTTGGGCCATCTGATGTGTCAGTGTGTGTGTGCGTGTGTGTCTGTGTGTGTGTGTGTGTGAGTGTACGACAGAAAAGGTGCATGTGTGTGTGTGTGTATCCGTCCGTGTGTGTTTCTCCATTACTCACCACTGGCCTGGACCTCTGTAACGTACTGCAGCAGCTCCTGTCCCTGGTGGATGACGTCGAAGGTCAGGTTGTTCATGGTGAGGGCCTTGTCAGCGTGGTGCTGGAGTCTCTGCTCCGCCAACGTCAGGTCCTCTGTATCAAACTCACCCATCTGCTGGGACAGCTCCTCATTCCACGACTCCAGGTCTGAGATGATCTGGAAGTGTGTGGGGGAACGAAAAGGGGCAACACTTCATTTGGATAGTCCCCTATAGATGATCTATAGATACCCAAACTATCAACTGCAACAACAAACTATCTACTGCAATGGAAGGGTACAAATAGACAGAAACACACAGATCACAGGGATCACTGTAAGTTAGTTTTAAATAAAGGTCACTGCTAAATGACATTACACGTACAGGACAAACACATGTACAAACACACACAAACAGATGATCATTCCCAACCCTCTAGGTGGAATATGACCTGAGAGGGGTGGAAACTACTTCGGCGTCAGAATGAAATGATTTGTAATGATATCAAAACACCAGCCAAGCTGATCTTAGAGACAGTAGCTAAGTGTTTAGTGTTACCTAGAATGATACAATTCTCCTTTGGTTATAAAGGGACTACCCAGACTAGCTGGCTCTACCCAGACTAGCTGTACTCTAAATGGAGCGTCTGCCTGTGATGTTAGCACTTGTTTAAGGACTCACCCACGCACACTTGCTGAAGGCTGAAGGAGGGTGAATCATGACGCCCATAACATATCCACCTTGGCACAGTGATGGGTACTCTGTCAGTCTTTTGTCTGTGATGCCAGTGTGGGCTGGGCCTGACTGGGCTTACCTTACCTAACCTACAGCACTGCTTCACTGTTGCCCTCCATATTCATTGGAATGAAGTCAAAAATCAATTAATCAATGTAATGAACCAGGACCAAGAGGGTGGATGCCGGGTGGTGATCATTTTTGTTGCCAAACCTATTCGAAATATCATGGCTGCTCACAATGACTGGCTTTCCATTTCAATTTGTCTTTATATAATACAAATCCACTGTCTGTTTTTCAGAATCGCTTTCCTGATGCTTCAGAGAGAGACAGGCTGGCACTAGTCTCCATTCCACACATGGATCACCATCCCATTCAGCTGCTGCTCAGCCATACACTGAAGAGCTAAATGTAAAGAATGTGTCCGATGGAAATTCAAGGCGTCCAGAGTGATGGTCGTCGAGGGGAAACTATGGAAAAGTAATACGAGTCATGAACTAAAGCGGTGGCTGGCTCTCCAGCAGACCTAGTAAAAAAGAAATGACAGGGCTGAAAACGAGAGGCTTACACAGCTGCCTGTTTCCATTCACATGAGCAGTGAAATCAAATCTCAAGGCATCCGACAATGAAAAGGAAATCAGAAAAGGAATGGGAGAAAGAGAGGGTTCCGAGTTGGGAATGGGAGAATTTTAAATTCCAAACCGCAGTACTGCAAACCAAATAATTATTGATTCTCTTCACTGTGCCATTTAATTTCCTCTGGATGGCCCTCTGCACCCTCTGCTGTGCTCCTCAGGCTCCGGCTGTACTGTACTGTATTGTCCTGTCCTGTACTGTACTGTCCTCTGGGGGAGAACATGTGAGTGAGGATGTGGAGGGTTCCATGTGGTAAGGGCTATAGGGCTAGCTAGCTGTAACTCACTGAGCGTATGGCTGCTTCATGGAAGGCCCAGGCTACATGGGGCTTAGTAGTGTACACGTTTATGTACAAGTCAGAGCCTAAAACATGGTAGTAATTAACAACAAACTCCGTTCAGCTATGATCCATATCCTAATCCATAGCTGATCACTGTTTAAGATCTTAACCTGGAGATAATGTAACAGCAAACCAAGCCTTGATCATCTAAGCTAAGCAATTTGATAACTGGATCAACACATAAACAAAACATAGACCTATGGAGATATAGGATGTGGATTGGTTGCTTCTCATGATTATCATCATGCAATAGTAGTTCCTTGGCAGTAGTTTTTTCTGTCTATCTTTGAGAAGGTGATTGAAACATAACGATTATGATTGAAACATAATGCGACAGAGCTCTATAGTAAGCGACCTGTACGGTCATACGTGTCGATCAACCAAATGTCTTTGTAACTTCATAATCCAAGAAGCTGTAATACTGAGATCTACACCACCTCAGTCAATAACAGAACAGTTCTTCTTTTGTTGTTACAATATGAGTGAGTCATGGCTGCTACCACAGACAACACCATTATTTATACAGCACTTCTGAGGTTGAGAACCGCCCATTCTTTGCACAAGGCAAACAGCCAACAACAACTGTCAAAACAGAAAGGTCTGATGAATCCTCAGTAATACAATGCTTTAAGATATGAGAAAGAAGAGTCTAACAAAACAGCAAAGCAGACAAGGTAACGTCAGCAGTGTAATGTACAGGTAATAGTTGCTCTGTGGACACAAAGTATTCAGCAAGCATGCACTAACAACCATCTAAACACATGTACATACGATATCAAAAGACATCTGGAGGGCACGACAAAGCCTATTCCCCCTCAGGAGACTGAAAAGATTTGGCATGGGTCCTCAGATCCTCAAAAAGTTCTACAGCTGCACCATCGAGAGCATCCTGACTGGTTGCATCACCGCCTGGTATGGCAACTGCTCGGCCTCCGACCGCAAGGCACTACATATGGTTGTACGTACGGCCCAGTACATCACTGGGGCCAAGCTTCCTGCCATCCAGGACCTCTATACCAGGCGGTGTCAGAGGAAGGCCCTAAAAATTGTCAAAGACTCCAGCCACCCTAGTCATAGACTGTTCTCTCTGCTACCACATGGCAAGCAGTACCGGAGCGCCAAGTCTAGTTCAAAAGGCTTCTTAACAGCTTCTACCCCCAAGCCATAAGACTCCTGAACAGCTAATCATAGCTACCCGGACTATTATTATTTTTTACGATATATCGTATCGTTTTGACAATATCGCAATATTATTTTTGTGCTAGTTGGCTGTACCTGCACTAAATGTCCAGCATTTTTCCTGCATAGCTTGTTCTCCATCTTCTTTTTAAATAGGGATCCAATTTGTTTTCAGCACTTTTATTTCCATGACTGATCAAAACTCATTTTGTCATGGCTCTCTCTCGTCCCTCTGCAGCAGACATATGGTGAGCAATATGTTCGGAACATTGAATAGCAATAAAATCACAGTATCAAATCGCAATACATATAGAATCGTGAGAATCGCAATACATATCGTATCGTGATAATACGTAAAAATGTATGCACACATGACTGTAAGTCGCTTTGGATAAAAGCGTCTGCTAAATTATTATTATATTGTATAATGAGGTCCCTGGCAATTCCCAGCCCTATCAAAAACCCTTCTCAAAACACTACGATCCAGTCTAGAGTGCTACAACTCCAAAAATCCAATAACTCACAAATCTCTCTTGAAAATGTCTTGCTGACTGTTCTGTAGGAGTCATATTCACTTAACTCATAAGCACATTACATAAGGCTGAATGACAGCTAGGTAAAGCTCCCAGGCATAAATACCACAAGCCTTTAGTCCTTCTAACATCTTTTCTTCACCTGCCACTCTCCTCTTCTCTCCCGTTCCCTCCTTCCCAGGCGCCAGGAGGCACTTACCGGGCTGGGCTGCTATCACAAAGCTGACTAGAAACCCCTCTCTGAGTCTAAGCAGACACATCATCTTTTCCTCCTCCTGGCTCACATAGAGGAGACTGGCTCCGTGAGGACAGGAATCCTGCTCTGAGACTGACTGGGACACTGCGTGCCGTACCTCTGCCTCACCTCGAACCTGAACCTGCGTGTTGCTGCCTAACCCCTCAGTGGGAGCCAAGAAGGAACAGCATCCCAGGGGTGTGAAGAGGAGGAGTGGAGGGAAAACTAACTCTCCCTCCCTCCTGTGTCATATTGACTGACTGACATGCATGCCGCTCACTCCCTCCCACAGGTCCCAGCTAATGTGCAGAGCTAATGTGAAGGCTGTACTGTACTGCACCTCTGAGGAGAAAATACTGTATCAGTCTGGCTGTGGTCTCTTACCACACAGACTAGTGTGACTGCTGCACTACTATAGTGGCATTCCACCTCAGTGTGAGATGGGCTGCATGTGCAGACAGGCAAGGGGCAGTGTGTGCCAAGCACGGGTCGATATTTCATTCACTGACTGTAGGTTTCCACTTGGGAGAGACATGTGAGACGTCTTCATGAGAAAATGAATAGCAATATGAACACAATGTAATGTGATTTGTTGTAATGTCAAACTGCACTGTAGTCTACTTAATGTGCCGAAAACGAAACGTCCTCCTCCTCTATTCAATGACCCTGTTATCGCAACACCAACACTTCAGGTATGTGAGTGCCTCGTATCCCCTCACACACACACACACACACACACACACACACACACACACACACCCTTAAATGAGTCATCACCTCAGTACAATAACTTCCCAGAAAGGGGGATGATAACATCAGGAATATCAGTACTCCAGGCTTTATAATGTCAAAGGCTGCTGTAGCTAATGCTTAATTTATGGGATGTGAATCAATATCGTTAATCAACTACTGGTCCAGTCCTTTGATGGTGTAACAGGAAAGAGAGAGATTAGAATAACAGCAGCAGCAGAAAGACTCCTTTGAGTCTCTCAGCAGGGACTCAAGACCTTACACTACCAGATAAAACTGCTACAGAAACACTGACTGTGAAACATTCAATCTCTGGAAAAGACACAGGCCAGATACGGGCAATAGAGGACATGATAGATTGGTTGATTGATAGATTGATTGATCTGAACTTTATTGACATGGGGGCCACTTACGTCGATGGCGTCCCTCTCGAAGATGCGTAGCTGCAGGAAGAGTTCCAGTTTGATCTTCCTCTCCTGAAACAGCTCTTCCATCTGAGCCTGGGCCTCATCCAGCTGCTGTAGGACACTCTGGATGTGGGCCATGGAGCTGTTGTGGGGCGTCTTGTTACTGGAGATAGCAGAGTCCCTGTGTGGAGGCCGGGGTCAGAGGTTAGATAGATCAACAAACACATTAAATACACTCGTTTCAATATCATGAATTACATGTAACACTGTTTGGTGGTGGAACAGCTAGCAGAGTTTAATTATGTGTTAGACGGCATGCTTTTAGAAGCTTAAAATGCACCTCTGTTGCCAGTTAGTAGCGTGCAGTGCTGCTATCAAGGTCTCTTAATGGTAGGGTAAAGGGAAACAGTAATACTGCTCTACAATGCTGCACAGTTCTAAATAAACACAAAACAACCTTTATTACTTGGTAAATTAGCATATTTATATGGCGGGTAGGGGCTAGAAGGGATTGATTTATGATAGAGGATGCGTGCGCTGTGAGCTACCTGAGCTGCTGGATGAGGTCCTCTCCCTCCTTGATGACGTTGACAGTGGCTTGCAGGGTGGTCTGCTGCTGCTGCCCGAAGCGTTTGATCAGGTCCTGCACCGCCTCCACAGACTCAGCATACACATCATCCAGCAGCTCCTTCTGCAGCTCCTCCAACCACGTCCACAGCTGTGTGGGCACACAGTGACAGACAGCCCAGGCGGCCAATCAGAAACAGCGAGGTAAAGAAGGACAAATTAAAAGCAGAGGAGAGAGGGAGAGAAAGAGGAGTGAAGGAGGGAGCTGCATTGAGTCATTGTGGCAGGATTAACCATCTGGTTATATTAGCATGGTGGCTCAAACCAAAGCACCCGTACCAGCAGGTAGGACCCTCCCTGCCCAATCTACCACCCGCCGCGTTTTTTGTTTGTGTCCCAAATGGCACCCTATCCCCTATATAGTGCACTACTTTTGACCAGCTCCCATAGTGCCCTTTTCAAAATAAGTGTCCTATGTAGGGAATAGGATGACATTTGGGACCCAAAATGTGTTTTGTTCCAGTTCATACAGCTCTATTTTTCCATAATAACACACAAAGACAGGCAAACACAACACAGGCTAAGAACAGAGGAGGAAAGTTGGAACCGGGCCTGGCCTAATCCAACCACCTCTATACAACAGATGGGTGTTATCACACCATATGGTAGCATAAAATAAATGATGAATTAATATGAATATCAGGCCATGTACTGTAAGACAATATAAATGTCAGCACACGGAGTAAAGTACAGCACACTGGCACAGAACCTTTACAGAAAGGTTCATGCTGTTCAATAATGCCTAAGCTAATGACACTGACTTAAACAACACAGATTGCAAGTTAACTTTCTCATATACAGTTGAAGTCAGAAGTTTACATACACCTTAGCCAAATACATTTAAACTCAGTTTTTCACAATTCCTGACATTTAATCCTAGTGAAAAATTCCCTGTCTTAGGTCAGTTAGGATCACCACTTTATTTTAAGAATGTGAAATGTCAGAATAATAGTAGAGAGAATGATTTATTTCAGCTTTTATTTCTTTCATCACATTCCCAGTGGGTCAGAAGTTTACATACACTCAATTAGTATTTGGTAGCATTGCCTTTAAATTGTTTAACTTGGGTCAAACGTTTCGGGTAGCCTTCCACAAGCTTCCCACAATAAGTTGGGTGAATTTTGGCCCATTCCTCCTGACAGAGCTGGTGTAACTAAATCAGATTTGTAGGTCTCCTTGCTCACACACGCTTTTTCAGTTCTGCCCACACATTTTCTATAGGATTGAGGTTAGGGCTTTGTGATGGCCACTCCAATACCTTGACTTTGTTGTCCTTAAGCCATTTTGCCACAACTTTGGAAGTATGCTTGGGGTCATTGTCCATTTGGAAGACCCATTTGCGACCAAGCTTTAACTTCCTGACTGATGTCTTGAGATGTTGCTTCAATATATCCACATCATTTTCCTTCCTCATGATGCCATCTATTTTGTGAAGTGCACCAGTCCCTCCTGCAGCAAAGCACCCCCACAGCATGATGCTGCCACCCCCGTGCTTCACGGTTGGGATGGTGTTCTTCGGCTTGCAAGCCTACCCCTTTATCCTCCAAACATAACGATGGTCATTATGGCCAAACAGTTCTATTTTTGTTTCTTCAGACCAGAGGACATTTCTCCAAAAAGTATTATCTTTGTCCCCATGTGCAGATTCAAACCATAGTCTGGCTTTTTTATGGCGGTTTTGGAGCAGTGGCTTCTTCCTTGCTGAGCGGCCTTTCAGGTTATGTCGATATAGGACTCATTTTACTGTGGATATTGATACTTTTGTACCTGATTCCTCCAGCATCTTCACAGGGTCCTTTGCTGTTGTTCTGGGATTTATTTGCACTTTTCGCACCAAAGTACGTTCATCTCTAGGAGACAGAACGCTTCTCCTTCCTGAGTGGTATGACGGCTGCGTGGTCCCATGGTGTTTATACTTGCGTACTATTGTTTCTACAGATGAACGTGGTACCTTCAGGCATTTGGAAATTGCTCCCAAGGATGAACCAATTTTCTTTCTGAGGTCTTGGCTGATTTCTTTTGATTTTCCCATGATGTCAAGCAGAGGCACTGAGTTTGAAGGTAGGCCTTGAAATACATCCACAGGTACACCTCCTGGTTGAAAAACTAGTTTTAATGACACCAACCTAAGTGTATGTAAATTTCCGACTTCAACTGTATCAAACACTTGAGATCCTTGTTTTGAAAAATACAATAAGCTTAACGTTGTTTTTAGGACACTATAGTGAAGCACCACCTCTAAAGGTAAACCTGTCACCTCTCGCTCAGCCAGAACATTGAACAATGGGAAGAAACACTAATTCACAAGGTCTGCCTTCTTACAAGGGAAACCTTTCAAACACAGCACACAAGTAATCTTCACCACAAATAAAGACATGACAAATTACAGCTTTGAATATGAGGCATTTCAGAAACAGAACAGCTTCCTGAGTTTTGGCAATAGCTAGTGGCTCCAGTCTAGTAGAAGAGAGTAGTGAGTGGAGGGGGAGGGAGGCACTGTGTTTAGGCTGTTGGAGATATGTGTTACGCTCAGGAAAATACCCCTGTGTGTCAGTATCAGAGTCACTTTGGGCAGCCCATCCGCTGTCACAGGACACATACACATAATTAAGTGATAGTGCATGAGAAGCTGGTGTTTGGAGGATATATTGGCACGGGTGTTCGTCTCGGGCCGGCAAATCATGCCAATATATCCTCCAAACACCGGCTTCTCGGGCATTATCACTTTTATACAACGGGTTACCAACATATTCAAATAATGATTTACATATTTTAATTTAAAACGTTATTTTGATTAATTTATTCATTCTAATTCATCCTTCCACAAGATATAGTCCCGACACAAATATAGGGTTGCTACCCATGCCGGCTGGTCGTTCGTTCTATCGGTTCGGTTGCCAGAGACACGACCCAGTCGCTAAGTCTTTTTGTTCTGTATCTATGGACGCGACCCAGTCGTTCGCTCTAAATGTTCCATTGCCATACTGGCTGGCAACGTTCTTATCCCTTGCTTGCTAGCTAGCCAACTACGGCTAACTTACAGTCACGTCAAACAGTGCAGCCAGAATAACAACAAAGTAGCTGCATTTGCATTTGCTGTTTTCTAGTGACATTTATTTGGATACATCCATAACAATGAGCTAATGATGCGCGATTGTCACACCCTGGTGCTGGGACTCATTATTGTTTATCCAGGGTGTGTGCAGTCTATGTGTTTATGTTCTAGGTTGGGTGTCTAGGTTGTTGTTTTTCTAGGTTTGTTCAATGACTCCCAATCGGAGGTAACGAGTGTCAGCTGTTCGGCTCGTTATCTCTGATTGGGAGCCATATTTATTCTGTATGTTTTCCTGTGGGGTTGGTGGGTTTTTGTCTCCTTGATCCTGTTTAGTGTATATCAGTATTTGGACTTCACTTTCGTCATTTTTGGTTTGTTGTTTTTGATCGTGGTTTCTTTAATTAAATAAAGTCTACGATGTTCGCTCAACACGCTGCGCTTTGGTCTCATCCTTTCGACGATCGTGACAGAAAAACCCACCACAAGAGGACCAAGCGGCGTAACAAGCGGCAACAGGACCTACCTACGCAGGATTTATGGGAGCCTCCTAAGGACTTTTGGACATGGGAGGAGATACGGGCTGGAAAGGGTCCTTGGGCACAACCAGAGGAGTACCACCGCCCTCGTGAAGAGCTGGAGGCAGCTGCAGCCGAGAGGAGGTGGTATGAGGAGGCAGCGCGGAGTCGAGGCTGGAAGCCCGTGGTTACTCCCCAAAAATTTCTTGGGGGGGGGCTAAAAGGGAGTGTGGCGAAGGCAGGTAGGAGACCTGCGCCTACTCCCTGGACTGACCGTGGAGAGCGGGAGTACGGGCAGACACCATGTTACGCAGTAGAGCGCATGGTGTCTCCTGTACGCAGGCATAGCCCGGTGCGGTACATTCCAGCTCCTCGTATCGGCCGGGCTAGATTGAGTGTTGAGCCGGATGTCATGAGGCCGGCCCCACGCAGCAGGCCACCAATGCGTCTCCTCGGGCCGGCTTACATGGCACCAGCCCTACGTATGGTTTCCCCGGTTCGCCCACATAGCCCGGTGCGGGTTATTCCTCCTTCCCGTACTGGTCGGGCGACGGGGAGCATACAACCAGGTAGGGTTGGGCAGGCTCAGTGCTCAAGGGAGCCAGTACGCCTGCACGGTCCGGTATTTCCGGCGCCACCTCCCCGCTCCAGCCCAGTACCACCAGTGCCTACACCACGCACCGAGCCTCCTGTGTGTTCCCAGAGTCCTGTGCGTCCTGTTGCTGCTCCCCGCACTAGCCCTGAGATGCGTGTCCTCAGCCCGGGACCACCAGTTCCGGCACCACGCACTAGGACTTATGTGCGTCCCCAGGGTCCTGCATGCCCTGTTGCTTCTCCCCGCACTAGCCCTGAGATGCGTATCCTCAGCCCGGTACCTCCTGTTCCGGCACCACGCACCAGGCCTACGATGCGCCTCAGACGGCCAGAGTCTGCCGTCTGCCCAACGGGGCCTGAACTGTCCGTCTGCCCAACGCCGTCTGAACTGCCCGTCTGCCCAACGCCGTCTGAACTGCCCGTCTGCCCAACGGCGCCTGAACTGCCCGTCTGCCCAACGCCGTCTGAACTGTCCGTCTGCCAAGCGCCGCAGGAGCTGCCCGTCTGCCATGAGCCTGCAAAGCCGCCCGTCTGCCATGAGCCTACAGAGCCGTCCGCCAGACCGGAGCCGCTAGAGCTCTCCGCCAGACAGGAGCAGCCAGAGCCTTCCGCCAGACAGGATCAGCCAGAGCCTTCCGCCAGACAGGATCAGCCAGAGCCTTCCGCCAGACAGGATCCGCCAGAGCCGTCCAGCCGGGATCCGCCAGAGCCGTCCAGCCGGGATCCGCCAGAGCCGTCCAGCCGGGATCCGCCAGAGCCGTCCAGCCGGGATCCGCCAGAGCCGTCCAGCCGGGATCCGCCAGAGCCGTCCAGCCAGGATTCGCCATTCAGCCTGGTACTGCCCCTTAGTCCGGTACTGCCCCTTAGTCCGGTACTGCCCCTTAGTCAGGTGCTGCCCCTTAAACCGGTGGGGGTCATTTGGAGGAGGCTACATAAGCGGGAAGTGACTATGGTGGGGTGGTGGTCTAGGCCGGAGCCAGAACCGCCACCGAGGAGGTATGCCCGCCCAGCCCTCCCCTGTTTGGGGGTTTTGAGGCGCGGTCGCAGTCTGCGCCTTTAGGGGGGGGTACTGTCACACCCTGGTGCTGGGACTCATTATTGTTTATCCAGGGTGTGTGCAGTCTATGTGTTTATGTTCTAGGTTGGGTGTCTAGGTTGTTGTTTTTCTAGGTTTGTTCAATGACTCCCAATCGGAGGTAACGAGTGTCAGCTGTTCGGCTCGTTATCTCTGATTGGGAGCCATATTTATTCTGTATGTTTTCCTGTGGGGTTGGTGGGTTTTTGTTTCCTTGATCCTGTTTAGTGTATATCAGTATTTGGACTTCACTTTCGTCATTTTTGGTTTGTTGTTTTTGATCGTGGTTTCTTTAATTAAATAAAGTCTACGATGTTCGCTCAACACGCTGCGCTTTGGTCTCATCCTTTCGACGATCGTGACAGCGATTTCACCTGGCATAGAAAATGTGCTCTCTCATCAGGACACTGTTGTTCAGAGGAGCTAGCCAACAACACAGCTAACACAATCACTTCAAACTGAAGCTGGAAAGACTGCAATCTAGCTGCACTTTGTTTGACCTGTTTTCTATTGAAATTTCTTTGTATATATCCATAAAAATGATGCTGATTCATGATTTCGACTGGCTGAGAAAAGCTGCCTGCCTGCCTGTCTTATCCCGACTCCCGACACATTCATTACTACGTGACAGCTGGAGATCGAATTTGAATATTGAAACAACGTTGCAAATGTTGGAGACAGACAGCAAGGTTTATACAAATCTCCACTGTTGAAAACTAAACGTTAATCCAAAAGCAATTTGAGATAATGTCTAGATGCTTGTCATAGTGGAGATCAAGTTTATAAATTGCCTGGCTGGGCTGATGAGACAGTGGATTGCGCAGTCAGATGGAACAGAGTAAATAGGCATTTTAACGTCATAGATTTAGTTGTGGAATAGACACTGGCTGGAATGCGGTTTTAACCAATCAGCATTCAGGATTAGACCCACCCGTTGTATAAATACAATATAACGCATGCACACACACTCACACTCCTACTCTTCAGTGTGTGGGCTGTGTGTTGTGTGGCAGTACTGATGTAATACATTCTTCATGCCACTAAACTCCTGTATCAAACCTCTTATTACCCTGGCTGGCTGTCATCTCTATCACAACACTAACTGGGCTGGGGCGAGGGGGAGGTTGAACACCTTTAAAGGCAGAACTTAAACTTTCCTCAGGGTGAGCAGTGGAGAACCCTCTCATAGCCCTACCATGGGAACATCTACACCAGATGTCATTACCACCTCCAGAGGGGTATTAATATTACAACAGCTAGCTGGCAGGTCTCAATACATACAACTTTCTTTAATAGTTAAATGGGTTAAAAGTCGTTTCACACTCAGATTCATGCAATTTAGTAGACTCTGAGCCATAGCCCTGACTAGAGACACACTGTAGATCGAATACAACAATAACTTTCATTAGTACAGTTTTGTAAGGGGAGCTGCAGTAATTATAATGACCCAGGCTCGTACCTCTTTGACGTGAGTGTGGAAGGCCACAGACATGTCCAGGAGGACCTTGCGTTGCTCCACGCGACGTACAAAGTCCTGGATGCGGTCCTCTAGCTGGTGGGCTGCCTGGTAAATCTCCTCTGGATCACACTCTCCTGTCTGGGCCAACTGCTCTGCTGCCTCCAGCAGCTTGTCAGCGTTAGTATAGGTGTTCTGGACAGGGGGACATTAGAGGAGACATTATGCGGACTGCCACATTACAGGTAATTATATGAACATATGGGCTATGTCACAACTTCCTTCGAAGCGGCCTCCTCTCCTTGTTCGGGCAGGCTTCGGCGGTCGTCGTCACCGGCCTTCTAGCCACTGCCGCTCCTCATCTCATCATTCCATTTGTTTTGTCTTGTTTATTACACACACCTGGTTCATATCCCCTCATCAGTACCTGTATAAGTGTTCCCTCTGCCCCCTTGTCTTTGTGTGTGATTGTTTATTGTGAGGATAGTGAAGCTCGGTTGAGCTCCTTGTATTTTGTATCGGCGGGTTATTTTTCCTGTGTGCCTTGTTGGTTCCAGTGCGCCTGTTTTGTGCACTGGGCTGTTTTTACGCATTACTGCGTAACTCTGTATTCCGGAATAAATCCTGTTATTCTGTGATTTACCCTCCTGCGCCTGACTCCTTCAAATCACCCATCACAGGCTAATAATATATAAATGAATAAGTTTAAAAAAATTTTACATTTAAATTTTTTGTCATTTAGCAGACGCTCTTATCCAGAGCGACTTACAGTTAGTGAGTGCATACATTTTTTTTTTTCATACTGGCCCCCCGTGGGAAACGAAGCCACAACCCTGGCGTTGCAAGCGCCATGCTCTACCAACTGAGCTACACGGGACTACAAAAAAACACTATTTTTTTTTCTCTCTCTCTGTGTGTGTGTGTGTGTGTGTGTGTGTGTGTGTGTGTGTGTGTGTGTGTGTGTGTGTGTGTGTGTGTGTGTGTGTGTGTCTGTGTGTGTGTGTGTGTGTGTGTGTGTGTGTATCCCAGCTCACCTGGGCCACCTCCTCAAAGTCCTCGTGTCTCTTCTGCAGGGCCCGAGCTCTGTGTAGGGACTTCCCCACTCCTGTATGCTTACTGAGGAAGGCTTCACCATGGTTCTCTATCCAGTCCAGCACCTGCACACACACACACACAGGGGCGAGAGAGGGAGAGACTGAAATACACTGGTACAGAGAGGGTTTGCCAGAGCCCTGTCTAATAAAGGCACTAGAGTGATGTAGCACATGCTGGATCACATCATCTGTGTACAGTGATATACCTTAGGAGAGTCGCTACTTGGAATCAGATACGTTGAGCGTTTGATTGAGCCTGCCTAGCTACAATGGAACCAATTAAATAGGCTAGTCCTAAACCTAGCACTCCATGCAGGCTCAATTAAATGCGTGAAGCATTTGCAAGAAAACGGATACTATTTGAACCCAGGTGTGGTGACAACTAGCCTATGAACAGGGATGTTACTTGTATGTATAGGCTGATCTGATGTGCTGTGCCACAAGGGGGAGCTTCGGGACCTTTAGATTGACGGACTGTGTCTGGGAAAGCTCTATTGAGGCCCTGTTCTGTCCAAGGCTACTGCCATAACATAATGCCTTCCCAGTCAGACCCACCCTCTACCCTCTGCTCTGCATCACTGTGCCAAGTCTTGGGCTGCGTCGCAAATGGCCCCCTATTCCTAGTCCATAAGGCTCTGGTCAAAAGTAGTGCACTATATAGGGAATAGGGTGTCATTTGGGACGCAGGCTGGCACTTTTAATAAGGAAACATGGATGAAGAAATCCATAATCCACTACAGACCAACGTGTCAGCATTTCTATAGACTGTGATAATACATCTTAGTTAATAATTGCCTTATTATTTATTGAACAGATGGGTGGCCAGTTGCCTCATCTCAGTATTATTGCTGAATAGAAGAATAAACGTGATTTTGATTGTGGGTTTTCAAGGTCTCTCCTCTTAGAGCGCATCATTCTATGGGACATATGGAACACGCAACACATTATGTGGCAGTAAATTGGATTACCATGGCAACTAGTACATATCAGGAGAGAGAAAGAAACAGAGAGAGAGAGCGGGAGAGAGAGAGAGCAGGAGAGAGTGAGAGAGAGAGAGAGAGAGAAAGAGAGAATAGCGAGCATGTCCACAGGGCACAGAGAAGTAGAAACCAGCTCAGTCCTAATCACAAGGGCCTGTCAGCCACTCACGCAGATACGTTTTCACAAAGAGACCCCAGGAGTCACTGAAAACACTTTGAAGAAAGTGGAGAGGGCTAAATGTACTCCGCAAAATTACAACACGGTTCTCTTTGGTTTTGAACATGCATGAAAATCAGGTTTTAGATGGATAAAGCACTGTACAATAAGTATAGCGGTCTCTGACAATGATGGTACAGTGTGTGTGTATTATGTGTTGTGTGTTTGTTTGTGTGTGTGTGTGCCTGCGTCTGCCTAAGCGTGTGTGTGCCTGTGTGTATGTACCTGCTGGACGTCCTGTTGGAAGACACAGAGCTGCAGGCGCTGGTGCAGCCGGACCTTGCGGTGTTGCCAGATGTTCTCCAGTTGTCTTTGGTGGTGTAGCACCTCGTGGATGATGTCCAGCACGTGGTGCACCGCCTTGGAGTAGTTGGCCGAGGCCATCAGCGAATCAGCACTGCCCGGGGTCAGGGGCCGCTGCAGCTTGTCCAATAGGGACTTCCCGTCTTGGCTCACCTGGAGAGGAAAGGAGAAGATAGGAGAAGAGAAATCCCAGGTGAGGTGGGGAAAAGGTTGACAATGAACTTTGAAAACACATCTGAATCGGAATGATGCAGGATTACTTTAGTGCACGTTGCAGATGCTATTTATTTTCCTTTAAAACAAGACGGCACAAAAAGTGCTAATCACCCACTAATCACTTCAGTGCATGAGCATTGGGCACTAGAATGTGTAGTGACTGCAGCCCCCATAGTACCTCAGAGTAGGCAGTGGTGATGTGTTCATAGAGTCCTGTGTGATGGTGGATGGTGTCCTCCAAGTCCTGTAGCTCAGAGGGCAGGTCTCCCTCTCCACACGCCTTACACCACGGCTCCACATTACTCATGTACTGGAGGACACACACATGATCAGACATTATAATGGTCATCACAAAAGGGTGTGTGTACATGGTGGTGTGTGTTACAGAAAGAAGGGAGATCAAAACCAATAGCAGGTTAAAGGTATATTATGCTAATTCTAAACGGCACATTAGTTCCACTACTTGAACACTTTTCTATTTTAGAAGGATGGAATAGCGTCATGACTACCTAAATGTACCACAGCATTTGTATGTGCAATCATCCAACCACAGTAACTAGTGCACACAAAAACACTCTTGATCTAAAATACAAAAACGTGTACAGGGCAAAAACAGGCAATGAAAAATACTTATACTTGTCCTCATGTCTGTCTATGTCTTTCTAACCCTCCCTCTCTGTCTGCCTGTCTGTCTGTCTGTTTAGTATATCAGTCAATTACACATTCATGGCAGGGGACGAAAGCAACATATTGCCTTTCAGGCAGCCCTAGCTAGCATTATTATTAGCGCTGCATCGTCCCAGCAGCGTACTACAATACCATTAAGACATAGGAACTATTCTCATCTGTTCCTGTGGGAGCTGGCCAGGGAGAGGAGGAGAGGAAAGTAGGACAGAAAGTAGAGGCACTTCAGGAGAATAACGACACAAAACAAGTGATTATTCTAGAAATGGAGGATGAGGAGGGCGGGGAGATAAAAGGCAGAGGCATCATCTCATTTCATTTTTTCAGTCTCTCTCTCTCTCTCTCTCTCTCTCTCTCTCTCTCTCTCTCTCTGTGTTTCTTCTCAACCATCCCCCGCTCGTTCCCAGACTGACAGAGAGGTCTCAGTTTACCACAGCTTCACTATAACCATGGTAAACAAACACAGACACACACACAGCACTGAAACGTAGCTTCACATGCCAACCGCAAACAACCAAACAGCAGATACGACACCTCCACTTGAATCAGTTTGTTGGAAAACATATGACAACAACTAAGTCCATATATAAAATGGGCTTACAATCCAGCCTCTATCAAAGCAGGGTAAGATTCAGTCCATGGAGTAGCTTCAAATCCTTGGGGATAGTAGGGTACACAAACCTGTAGTCTATAATAATACCGCCCACCCTGCTACTCTGGACATCTAGTTTCAACCTGACCTCATGCACTACAATAGAGGTGAAGAGAGAAGAAGGCAGAGAGGTTACGGAGAGAGGGAGGAGGAGAAAGGAAGACAGACGGGAAGAAAAAGCTTAAGTGATGAAAGACAGAGAGAGGAAGGGGAGAAAACCGAGGCAGAGAGAAGAAAAGAGAAGAAAATCACAAGAGTGGCCCACTGTGTGTGCGAGTGTCGTTGTGTGTGTGTATGTGTGTGCTTCCTCCTCACCTGGTCTACCTTCAGGTGGAAGGCAGCAGACATCTCCAGCAGGGTAGAGCGTTCGTCCAGGGCAGCAGCGAAGGCCTTCCACTCCTGCTCCAACTGACCTGAGATCTGCTGGATCTGCTGCGACGCGTAGTGGCCAGACTCCAACAGCCGGTTCCCCACAGACATGATGCGGTTGATATTTACATAGACATTCTGGAAGGAGAGTGGAGGAGACATATTAGATATCATGTAAGAGGGGAGAAGACATGACAAGGTTAATAGTTACATAGATATTCTGTAAGGAGAGGGAGGGGACATGATAGACATTCTGTAAGGAGAGGGGAGAAGGCTTTAAGTAAAGTGTAACCAATATTTACATAGACAGAGGGAGAGAGGGAGGGAGACAGACAGACAGGGTAGACAGACAGAGAGGGAGGGAGACAGAGCGGGAGGGAGACAGAGAGGGAGGGAGACAGACAGGGTGACAGACTGAGACAGAGAGGGAGGGAGACAGACAGACAGGGTGACAGACTGAGACAGGGAGGGAGGGAGACAGACAGGGTGACAGACAGACAGAGAGGGAGGGAGACAGACAGACAGGGTGACAGACTGAGACAAGAGGGAGACAGACAGACAGGGTGACAGACAGACAGGGTGACAGACTGAGACAGAGAGGGAGACAGACAGACAGGGTGACAGACTGAGACAGAGAGGGAGACAGACAGACAGGGTGACAGACTGAGACAGAGAGGGAGACAGACAGACAGGGTGACAGACTGAGACAGGGAAGGAGGGAGACAGACAGACAGGGTGACAGACTGAGACAGAGAGGGAGACAGACAGACAGGGTGACAGACTGAGACAGAGAGGGAGACAGACAGACAGGGTGACAGACTGAGACAGGGAAGGAGGGAGACAGACAGACAGGGTGACAGACTGAGAGGGAGACAGACAGACAGGGTGACAGACTGAGACAGGGAGGGAGGGAGACAGAGAGGGGCAGGAAGGAGGGAAGGAGACAGAGACGGGCAGGAAGGGAAGGAGGGAGACAGAGAGGGACAGAGAGAGAGGGAAACAGAAAGACAGACCGGCAGACAGAGAGGGAGACAGACAGACAGAGAGGGAGGGTTAGAAAGACATAGATCAGCACAGGGTGGGCCATGGCTACAGCCCCGGCCACAGGAGGGCCTACGTCAATAGTAAGGGCCTGGGAGGTTAACACAGGAGACACACACACAACCTACACACACACACACACACAACCCAGTCCAAATCATACACAAACACCCAGAGAGACTATTACTCACTGAGAAGAGAAAATAACCACTTCAGTCCAAACAAAAACACCAGCTATCCTTGGCCTCTACTCTCTTATGTTACAGTGAACAGAGGGGAGGTACACTGTCAACTGGAAACAGCAAATAAGACGGCTACTAGCACTGTGCTAAGTGCCTGTATTGTGAAACCAAAACCAAGCTGCATCCTGTTGAGAAAATACTTAGAATGTTCAAGTCAAAAATGTGTCCAGAATTGAGAATATCAGTGAAGGTAAAAAACAACTTGAGATTCATGGTAAATGACATGTTACAACATTTCAAAATGGTCACCCAACTGCTGAACCAACAAACGCAGCCAATCAAAAGCTTAAGGAAGTGACGGTGGGTGTGCAGCTGGCAGCTGATGTTAGTTATCCTGTGAAGCGTAGCGAGACGAGCGGAGTGGAGGGGCTACACACATGGGAGCGGAGGAAGTCCCTCTAGTCTGACCACATGTCCACATGCTTCCACTCAGCCAGCCCCAGCCAGCCCCGATGGACGCCCACAGCACTGTGTGTGGCTGGGTGGGGAGAGAGAAGGGGAGGGGAGGTGAGGATAAGGGAGGGCATAGCAGGAGATCCACCCAGACAGAAAGGAGGTTCAGTCACGGGTCATGAGTTTCTCCCTCTCCTTTATCACCCATATCACAGTGGTAATCACAGGGCTTAAGGCTACACTGCTCACTGCCTGCCTGCTGCTCGAAACGGAACACTTTGGATGGGTTTGAATGTAATAGTACAACTTCCAATTCAAGGAAAAGTGAATAGGGGGATCTAGTCTAAGGTACAGTCACACACAGGCTGTGTTGTACAAAAACAGTGGTCATTACTTTTAGTAGGCTTCCTCTTTCATGTGGTCAGAGCTACAATGTTATCCCAATAGTTTAATGAGGTGTTTATGGGAGACGAGCTCTCACTGCCTGCTGTAGAGACACACACACCCACACACACACACACACACACAGTTGATGAGCTCTCACTGCCTTCTGTAGAGATCTACGGCATGCTGGGAAATTACACAACCCACAAGCCTCTGTCGGTTAGGGATCGATACCCTCCCTGACGCTGTCAGCGTCATTCTACTACTCACACACTAAAAACATAACAAAACAAAACAAAACAATGTCCCTTTCATTTTAGTACTCAAAGCTGTTGTGGCAAGATAGACATAGATCAGCAAACACAAATTAATTATTCAATTTTACATGCAGGACTGTTAGCATTCAATTACCCCTGGCTGAAACAATTACAGGTCTTTGTAGCCTGGTTTTAATCTAAATGAGAGGCTTTAATGAATTACACAAAACAGCAGTGTGCTCTGAAACAGAGGTTGGTGAATCCTCATTATACTAATCCATAGCAGGGGAGCAGCAATGGACCAATGTTCAACATCTCTGTCTGCAAACACTGTTTAAACTGATGAGAGCTGAAAACTGCACGCGGACAAACAGACAGACATACGGACGGACACACACAGGGCTGGGCTAGATAAAGACATCTGCCCTCCTGAAAAACGACAAACGCCTCTGACTCCGGTTGACATCTGTGGAGCATTAAAATGTGAGGCTAAATAACAGTCTCTCTCCACTACATGGCTTCATTCCTGGATGTAAAAGGACAGACAGCATGGTATCTTAGCCGGAGGACAGGTCTAATCTAAAACTCCTGGAGGATGTGGGTTTAAGGGAAAGAAAACACTGGGTCAGGCCTCTGCATAGTATCCATTGACTGATCACATGACATACAACACCAAGGCTTATCCACACAACAGTATACCACAAAACATTCCTATGTCTCTCAAGCATCACACATACTGAGCACTTAGAGCAGGGAGGGTCCACTCCACAGAGGAAAATACTGGCACTTCTACTACTGTCACAAAGCCCATTTTTGCATGGCAAAGATATGAACTGTGGCTGCTTTCCATCTCCACATCCCAGACTTGGGGAATTCAAAACAAATGCAATCAAGAGTTATTTGTCTACGCCAAAGGGACTGGTCCGACATCGGGTGTATAGTGAACATGATAGTGATAGTGTTTCCATCGTGTTTTCGGTGTAAACAAACAGGCAACGTTACAGATAGGAGATAGGATCAGGATGGAACAGGAAGAACTAATCAATGAGACTGACACTGTAATGGAGGACTTGGCATACGCCCATAATCCAAGTGTGCATCCCAAATGGCACCCTATTCCCTATATAGTGCACTACTTTTGACCAGGGCCCATATGGCTCTAGTCAAAAGTAGTGCACTATGTAGGGAATAGGGTGCCATTTGGGACATAGCCCTAGGCTCAGAGACTCTAAGAGGGTGAGGGTGGAGGGGGGAGAATGTCTTAAACAGGAAGCACCTGGGGTTACTGTCTGGATTCTCCAAAATGAGGAACACGACAGAAAGGCTATTTTTATTTCATATTTACCTTGTTTAATATTCACACAGAGAAGAGACACTAGGAGACTAGGCGAAAATGACATCATATGTCCATTCTAGCATAACCATTTCCATTATGTGTTTCAAACAGGCTTCCGTTGTGTCGCTATCGGATGGCCAACTGCTTTTCTATTGAACTGGTATTGAATTTCTGTCAATAGTCAAGGGCATGTTCTTCCCCAAAGTGGAACCATAGAGTGTAATGTTAGAACACCCCCATAGGTGGCAGACTACCATCACATCTCTATACTTTGCATTAGCATATTACAAATTACAAAATCATAGATAATCATCATTTTGCATTTTTCTCTAGCATCAGCCCCAGCCTAAATGGCATCGCTGAACTCTAGTCTAGCTGGGGAATCGGGGCTATTGGGATATTTACTCAAGGTGGCAAGAAGCAGATTTATCACAACAGTGAACACATTAACACATTGTGATTACAACTGCTGCTGTCCATTATGCTTTCATTGTGATATCTGCCCTTTCAAACGCACGCACACAAATACCACCTTACCATTTTACCCTCACAGTTTCATCATCAGCAACTAGCTCTACCTCCCAAATATGATCCTGACAGTCACACAGTCTTTCTAGTCAACAGGAAGCTTGGCATCCTGGGGAAGAGGGGGCGTCAGTCCCTCTTTTCCAGAGTCCCCCTGCCTATTGTTGACACTGCACACTGATGGCTAAGTCATGCACAATAATGCCTGTGTGCCTGTGACCAGGGCTGGGTCTAGGTCTGGATGATCCCCCTGCCTCACTGGGGCCTGTTTGTCTGTCAGCTTCTCAAAACAAGCTAGGCTGGCTCAGCACAAAATAACTTGATAAACCTCTACAAGCAAGATCATACTAAATGATAAGAGGATAACATTTAATTGTATAGAGCAGTGGTTCCCAAACTGTGTGGCGAGGGGTCAGCAGAAAAATCAAATAATAATAATAAAATAAAATACTGTAATGTATTTTAAGGAACTCAGTCCGGATTTAAACTTACTCTTGAAAGTTGTAATAGTAGAATGCACAAGGTGACATTTCGAAATTGGGTTGTGCATCATCAGTTTATCTTGTCCTGTTAGTCATTGCATACCTTAGAGAGCTATTTATAACTTGTCAGAAATGTCCAGATCAATTAGCCCATGTTAGCTAACGTTTTTTTATTTAGTTTTTTTAGCCCATAGATATTGTTGTACTTTATTTGTTACTCAAATATCACATGAATACACATTAGACATGGCAAAATGTATAGAATTGCAAGAAAATGTGCTTTAAAACCGCAACATTTTCTTTGCACCCCATGACAAAATGTGTAGAATTGCAGCAAATAAGCTTTAAACTTGCAAAATTATTTCCATCAACAAGAGGGGTGTGAAAGGAAGGAAGGAAGGAAACAATGTCATACAGAAAGAGCACTGCCACTTAGTGTAAGTGTACTTTACAGTATTAGACCATCATACAATCTACAGCATGGTTCCCCAACTGGCGGCCAGCGGGCCAAATTGTTTTATTTGGCCCCACAAGTTTCATTGTTATTTTTTTGGGGGTTGAATTTTCATTGTTAGACATAAATAATGTAAAAACACCAGGAAATCAGCTCCAAGTGATTTTTATTTGGGAAATCTGTTCCTAAGTATTCCCACGCATAATAGATAGACGTGATCATATACACATTTTTTAGTCAAATATTATATCTGTTTGGGCTTCTTGCGGTCAATTTGTAGTCTAAAAATTATTTGTAATTATGTTCCGGCCCTCCGACCATCCGCTCAAGAAAAAAATTGGCCCGCGGCTGAATCTAGTTGATGATCCCTGATCTAGAGAATCCCAAAAATACAGTACAACAAAAAGCAAGGGCTTCAATTCATGCCCTCATTTTTCCCTGGTTGGTCCCATGAGCAGCAGAGAGTAGATGGGGGCCGGAGCTAGGGCCCTGTACTGACTACTGACAACCAGGGCAAGGCACAGGGGAGGGCTGGAGAGGGCAAGGAGGAATGGAGGGAGGGAGAGAGGGCAGGGAGACCAAGTGATTTATCATCTTCCCCTAAAGAACACAGCTAGGGCCTTTAAACCCTGCAGGCAGCCAGGGAGGGCCAGGGCAGTCAGCACACACATACACACGTGGCCCCTTTAAGGGGGGGACTATAATTAAGAAATAAGATATAGATTATTATAAATATGCTATAGATGACTATCAAGAAGCTTCAACATATTATAACACAAGGCTGAGGGGTACAGTAGTTTATGGTCATTCGGTTACACCATTGAGTCAATCAGTAATGTAGAAGAGTGTATTCTTACCATACAGTTCATGGCAAAGTGGTTGTGCTGGGTCTGCAGCTCCCCGGCATGCTGGTGGTTCCCTCCTATCTCTGTGTAGCTGGTCAGGAACAGGCCCTTGTTGTGCATGATCCAGTCAAACATCTGTGGATGGCGCGACACACACACACACACCCATGGGCACACAAACACGCACGCAGGCAGGCACAAGCACACAGAAGAAGATCTCTATTAGCAGGTACTATATCTTACAGCTCTGGGGAAGAGAGAGAGAGAGACAGAGAGCAACAGAGAGGGGGGGGGGGGGGGGCTGGGCTAAAGGCTGATGACATGGATGTTTGGACTCTCAGGGAGGCAGATGGAATGACTCCACTCCACTGTATTGAACTGTGTGTCACCCTGACCCTAGTGTCATGTTGTCATACTGCCTACACTCGTGATGTTGTCACTGGGAACGCCAGACAGCTGGTCGAGATTCGTGTCACCCTGGAGTGACCTCTAGCTGATAAGAAACCTCAGTGTGACGGCTACCATTTCAACTTGACCTCTGAGACATGCTTTGATAACCGGAGACAATAATGACATGCTTGGGGAGGAAGAGGAGGAAGAGGAAGAAGAGGATGAGGTGGTGGTGTAGGAAGAGGATGAGGAAGAGGAGGTGGTGGTGGGGAGATGTAATTAAAGCTTTGCTCTGACTAACTGACAAACATGTCTGTTTCCACAGCAGGCAGGCATCACATCACCATCTGGCTGATAGCTGCATGACATCCATATAACTGTAGCTGGATCTATGCACACTGACAGGCTATGGGCCATTACAGTATACTGCAAACAAGCACCATTACTCCTGCAGCTACTTATCCCATTCTGTTCGGCAGATTTTTTATTTGCTATGAAGTAATATTCTTAGTGCAAATACAGACTGCTTTCTTTCTAGTTACGAATGCTAGGATGAAAGATATGGACTAAAATGTGAGTCATTTGATTAGAAACAAGCCTTGTTCTATTAACACAACAGTGAAAGTAGTGTATAGTTAGTTCATAACCCACCTTCTCTGCATCCTGCTCAAACAGCCGCAGCTGGAAGCACTGGTCCAGTTTCAGCTTGCGCATGTGCCACAGCTGCTGCAGGTGCTGGCGTGTGCCATGCAGCTTGTCCAGCAGGGCACTCACTTTGGGCACCAGGTTGTGGGCATCTGGGTGGCCTGTGAGCCCATCGTTAGCATCCGTTCCCCCGCCGCCGCGGTTAGTGTAGCCTCCAGGGGTGACACTACCCTGCTGTAGTCTCTGGAGCAGCCTGCGTCCCTGTGTGTCCAACTCCTCCACCGAGGCCTTGGTGGCTCTCTTCTTGAGCGAGGCGTGTTCCTCCATGAGGCGCCGTGCCCCCTCCAGGTCGCGCGGAAGGTCACGCTGCGCCAGGGTCTCCTGCAGCTCCTCCAGCCGTGCCAAAGCCCGGGCGGCATCGCCCGCGAAGTCCTCGAAGGCCACGCGCACCTCGATCCACTCATCGTGGTCGTACTCCAGGCTGCCCTCGAAGTCTGACGTCAGCTGGGAGGGGTCCACCACCTTGGTCAGGCCCTCGAGAGACACCATGACCGTCTGGAGGAAGAGGGTTCAGACACTAATATAAACTGCAGTCTATGAGGAAGGTATGGAAGGAGATCCGAGAAGTAGAATGTCATCTTATGACACTTAGACGTCATTCTTATTCTATGGGAGAGGCACAATCAAATTACACCCTAATGCATGAGACGCCCGAGATGCAGATATCATTATTATAATGACTATCATGTTACTAAACCAATAGAATAGATTCTGTTATCACTGTGAGTCAAAATTCTATAACCAACATAATTAAACATGGATTATGAGGAGTGGTCAACAACAGATCTATTACGTCCAATGTTTACTTGAAAAGGTAGGCAAAAACATTCCAGTAACTTTAGCTGCAGCCATGTTAGCAGTCATAACACATGGATAAAATCCCTATGCGATAACATCAACACATGCAGTATCCACAGCTCTTTAAAGCCCATTCATGTGTATGTTGTGTATTCTTTAGCAGTGAATGGGCTCTGACTAACGCCAATCTGGATGTCCCTAATCAAACTGCCCTCTTTACTGAGACTGCTCTCTCTGCGGCCCATATATCCTTGTTCCACACTAAATAGGTCAGAACTCAATTTAACAGCTCCAGCTTCCTACCCACACGGGACTCTCTCTGTCACTGCTTTAATATCACTTTCCAATTCCACACACCACTTCCAAGGGCTCATAACCACATCTTGGAACACTTATACACAACTTTCATTACATTTGAAGGCAAACAATTCATTTGAAGAAAAACTAATAAAAACATTCAAATTGCAAACTAATTTCCTCATGCCTTACAACTCCAGAGACTACAAACATATTCTCAGTATAGCCTAAAGATGATTAAGACATTCAATCTCCTCAGACACTTTTGGGAAAAGATCCACATCTGATGATCGATTCAAAGCGGTTGAGTCATAATGCTATAGTACAATTCTCAGAACCCATAAACCAATCTCGCGCTAGGTAGCTAGCTTGCTCGCTCAAATTATTCTGTATGAATGTCATCACAAGAGACTATGCAGGGTGGACCTACCTCAAATTCAAACTTGGAGCTCCCGAAATTGGTCCTCTGTTTCTGCCAGAAGTTGTCTGGTTTGATGATGAGGGCGACTTGGATACAGGAAGGGAAGGACTCCTGCAGGATCTTCAGCAGAGGCTTGATGCTGTCCCACTTAGAGCCTCGCATGTCAACGATGACCGTGAAGCCATGTCTGCTCACCTCCTCACTGAGATAAACCAAGACAACAACCACAAGCAGCCAAAATCACAAATAACCACTCAAATATTTGGTGTACTTCCATGACAAATGTTAGAATAAGAAAATAAAAAAAACGATTCTTAATATTCAAATGAAAATGAAATGGGTGGTGAAAATCTCTCACCAGGTGCCTCAGAAAAACAAAAACAAAAAATTCAACTGTTGAGATCTTCAATGACTGCGCTTACAAAAAGTGTCCTGCTGCAAAAGTACCATAAAAGGATATCCCCAGTGTTTAAGGCTTAACGTGAGTGTCTCACAGCACAGAAGGAGGCCCTGTGCTCTGAACTAAATCACTATGACTTCACTCTCTGAAAAGACCAGCCCAACCGTCTCCCAGAGAGAAAAAATAAAACAACAGTGGAAGAGAACGAGTGAACCGGAGAGAGAGAGCGAAATAGAAAGTGAGTGAGAGATAAAGTGAGAGCGAGAGTTTGTTTGTGTGTATAAAAGAGAGAGGGTGTAAAACTGCCCTCCCCCTGAGTGGACAGCACAGACAGTCTAGTCGAGGTAACGTTCCACTAGCAACGCCATTAGCCAAATGCCCACGCCACCCACGTCCTAGTCCAGACCGACGCCCCTTCCCTCCGGACGCCGCCCGCACCAGATCCCCTAGACTGTTTTCCTAACCACTAGTCAGCCTCTAGGCTAGTATCCAATAACACTGAGACAGACAGAGGAGAGGGGAAGCTTGACTGCAGCAAAACAGCACAGAGAGAGAGAGAGAGAGAGAGAGAGAGAGAGAGAGAGAGAGGAGAGAGAGAGAGGAGAGAGAGAGAGAGAGAGAGAGAGAGAGAGAGAGAGATCTGGCCTGAGAATATCTATCTGCAGTTAGTTATTAGTAAGTCACCCACTCTGATGTGCTCTCCTCTCCTCTGCTCTGCCTGGCAGGCTGGCGTCATCAGCCCCTACAGAGAGAGGCCCAGGGGTAGTCTAACCTACATACAGCCCTGCACTGCACTACACTACAAACACACACACGCACACATGCATACAGACACACGCACAAGCATACAGACACACACGGACACACACACACTGTATACTGAGTAAACTATATCAACCGTCAGTGGTAACGGTACTGCACCGGGCTGAGGGCTGGAGTATAATATTCTCTCTAATGCTGCATAGGGAGGTGACTGCTCAAAATGAGTCCATTTCAAATAAAGCAGAGAGGGAAATCACGGTTGAGGAGGAGTCGAATTTGAAAACACACAGTGATACACAGGTGGTAGTCTGGGGAGGGTTGCCTCATTCACGCTGTGACACAGAGGAGAGTCAACAAGCTGGTTTTCATTATCCAAGTTTTCGAGTTAATACTGTGTGTGTGTGTGTGTAGTGCAGGGAAAGGAGGCTCCAAGGCCAGGCTGGGTTCAACAGTGTGTTCAGTTATCATTTACGTATAAGAAACACTACCTGGGGATACCAGCGAGGTAGGCTATGAGTCTGCGGAGGTCCTCTGTTCGTATTCTGTCATGGTTACTCCTGGCTGGGAAGGTAAGGACGGGACCCCCGCGTCTATCTCGGCCACCTGGGGAACACAGGAACCAGGACCATCAGAAACACACAACAATGGACAACCACTAAAAAGGGTTTGACAAATCCTGCTAGTTCTCCTCACCTTTTACAGTATAATGGACTCTTATCGTAATACCGGCAACTGAAGAATGCATGACTATTTTACAATAATAGGAGTACTTTGAGTTAAAATCCCTCATCATATTTATAGCTTTTTACAGCATACTTTGTAGCTTTTAGTTAGAGGCAAGACTAAGTCATGAGTCTTGACATGACTAAGTCATGTCAACAGTAAGTCACAGCAGGTCAGGGTCATGACACGGTTCACACAGAGAGCTCCACTCACAGCTTAGCTGTAGCTACATCTCCCTGTAGAGGAAACTTGCCTTCCTGATGTTTCCCTGTGTTGTGTTGTAGGCTAGGCTGTTATGTTGTGCCCACCATAATGTGCTGCCTATTCCCAGTGCTCTGTAGTAAATGTAGAGCTTCAGTGAGGCAGTTTGTGTGTGTGTGTGTGTGTGTGTGTGTGTGTGTTTACGTGCATTCGTTCTGGAGTTCACATGACATTCTTGTATACTAAAGACCATGTAGAATGGTAAACACCATGGATCAGGGACACTGTGTTTCTCACCTGATACGAAGGCAACCTTTTCTTTAAGGATGGGCAGAACGTCTATGGCCTTCATCTCCTCATTTCGATGAAACCCTGAAACGAACAGAGAAATGCAGTCAGTCAGAACAGCAAATCAGACCATCGAGGTTCAGTTTTGGATTGAAGTTGACTTGATAACATGACGACAGTCAATCAGGCATGTTCTCATCGTTACTAACACACCACCTGCTTTGGGTTAGGTCTGAAAAGGTTCAGAGCCACAGAGTGTACCAGTCTGTTAAAAATCAGTCTCTGAAGTTGACCCAGTTCCAGCAGCAGAACCCTGAAGTGAGATTAAACCAGCCATCTCTTTCTCATTACAACCATATGACAAGTTGAACTCTTGAGAAGGCCTAATAGGAATTCAGAATGGCGACAACTACTAATAATAACAAAAATAGACCATAGACGTTATGAGTACTATCATGAACAAAGTGGTTCAATCCTTATCGTACAACCAAGCAGTCAAAGAGACAAAGCAGTGACTGTAGATAGATAGCATCATAGCTATAGCTCTGTAGTCTGGTCTTAACTCATATCCTCGCCTACTCACCAGATGGCTTACAGTCAATATAGAGAGCAACCCACACACACACACCCACACGTGTACGTACGACCACACACACACACCTTTACATTGTGTCATAGCATCATAGCGCAGCTTGTAAATAAGACAGAGTAGATCCTGTAGTCATACAGTATATCCTGTAGTCATACAGTAGATCCTGTAGTCATACAGTAGATCCTGTAGCCATACAGTAGATCCTGTAGCCATACAGTAGATCCTGTAGTCATACAGTAGATCCTGTAGTCATACAGTAGATCCTGTAGTCATACAGTAGATCCTGTAGCCATACAGTAGATCCTGTAGCCATACAGTAGATCCTGTAGTCATACAGTAGATCCTGTAGTCATACAGTAGATCCTGTAGTCATACAGTAGATCCTGTAGTCATACAGTAGATCCTGTAGCCATACAGTAGATCCTACAGTAGATCCTGTAGCCATACAGTAGATCCTGTAGCCATTCAGTGTAGTAGTAAGTTGATGTCTGCTGCACTGACTAGAGCAGCAGCTTACTGTGTTAGACCTGGTAGAGCAGCAGCTTACTGTGTTAGACCTGGTAGAGCAGCAGCTTACTGTGTTAGACCTGGTAGAGCAGCAGCTTACTGTGTAGACCTGGTAGAGCAGCAGCTTACTGTGTTAGACCTGGTAGAGCAGCAGCTTACTGTGTAGACCTGGTAGAGCAGCAGCTTACTGTGTTAGACCTGGTAGAGCAGCAGCTTACTGTGTTAGATCTGGTAGAGCAGCAGCTTACTGTGTTAGATCTGGTAGAGCAGCAGCTTACTGTGTTAGACCTGGTAGAGCAGCAGCTTACTGTGTTAGACCTGGTAGAGCAGCAGCTTACTGTGTTAGACCTGGTAGAGCAGCAGCTTACTGTGTTAGACCTGGTAGAGCAGCAGCTTACTGTGTAGACCTGGTAGAGCAGCAGCTTACTGTGTTAGACCTGTTAGACCTGGTAGAGAAGCAGCTTACTGTGTTAGACCTGGTAGAGCAGCAGCTTACTGTGTTAGACCTGGTAGAGCAGCAGCTTACTGTGTTAGACCTGGTAGAGCAGCAGCTTACTGTGTTAGACCTGTTAGAGCAGCAGCTTACTGTGTTAGACCTGGTAGAGCAGCAGCTTACTGTGTTAGACCTGGTAGAGCAGCAGCTTACTGTGTTAGACCTGGTAGAGCAGCAGCTTACTGTGTTAGACCTGGTAGAGCAGCAGCTTACTGTGTTAGACCTGTTAGAGCAGCAGCTTACTGTGTTAGACCTGGTAGAGCAGCAGCCTACTGTGTTAGACCTGGTAGAGCAGCAGCTTACTGTGTTAGACCTGTTAGACCTGGTAGAGAAGCAGCTTACTGTGTTAGACCTGGTAGAGCAGCAGCTTACTGTGTTAGACCTGGTAGAGCAGCAGCTTACTGTGTTAGACCTGGTAGAGCAGCAGCTTACTGTGTTAGAGCTGTTAGAGCAGCAGCTTACTGTGTTAGACCTGGTAGAGCAGCAGCTTACTGTGTTAGACCTGGTAGAGCAGCAGCTTACTGTGTTAGACCTGTTAGAGCAGCAGCTTACTGTGTTAGACCTGGTAGAGCAGCAGCTTACTGTGTTAGACCTGGTAGAGCAGCAGCTTACTGTGTAGACCTGGTAGAGCAGCAGCTTACTGTGTAGACCTGTTAGAGCAGCAGCTTACTGTGTTAGACCTGGTAGAGCAGCAGCTTACTGTATTAGACCTGGTAGAGCAGCAGCTTACTGTGTTAGACCTGGTAGAGCAGCAGCTTACTGTGTAGACCTGGTAGAGCTGCAGCTTACTGTATTAGACCTGGTAGAGCAGCAGCTTACTGTGTTAGACCTGGTAGAGCAGCAGCTTACTGTGTTAGACCTGGTAGAGCAGCAGCTTACTGTGTTAGACCTGTTAGAGCAGCAGCTTACTGTGTTAGACCTGGTAGAGCAGCAGCTTACTGTGTTAGACCTGGTAGAGCAGCAGCTTACTGTGTAGACCTGGTAGAGCTGCAGCTTACTGTATTAGACCTGGTAGAGCAGCAGCTTACTGTGTTAGACCTGTTAGACCTGGTAGAGAAGCAGCTTACTGTGTTAGAACTGGTAGAGCAGCAGCTTACTGTGTTAGACCTGGTAGAGCAGCAGCTTACTGTGTTAGACCTGGTAGAGCAGCAGCTTACTGTGTTAGACCTGGTAGAGCAGCAGCTTACTGTGTTAGACCTGGTAGAGCAGCAGCTTACGGTGTTAGACCTGGTAGAGCAGCAGCTTACTGTGTAGACCTGGTAGAGCAGCAGCTTACTGTGTTAGACCTGGTAGAGCAGCAGCTTACTGTGTTAGACCTGGTAGAGCAGCAGCTTACTGTGTAGACCTGGTAGAGCTGCAGCTTACTGTGTTAGACCTGGTAGAGCAGCAGCTTACTGTGTTAGACCTGGTAGAGCTGCAGCTTGCTGTGTTAGACCTGGTAGAGCAGCAACTTACTTAACTACTAAACTGGTGAGAGGTGACAGAGACAGAGACAGAGAGTGAGAGTGAGAGTGAGAGTGAGAGTGAGAGTGAGAGTGAGAGTGAGAGTGAGAGTGAGAGAGAGAGAACATTGTCACTTGCTTTGGCAATGTTAACATACGTTTCCCATGCCAATAAAGCCCTTAAATTGAATTGAATTGAAATTGAAATTGAATTGAATTGAGAGAGAGAGAGAGAGGGAGAGGGGGAGAGAGAGAGAGCGAGAGAGAGCGAGCGAGTGAGACGGAAATAGAGAGAGAGAGAGAGAGGGAGAGACAGAGAGAGAGAGAGACAGAGAGAGAGTGAGAGAGAGAGAGAGAGAGAGAGAGAGAGAGAGAGAGAGAGAGAGAGAGAGGGAGAGAGAGAGAGCGAGAGAGAGAGCGAGTGAGACGGAAATAGAGAGAGAGAGGGAGAGACAGAGAGAGAGAGAGACAGAGAGAGAGAGAGAGACAGAGAGAGAGAGAGAGGGAGAGAGGCGGGGGGGGGGGGGGTCTATTTCAAATAAAGCAGAGAGGGAAATCACGGTTGGGGAGGAGTCGAATTTGAAAACACACAGCGAAACACTGGTGGTAGTCTGGGGAGGGTTGCCTCATTCACGCTGGACTCCAATAGAATGTGACACGGAGGAGAGTCAACAAGCTGGTTTCCAAGTTTCAGAGTTAATGCTGTGTGTGTGTGTGTGTGTGTGTGTGTGTGTGTGTGTGTGTGTGTGTGTGTGTGTGTGTGTGAGCGTATAGTGCAGGGAAAGGAAGCTCCGAGGCCAATGCTCTCACTCTGAATATTTTATGGACATGCTAATAGGCAGTAGCTAGGCTTTATCTCCTGCAAAGCTACAACATAATATAGTTCCCACTCTGTGCCTCCCCATGGGGAGAGATGATTTGTGTCCCAAATGGCACCCTATTCTATATGGGGTCTGGCCAAAAGTAGTGCAATAAATAGAGGATAGGGTGCCATTTCGGACACATTCATGGTCATATTACCATATCAAACCACTCATCGTGGTCTCAAACTGCAGTCCCCTGTCCCCAACCCACTTTGTCACAGCTCAGATTTTTTGTTGTTGCAATTATCCAAACTTGATTATTCATTTGACTGTTACACAAAATCCGACTTTCACAAGGCATTGCATGATATGATTAATAGCATCTTATCAAAAAAGGTGTGATTGTCGATTAAAAAGTATTATTTCATTCTGAGATAAGAGGTTAAAACAGTTGCCAGAGAGGGACAGAAAGGAGCATGAAATAAAGGTTGTCAATCACTCTGCCTTGATAATGCATTAATAATGAGGGCAATCCATTCTACAAACTGCATAGAAACAGCTTTATACAATATAGGCCTCCTGCTGTGCCTCGCTGGAGAGAAAATGGACCTGTTTAAACATGAATGGTTAATGCCAGGTGAGGCATTGTAAGATCTGTTATTGAGGTAACATGTAGTACTGAGTACTGCAGTTTATACTCAGATGCGTTAGTTTATGGGTGTTTTGCCCTGTGTTTGAGGCGCGTTTGCCTTTGTGGGCTAATGAGTCGATTTAATCTATTGCTATTGGTCAAATGTGTTATGTTTTAATGAAGTTACGTATTTTCCCCTAACCAGTGCCACCATTTTCCTCATCTGTCTGTTTTATATTTTGTCAATATAACACTGGATCCAGTCCTCTCCGTCACCTGCACTGTAGGCATAGGCTACACTCTCAGAAAAAAAGGTGCTATCTAGAACCAAAAAGGGTTCTGAAGAACCATTTTTTCTAAGAGTATACAACCAATAACGCCGATCTACTGACTCTGTTGCAACTGTTGCTGCGCCACACCAACTAAACAGACTGCCGGGTCCTCTATCCTAACACAGGCCTACTGTAAGTACCAGAAAGTATCCATAGTCATCAGAATTTTCTTAGATAATATCATAAATAGACTACTAGGAAAGTAAGCCTGCAGCTTTCACCATCAATAAAATAAAGTGTTACCGATGATTCTACCAGTCTGTTGCTGCTGATAAAAATATGATTTCATTCGGAGAGAGGTTAAAAACTGTTGTCACAGACGAACTGCGTAGATTAGACCAAGGTAACAGGATAAAGATGACTCCACCAGTAGCCTGTCAGTCCGTCTTAATATCTGATGCACATAAAATCGAGGGGGGAGTTCTGAGTGAGTCGTGCTCTGGGAGAGGAGAGGCCAACCGATACAACATGGCTACTCCGATTTTCATTCTATCCCACATCTGACCCAGTCAACACTAGTCAGGCCTGACTGGACATCATAACACATTATGTCATTAAGGGAGATTGCAGAGCAGTGCTGGGCCCTAAATAGGATAATATATTGCTTCAGGCAACCAGCTGGGACAGGGACTGTTGGAGAGGGACAGGGGTGGTAAAATAATTCTAAAATAGTTGTATGGTATTAGTGTGTCTGTGTGTACCCTCACCCAAAGAGCAGAGACCATAGGTGGGTGAAGTTCAGGGCTTTGTGTGTGTGCGTGCACATGAATGCCTGCATGCATCCCTGGATGTCTGTGTGTATCTGTGTGCATGTGTGTACGCCCCTCACCCCCATGTCTCATTCCAGTCAAGTTCAGAATATGAGCAGCGTATGAAACTAAGGAAGAGAGGTGTGAGCATGACAACAATACCACCACGTCTGTTCAGCTGCCTCCCTCCATCACTCCTTATCGTCCAACTCCCTTTCATGATCTGACAGACGCATGGCAGCCCAGTGTAAACATTCCTGCAGCAGCATGTGGGAGTGTAGACATGTGTGGTACATCTCTCTATTCCTAGGCTAAGCTACGAAGATATAGCGTAAGAGAGCTACCTAGAGTAGAGCGAGAAGAGCGCAGAGGAGAGATAGAGCGATAGGAGATGTTGATCTATCTCGGAGTCTATAGAGTATCTATATCTCTCTATCGCTCTCTATCTCTCTCCTCTCTCTCTCCTCTCTCCTCTCTCTCTCCCCCTCTCTCTCTCTCTATCTCTCTCTCTCTCTCTCTCTCTCTCTCTCTCTCGTGTTTTTATGAAACAGCCTGTTTCTATGTAACAGCCTGATAATGGTCCACATCCAACACTGATCTCCACTGCACTTCTAGAGGCTTGGAGAAGGGTCAACACAACATAACCACACACACACACTGCTAGAAGTACAGATCAGGGTCGGCAGGGAGAGATAGAGTTCCACTATGTTTTCAGTCTCACACAATGCTCCGCCCAGAAGACAGGCCAGACACACCCTGTTTAGCGGTTGTTGTATGTTTCTCATGCTGGTTCCTATGTTATCCAGGTGGCCAGAAGTAACCGTGAATATGAACAGAGGACCTCCTCAGACTCATAGCCTACCTCGCTGGCACACCTCACACAGGGCTCTGCACGCAGTGTGGCGCAATAAGTAACTTTTGAACCAGAACATGTAGAATCATCAATTTAGCCCAAGCAATTCAAGCATATAAGCTCATATAGGATTTTCACCTGCTAGGCCTACACGTTCAGCCTGCTTTACATGAGTACAAACACCAATATCCCAGCACCTTCACTGTAATATCCCTCCATACAGTAATTGGTGAACAATCATTATAACCCAGGCACCACCACGCAGCCTTCATTTACAAGTCTGCCAAGCATGACATGAAGGTTGTCAATCACTCTGCCTTGAGAATGCATTAATAATGAGGGCAATCCATTCTACTCACTCAGAGTGCTGTCGTGTGCCCTTTGAAAACAAACTGCATAGAAACGGCTTTATACAATATAGGCCTACTGCTGTGCCTCGCTGGAGAGAAGATAAGGAAACACTACTTGTGTTACAATCAGATCAAAAATATTCTGTTCAAACAATGGCAAGAACAACTTAATCATATGACTTATTCATGGAGCCTGATCTACTGCAGGAGATGACAGCTACTGCATCATATTGACATCAACCATTCATTGGTAGGAAAATAATGGCTCAATAGAACCATGATGGTGATGATAGGCTGGCGGTGCAGCATTTGAATCTGTCGATGTGTTGCCCTATAATAGATGATGTTTCACAATGCACACACAATGTTCACTTGATGTAGCTAATAACAGTGTTGTACTCAAGTCACTAAACGTCATGTGAGGTCCTCTGTAGCTCAGCTGGTAGAGCACGGCGCTTGTAACGCCAAGGTAGTGGGTTCGATCCCCGGGACCACCCATACACAAAAATGTATGCACGCATGACTGTAAGTCGCTTTGGATAAAAGCGTCTGCTAAATGGCATATTATTATTATTATTATAAATCGTGACTTGAGTCATGGTTTGAAGGATATACATTCCTTCCTTTGTCTCAGCTAGGGTTCATTCTCCCCACCCCCACATCGTAGCAGTGGAAGAATTGCTCAAGCCGAAAAATATGCTACTGGATTTTGGTTACATTATCATGTAAAAAAAACTGTGCTCCCTCCCTCCCTCCCGTAGATGGAATTACAGAGTAAATGATGAGGGAGCAGAAGGTGTGCCACTGCCGAAAGATTTAATGAATGAATAAAACAAAAATCCTTACGGCCACACACTCTGATGAAAACAGCATTGTGCAGAATACAGACTCCTCCAATACCTCGGCATCCTGTCTACAAGTTCCTGTATATGTTTTATTACATGGATATTTATCACTTTGGGAGCTCTTGGAGAAATTGAAAAAGTATAACTCTCACACCAATAGTATGACCGGGTGTATGGACAAATGGAAAAAATGCATATTGAACAGAAAATAAACTCCACCACTCCAGCTCTTTGAGAAAACATGCATAAATAGAAGATGAATTTAAAGAGAGGTTTTGGACCCACAGCACAGTGTATGCTACTACACTAAGGTTGTCCATGTCCGCGTCCCAAACGGCACCCCTGTGCTGTACCTGGTCTGATCTACTGAAGCAAACATAGAGCCAGGACAGCAGCTCTCTCTAGTCTAAAGTCTGGGGCCTCGCAGTAACCTCTCTCTCACCAGGCACCAGGCACGGTGTAAGGAAAGTATGTCAATCCCCTCTTCAGTCAGTTTAACAGCACTTTACTTACAAGGACCACAGACAGACAGCAAGACCAGCTGCTTCACATGGTCTGTGCCCCAAATGGCACCCTATTTCCTTTATAGTGCACTACTTTTGACCAGGGCCCATGCAGTCCACTATATAGGGAATAGGGTGCCATTTGGGCTGGAGACTTTTAGCCTCTCAGAGGGCTGACTTCCGCACCAGTGTGTTAGTAAACAAGTCCTCACTCTCCCCAGTCAGTCATGTTCATCATAGTGCTCTGCCCCAAATAGGACGTTTTGTGGACGATCTTTGTGGATGACCTATGCTACTACAAGGAGCAAAAGGGTTTAAGTAAGTAAGTAGCTTGAAAAAGCCAATCACAGGACAAGTAAGTTCATTTTGGGCTAGAGGAGGAGGGTAAAACCAATCAACAAGGACATTCTGGACAAAAAGATGGAGCAGCTAAGGCAGGTCTACTACTTCCCCAGCCCCGACGTTATACGGTAGCTAAACCCCCAAACAGTGAACAAACATGAAATGGTGCATTCACCACTTCCCTTATTCATCCTAAATGGATTTCCTGCCCTGGTGCAAATGTATGGGGCTTATTTCTGATTTGGTGAATCAGACCCAGCGTTCCTGGCCACAGCCTCAAGACCAGGATGTAGAGCTTGTCTGTTTCCCAAATGGCACCCTATTCCCTACACAGTGCACATTTTGGACCAGAGCTCTATGGGCAAAAAAAACGAGTGCACTGTATAGGGAATAGGGTGCCATTTGGGATGCAGGCCTTGTGTAAAGAAAGCCATGGCTGGGGCTGTCATGGGACCCATTCTTCACAGCTGTGTCGTGCGCTCAGCTCAGCTTGACTCTGGAGCGCTTCATTTACTTGGTTAAATAAAGGTGAAATAAATAAATAAAATAACAATAAATAAATAAAAAATCCAGAGGAAGTGAGGGTGTTTCTCTTCACCCTGCAGCTCCAGTCACAGAGGCCTCAGCCACTCTAATCCCGTTTGGATGGGTAGTGAACCTTTGCCTGTGTGCTGTGTGCTTTGGCCTGGCTCTGCTCTGCGCAGCACTGACACCCTTTTTCTGAGGATTTAAATATAGCATTTCCTCTGAGGTAACGATGTGCCACTTTCTTTTGCCAGTTTGAGACCCTAAATTAGCAGAAGGCAGAACAGAAACAGGACACAGCCCTGAGTGACCAGGTCTCTCAACGCTACAGAATGTGTCAATGCTCTGTTTTCTGATCAGGTTCTGTCGTTAGTACATAGCAGACCTGGGTTGAAAAAGCCTTTTTTTCCCCTCCCCAATTTTGATCTTGTCTCATTGCTGCAACTCCCCAACGGGCACAGGAGAGGCGAAAGGTGGAGTCATGCATCCTCCGAAACATGACCCACCTAACCGTGTGCGCTCCTTAACACCCGACAGTTTAACCCGGAAGCCAGCCGCACCAATGTGTCGTTCAACTTTTGACCGGGGTCAGCCTGCAGGCACCCGGCCTGCCACAAGGGGTCGCTAGAGCGCGATGAGCCAAGTAAAGCCCCCCCCTGCCAAACCCTCCCCTAACCCCGACAACGCTGGGCCAATTGTGTGCCGTCCTATGGGACTCCCGGCCACGGCCGGTTGAGGCACAGCCCGGGAATGAACCCGGGTCCGTAGTAACGCCTCTAGCACTGCGATGCAGTGCCTTAGACCGCTGCGCCACCCGGGAGGCCGTCTTCTTAAAAAATATATATATATATTATATTTTAGGTGCACTTCCTTGAGCTTACCAGACATGCGGGATGGGCACTGGGCAGGGTTTGGATTTATGGTGAAATCTGAGGTATATAAACTGATACATTCTTAAATCCAGGTGTCTATGCTGTGCTTTCTGAATATTGTTGGACCAGTCATAGTATTAAAGACCAATGATGTGTTGCTGTTGGTATGTTGTTTCCATCTCTCCAGTGAGACAACCTACACTATAATAACAACAGTCTCATGTTCCATTAGTACCAGGGGGAGCGATGAGACCACAAACAACTAAAGTGCTGTACGACCTTCACAGTCATTTGGAAGAGACCCAGCCTTTTTCAGTTCAACAGTTTCACAATCTCTTTTATTGTGCTGTAGCAGCTTCTTTAAAAAAAAATTACTAAATGAAAAACACTAGGCCAGGCTGCTTCAATACTGGGTTGTACTACGTAGATATTCACAGTGGTATCCTCACCATTTTTTATTAAAACACCACTCTGCCATATAAAACATCATTGTAATCAGTATGTTAATGTGGTTTTCCGTGCATCACCCCAAAAAGCCTATAAACTAGTGAAATTACCCTTTTCTCCCTTCCTGCTTTTAAAGGTAGCGCTGTGGCCATCTGCCGACTGATCCCTCTCTTACACACCAGCAACTTCCAATACTGTCCTCACCTCCTTTATTTTACTGCACCCTCTCCCTCTCCCTCTATTGACCGTGGCATTGTTAACTCTACCATTGGCCTCTCCATGGGCAACCCTCTCTGTGTTGTGTGTTCACCCTTTGATCCATCCCTCTAAATCTTTTTTATGAGCCTAGTTCACAAATCGCAACCCAAAGACAATGTGTAATGGTGAACACTAAGCTATAGTCTACAGGCTAACACTTGACCTGTACAGAACGGAGAATGTTACATGTGTCCGTTCTCCGTTCTATACAGGGCAAGGGCAATACTAGACTATACCTTACATCTGTTCTCCCATCTTCTCTAGTCTCCCACCTCCACCTGACAACAAGCCGTCTCAGAGGAGTGTTATGATGAGATAGAGACAGGCCAAGGTGATATGGGACAGACAGGAGGCCAGGCCGCTGTCCCAAATGGCACCCTATTCCCTATATAACACACTACTTTTGACCAGGGCCCATAGGGAATAGGGTGCCATTTGGGATGCAGCCCAGGGCTCTAATGATAAGCCCCTGGAAGAAGAAGTGACAGGTTGAGATGATGGAGATTCACAGTAGACCCTGATCTCATTCCGTAGCTCTCTCTCAGCCCTCTTCATGACAAATGGCCTTCATTTCCTCCTGTCCCCTCAGAGGGAGGAGCCAGGAGATCCACATACTCTTCTGCATTTACCTCACCACTAGTCACAGGTGCATCCCAAATGGCACCTCCTATTCCTATACAGTACACTATATAGGGCTCTGGTCAAAGGTAGTGCACTATGTAGGGAATAGGGTGCCATTTGGGATGCAATCATAGTCTCCAGGCTGGACAATAAACCACAATGTGATTTTTCTGAGAAAACAAGCAATTCCCCCCCGTTTTTACTCACACCGGTCTGTGTCTTCTGTGATCACAAAGAGAGTCAGTGCATGCGCTTGCTTAGACAGAGTCCACATTGAAGCCTTGATGGTCATTGTTCAATTCACTGTTTTCAGATAGATAGCCTGCGCCCCAAATGGCACCCTATTCCCTATATAGTGAACTACTTTTGACCAGAGCCCTATGGGCCCGGCATGGTAGTAGTTCAATATATAGGGAATAGGGTGCCATTTGGTACACAAACATAGCCTATAGCTAATACATAAGGAAACTACAGCATAGGGGCTCTGGTGGATTAGGTGGCTGGAGCCACAGAGTGTCAAGGACACTCTACACTCCTCCCCTCTTCTCTGAAAGCTGATAGCACCTGCTGCTGCAGAGGGAAACTGAACAGCAAACCACACAACTAGAGACTAATGTACCTTAGCAAAACAGTAATGTACAGAAATAGACAATCACAAACCATTCACACAAATGTAATTGTATTTACCAATACAGGAGAATCAACTAGCTTTCCTAATCATGCACCAAGGCAGACACAGAGAGCAACAACAGAGTGAATATTTGTATCTGAGATGACCACTGTAATGTTACCTGACAGTTGGATGAGCGTAGTCCCTGCCTGCGCATATTGCCAGCTGTGGTTATCCAACACCGCCATCATGACAGTACCACGTTAACTCCTGATTTGACCTTTCTCCGTCTAACAAAGGAAGCTAGTGAAATCCTAGGTCATATAGAAATCATAGGTCGGCAGCCGATCATTCCTGTTTGTCTGGGTAGGCAGGCCACCGTACGACAGGAAGACATTGGACAACCTGCCTCTCGGCCTCCCGGGAACCAAGCTTTACTAATAAGGCAATTCCAGGTCTTTTGACCAACTTCAGCTTTTCTCTCTTGTCCCCCGTCGCCCCCCAAATAAGATTTACTGACGACGAGTGTTGCTTTGCATTAAGCAGTTCTCGCCGGCCGCCTGCCTCACTCTCGACTCCATGGAAAAAAGTTAAACCGGACCAAACAGTTGTCGTACATGGATTTGCGGTGGAATAGGCTCTGTTGATGATTGCTTTTAATCCCCTCTCTAATTCCTGGAACCCTGTCCACTACCCAGCAAAATGCAGCCATTTACATCCCACTTACAACTAGGGCTGGAAGGTATACCATATTTTACTATATACCGGTATTGATGCAGGAACCGGTTTGGATTTTTAATTTACCTTCTACAACGGTATATCAATGTTTGTTTTGTTAAATGTGATATACAATTCCAGTGCATGTAATGTCCTTTTTTATGGTTTACTCAGTTTGCTACATGAGTCATCTCTCGCTCCAGCTCCTCCTGCTGCATGCTGCTTCCCACATGCCCCGTCACTCAAGGAGAGAGCACTTTCTTGCCGTTCATTCTGCAGAATGCATGGTCAGATGCAGAAAGATGTTGGTGACAACGATGCTGCTTTCTACAAGCGTTCTATAATTACACTATTAGTTTGTGTATCATACTGTCTGCTAGTTTGTCTTTTCTTAGCAAGTTCTAGCTAAAATAATTTGTGTTAGCCTCTAATGCTAATTGTTAGTTAGCTGGCTACCTAGCTTTCTAAATGTACTAAGTCAGAGCAAACTTAGGTAGCTAATACAGCCTGGTACTAGTGCTGTTGTAGGCCTAGATAAGCATGTTGTTTGTGCAACGTTATCTTCCAAATCAGAGAGGAATAGGCGAAGAATGAATATGTTAGCTAGCAAGCTACATGTAATGTAACATCTAATTAGGGTCCTCTGGAAACACTGACCAACACTTTGTTTCCTACCCTGTCAATAATTCCTCTGTGGCTTATTCATACGTTGTCATGTCAAAGAATGTATTCAAGGTGCTGCCCACTATATTACAACTATAGAATTAGATGAATCATTCTATTTCCATGATTGTCACGCCCTGGCTCTGGGGACACTGTTATGTTGAGCCAGGGTGTGTAGATAATGTGTTTTGTTTCTATGGGTGCTATTTCTATGTTGGCCAGAGTGGCTCCCAATCAGAGGCAACGAGTGTCAGGTGTTGCTGGCTGTCTCTGATTGGGAGCCATATTTATACAGTCTGTTTTTCATTCGTGTTTGTGGGATTTTGTTTCTAGTCGGTTGTGTTAGACCGTGAACTGTCACGTTTTCGTTTTGTTGTTTTTGATCGTGTCTCTAATAAAGAGTATGTTTGCCTGCAACGCTGCGCCTTGGTCCTCATCTCTGTTCGACGATCGTGACAGAAAATCCCACCACAACTGGACCAAGCAGCGAGTCGAGGAGCCATCGCCAGGGAAATCCCTAGCAGATCTCCGTGGCAGCCTCGACTGGGTCAAGCCGAGTGAAGAGCAGAGAGAGTGGACTTGGGAACAATGGAGGAAGAGCTTCGACTGGGTCAAGCCAATTGAGGAGCTGAATAGCGGGAGTTGGAGGCAGAAGAGCGAGAGTTGGGCGAGAACTATAGAGGCCTGGCCCACGGGGAGGAGAGACCCCCAGAAAATTTTTAGGGGGGGGCTCACGACGTCGGGGCAGCAGGAGGCCGCGATAGAGCGGTCCAGCGGGTTGGCAGAGGAGGCCGCCAGGTTACGGGGGCCACTGGTAGAAGAGGGGATGGAAGGTGTAGAGGCACGGCGAGAGGTACTGGGGTGTGTTACCAGTCCGGTCCGGCCCGTTCCAGATCCCGGTGTAGGGCCAGTGGTGTGTGTCCCCAGTACGGTCCGGTCTGTTCCTGCTCCCCGCACCAAGTCAGTGGTGCGCTTCGTCAGCCCGGCTCGGCCCGTTCCTGCTCCCCGCACCAAGTCAGTGGTGCGCTTCGTCAGCCCGGCTCGGCCCGTTCCTGCTCCCCGCACCAAGTCAGTGGTGCGCTTCGTCAGCCCGGCTCGGCCCGTTCCTGCTCCCCGCACCAAGTCAGTGGTGCGCTTCGTCAGCCCGGCTCGGCCCGTTCCTGCTCCCCGCACCAAGTCAGTGGTGCGCTTCGTCAGCCCGGCTCGGCCCGTTCCTGCTCCCCGCACCAAGTCAGTGGTGCGCTTCGTCAGCCCGGCTCGGCCCGTTCCTGCTCCCCGCACCAAGTCAGTGGTGCGCTTCGTCAGCCCGGCTCGGCCCGTTCCTGCTCCCCGCACCAAGTCAGTGGTGCGTTTCGTCAGCCCGGTTCGGCTCACTCCTGCTCCTCACACCAAGCCAGTGGTGTGCGTTGTCAGTCCAGCACGGCCCGTGCCTGTTCTCCACACCAAGCCAGTGGTGGGCGTCGTCAGTCCGGCACGGCCCCGTGCCTGTTCCACTGGTGCCTGGTTCGGCACTGGTCAGATGTTTTACGCCGGAGCTAGAGCAATCCGCTCCATCAGTGTGCAGTCCAGCTCCGGCCAGCGGGGCCAGACCGGACCAGGGGTACTTTGGGGGGTTGGAGAGGGAGCGGGGATCAGGCCCGGAGCCGGATCCGCCGCCTAGGCGGAGTGCCCACCCGGTCCCTCCCCTGTGGTATTTGGTTGACGCGGTCGGAGTCCGCGCCTTTAGGGGGGGGTACTGTCACGCCCTGGCTCTGGGGACACTGTTATGTTGAGCCAGGGTGTGTAGATAATGTGTTTTGTTTCTATGGGTGCTATTTCTATGTTGGCCAGAGTGGCTCCCAATCAGAGGCAACGAGTGTCAGGTGTTGCTGGCTGTCTCTGATTGGGAGCCATATTTATACAGTCTGTTTTTCATTCGTGTTTGTGGGATTTTGTTTCTAGTCGGTTGTGTTAGACCGTGAACTGTCACGTTTTCGTTTTGTTGTTTTTGATCGTGTCTCTAATAAAGAGTATGTTTGCCTGCAACGCTGCGCCTTGGTCCTCATCTCTGTTCGACGATCGTGACAATGATTCAAACAGTTCACCTATTAACTAGGCCAATATGTTTTCCCATATTATGCAGCTCTGTGGGGCACAGTATGGAAATTATAACAAAAGTCCTAGAAATGCAGAACTTTATGAAAATGCAGATCATTATTTTGGTGTGAAGTTGGATTGAACAGTACAAAACATTCAGAATGGAGAAAGCTCCATTGAAATCACTTATAATTTGTGTTTCCACCCTAGGGTCATGAACTACTCATAAAGCATAATTATAACTTTTATTATTAAAAAACATAAAATACCGTCAAATACCAACATACCGTCAAAAATATTGTCATATGATATTACAACCAATGTTCCCTCAAATTATTTGGGGCACTGAGCAAATTTGAGGTCTTGTGAGCGGAAACTTGAATGTGTCACACCCTGGCTCTGGGACTCATTATGTTGAGCCAGGGTGTGTTCATTCTATGTGTTCTGTTTCTATGTTGGGTGTTCTAGTTCGTCATTTTCTATGTTTGACTGAGTGACTCCCAATCAGAGGCAACGAGTGTCAGCTGTTTGCTGGTTGTCTCTGATTGGGAGCCATATTTAACTGTCTGTGTTTCACTTTGGGTTTGTGGGTTTTTGTTCCGTGTTCGGTCATTGTCACCGTGGACTTCACGAGTCGTGTTTTGTTTTGTTTAGAAACTTTAACTAATTAAAGTCATGTTTGTTTCTCACGCTGCGCCTTGGTCCACTCCTTCATACGACGATCGTGACAGAAAAACCCACCATACCAAGACCAAGCAGCGTGTCCAGGAGCAGGCAGCCTGGACGTGGGAGCAGATCTTGGACGGGCAGGGGTCCTGGACCTGGGAGGAAATCCTGGCCGGGATGGATCGCCGGCCATGGAGTGAGACGGTGGAGGCGCGCCGTAGAGAGGAGGTACGGCGTGATCAGGGTCGTCGTCGGACGGTCGTGAGGCAACCCCAGAATTTTTTTAGGGGGGGGCACACGGCATGGACGACGGGGCTGACGGAGGAGAAAAGGGGGCGGATCCAGAAGGCCACCAGGCCAGGGGTACACCGCCCTGTACGTCCTGTGCGGATGCCTCACACAGAGTGTGTGAGGGTAGGCATTCAGCCAGGACGGGTGGTGGCCGCTATTCACTCCAGGCCTCCTATCCGTCTCCACAGCCCGGTTCGGCCTGTCCCTGCTCCACGCACCAAGCCTACGGTGTGCGTCGCCAGCCCAGTCCGGCCTGTCCCTGCTCCACGCACCAAGCCTACGGTGTGCGTCGACAGCCCAGCCCGGCCTGTCCCTGCTCCACGCACTAAACCTACGGTGCGCGTCGCCAGCCCGGTCCGGCCTGTTCCTGCCACCCGCACCAAGTCTACGGTGCGCGTCGCCAGCCCGACCCGGCCTGTTCCTGCCACCCGCACCAAGTCTACGGTGCGCGTCGCCAGCCCGACCCGGCCTGTTCCTGCCACTCGCACCAAACCTACGGTGCGCGTCGCCAGCCCGGTCCGGCCTGTTCCTGCCACTCGCACTAAGCCAGGGGTGCGAGAAGTCAGCCTGGTAAGGCCCGTTCCTCCTCCACGCACCAAGCCAGGGGTGCAAGTCGACAGACTGGACCAGGGGCACTATGGGGGGTGTATTGGAGGGTGGTGGTCAAGGCCGGAGCCAGAACCGCCGCCGAGGAGGTATGCCCGCCCAGCCCTCCCCTGTTTTGTTTAGTTGAGGCGCGGTCGCAGTCCGCGCCTTTAGGGGGGGGGGTACTGTCACACCCTGGCTCTGGGACTCATTATGTTGAGCCAGGGTGTGTTCATTCTATGTGTTCTGTTTCTATGTTGGGTGTTCTAGTTCGTCATTTTCTATGTTTGACTGAGTGACTCCCAATCAGAGGCAACGAGTGTCAGCTGTTTGCTGGTTGTCTCTGATTGGGAGCCATATTTAACTGTCTGTGTTTCACTTTGGGTTTGTGGGTTTTTGTTCCGTGTTCGGTCATTGTCACCGTGGACTTCACGAGTCGTGTTTTGTTTTGTTTAGAAACTTTAACTAATTAAAGTCATGTTTGTTTCTCACGCTGCGCCTTGGTCTACTCATTACTACGACGATCGTGACAGAATGTTGTGAGAATTTTGTGCAACTTCCGGCGTGCATTTGCAGTGAACACTGAGGCTGTACCCTTACAGTTTTAGATAGTAGCCAATAGGCTATTGTGGCTATTTGAGAATAATGTAGGCCTACCAACAAAACCAATGGCGCAAATCCCATAACATTGTCACATGGAAATAGCTTTTGATTTCTATTATATAGCCTACAGTAGCCTATATGTGGTGTTCAATGCAGGCCTACATTGCATGAGACTTTTAAAAACGTATTTACATTATGAAGGGCTTGACATTAATTAATGATTTTTCACTTGATCAGGAACACCATGGGACAAATAGTTGACTGTAAATGACATTGCATTGTATTGTGTTGTATGATATAATATGCAAAGTAATTATTATTACCCATACAGAGAATTAGACAATGTAGGCTACCCCTCTGCCTATTGGCTTATTTGCATAGTCAAGCCTGTCTCAAAATACAACACTGCCCCTTTAATTAAGCCAATTTTACCTGACTGGCTTTTCAAAGAAATGACCAGAACCAAGAACTCATTGATACCCCTATTATAACCAGTATCTTTAGTCATTCAGAGAGAGGCTGTCCAGGAGGCAGATTATCATGTAGCTAGGTTTAAAGCTTTTCAAAGGAAAGTCGAGGGGTAATTACCATTTGTTTCTCTTAATAGGGGAGAAAGCAGAAGTAACTTGGAGGTGGTTTATTTAGCCTTGGATCAAAAGGCAAATTATCTGTAAAAGGTCTTTACTTACAGCCAATAACACACAAAGACAGACCACCTGAATGACGTAACATGGCGCTAACACAGAAAGCATATAACATAGGTGAATCAATCAAATTCAATCAAATTTATTTAGAAAGCCCTTTTTACATCAGCAGTTGTCACAAAGTGCTTATACAGAAGCCCAGCCTAAAACCCCAAAGAGCAAGCAATGCAGATGAAAGCTCAGGGTATTAGGTTCGACATACCATTCTCTTCAGAAGTTTGACTTTGGTCCATTAGCGCCAGTCTCCCCTGCGGTCTCCCCTGCTGTCTCCCCCTGTCCCTCAGAAAGCCCATGTAGAGGAAACGAAAGAGAACTGTGAGTCCTGCCATGACCAGATCAGATTTGAGATCTCTCTACCAACTGGAGATGACTAAAACCAGTCAAGTAAAGTTGGCTCCCAGTCTAGTAGCTGGCTGCCTAGAAACTCCAGCCGTCTCAGTGAGTCTAGTTTGTAAACTCCAGTCCCCTCAGTGGCGACTTTCGAACAACAAGGCTCTTCTCTGAGGCCTGTCCAGGGTGGTCGGTTGGTCAGTCTGTGGTCAGGCACGTATCTCACTGAGCCATCAGGAATAAATAACTGGGGAGGCTTATCAGTCCTCTTGAAGAGGGGGTCAGGGGGAGTCAGCTGTCTGTCAGAAAGAGGGGGGGGGGGGGGGGGGGAGAGGGACAGAGAGAGAAAGACAAAGAGGGGGTAGGGAGCAAATACTGGCAGCAGTGGTGGGGTGTGTGAGGTGGCACGACAAAGATGGGATGGGGTGGTGAGGTCAATGCCCTCAGCTGCAAAGACATGGCAGCAGCAGCTGTGCCCCCCCCCCCCTCCTTAACCCACCAACCCATTTCACCAACCCCCACATGCCAACACACCTCTACGGTATCCACAGACGCTCATGCCATCCTGAGTTAGTCAGGTGACCAGGGTGTAAACAGCCTCTGTTGTTTAATTATAACCCCTATTATACCACAGGGAGATTTAGCTTGGCAGCACTTTTCCACTGAGGCGAATCAAACCAGTTTCAACCCAGATCATGCCCAGCTCCTGTCACTGCCGAACACAGAGCCAGGAGAGAGAGAGAGAGGGAGAGAAAGGAGAGCGAGGGAGAGAAAGAGAAAGAGAGACACAAACGAGGATAGAGACAGAGGGTGTATAAGGCCTTCACACAGCCACAGTTCTACAGACTGGGCAGCACAGCACAGCAGCTGAGGCCAAACGATGGAGGTCACACAATGGAACAAGTGCAGAACTCAGTGCGCTCTGAGAAGCCTATTCATTAGGACAGTCTATGAAATGTAGCTCCGATTGTGAGGTGGTAACAAAACCAATTCAATAAACCAATCGAAATTAAATAACACTCGACAACCAAGCACAAGGAAGAGAAAGGAGATTTTTTGTGGATGCTTTCCAGACAAATGCAATGACTCTGGCTCCAGTGGTCAATAGTGAATGTGCCTTTTTTAACGGTCAGACGTTGGTGCTTTTCTGATCTATTACACTAACAAATACACACCAACAGACTATTTCAAAAGCTTATTTCTAAGAGTCAATGTGCACCATGTAGTAGATACAAAAGGAGAGAAAGCATGCTTTTAAGAATGGTTATCCAGTAAGCAATATTACCTGTATACCCCGGTAATGTCACATCCTAACCTTAGCGCATTGTATAGTTAGCCTTGTTAGTGTGTGTCTGAGTGGGCAGCATGGGTTGTAGAAGCTTGTGTTGTGGCTCTGGTGGCCTATCTAATGTCTAATGATGTGTGAGCCGGTCTGTGTTGTTGTGACCATCCCTGTCAGCTCAGCTGCTCTGAGGCAATGAGCAGTTGAAAGGCCAGAGACAGACGGGAGGAGAGATGGTAGACGTCGCAACTGTACACACACACACACACACACACACACACACACACACACACACACACACACACACACACACACACACACACACACACACACACATACACACACACTATGGACCCAGACTATATTCTTCACCACATTCTACAAGTAAGGCCATTCACAGCTGGCCTACTGCAGCATTTCTGTTGTGGTCTCCAGCAGGAAGACCTGGGAGAGTTGATAGTTGGTACAGCATTGCACAGTGCCAGTTAGCTAATGAGCTACATTCATCTGCGGTCCCTTATGCAGGGCAGTGTATGCATCTGATCTGCTCCCTGTTATTTTTATGCTTGCTAGGCTACATGTTTTTGGTGTGAGCCATCCTGTTGTCTTTTGAGGCACCAGCCATTGAGAGGAACCAATAAAGTGTTGTGTGGTGTTCCCTGAGGTGAGCTTAAGGAGGAGGAGGGGGAGGAGGAAGAGTGGAGGAGGAGGTAGAGGGAGGAGAGGAGGAGAGAGAGTGAAGAGAGGAGGAGGGAGAGGGAGGAAAAGGAGGAGAAGGAGAAGTAAGAGGAGTAATTTCCTGCTGGACACAGATGTCCTTACACTGTGACCCCTCCCCTCCAATGAGAGACTCATTACATCATCCCCCTAACCCCACACTACATTCTTCTACCTCTCCTTCGTATGCATCCCAAATTACACCCTATTCCCTAAATAGTGGCTACTTTTGACCAAGGCCCAGGGATCAATGATGTCTGTATTGAACCACAAAAAACCCTTGGGATTCCCAGAACCCAACCCACATCAGCCATTGTGTAATAAAACATTGGCTGTGAGGGCAGATAGATGAATGCATACACAGTTGTTGTGGACTGACTGGTCTTAGTGAGCGACTGCCTGACACACAGGGTTTTTTCTGGATCAAAAAAGGGGCTTAGGTGTTGGGTATGGCAGGGGGCGTGGCAGGGGTGTGTGGCAGGGGGCGTGGAAACGGGTACAGACAAATTTCTCTACACCCCCCAGCTTGGCAGTGTAGAGCCATTTTAGAATTTTTAAGAAAATGTCCTGCAATTTTAACATTTTCTCCATGGAGCTGAGAGAAAATTGTTGCAGTTTTAATTACCATGGCTAATGCTGTGTTCTTATGCTCAAACATCAAAACTGCTAAATTCATTCTATTCTATTGCTTTTTTTCAGCCAAACGTTTTATTTCATTTTTTACACTTTTTCGGACTTGTGGCCCGATTTAACATTTAGGCGGCCCGCCCAAGGATTACAATGGCAGAAAACACACACACACACACACACACACACACAGTCAGCCATTCAGAGCAGTGATAGCCCTTGTTGCCATCTCAGGACTGAAGGCATTCATCTGACCTGGGTTAAACTGCTGGCTGCAGTATTGTTATCCAATCAGGTAGGCCACGATCTCTAGCACCCTCCAATCATTGGTGATGATAGGAGGGAGTGGTAGGTGGGCGCTTAAGGAGGTAACATTACTCAGCCAAGAAGACAGCACAGATGAGCTCATTTAAACATGGAGGTTGCTAGTTAGACCAGAGCTCTGGTCAAAGTGGTGCACTATATAGGGAATAGGGTGCCATTTGGGACGCGGTGCTAGTCTCTGATGGGAGTATTGGCAGCAGCTTTGTTACATTGATACTAAAAGCCTGGCTCACATCCTCTCACGTTACATTTTCATTTCACTATGTTTTTGCAGATGCAGACTGCCGTTTTTATAAAGGACTGGAAGGTTTCTCTGTTAGTCAGATAGTGTTTTAGCCAAGTATCTCTACCGCTGTCAATGTTGTAATCCTCCTCAGTCACGACATTGAGATTTCTCCTGGTCTGTGTCCACATCAAGGATACATCCCAAATGGCACCCTATTCCTTATATAGTGCTAAACTTTTGACAAGGGTCCTATGGGCTATGTAGGGAATAGGGTGCCATTGGGATGCAGTCAAGATCTATTCTAATTTAGGATCAAAGACCGGGCCCAGCACTCCACTTTGACTAGACAATCCATGTCAGATAAAGTGCATGGGGCTAAACAGGATCAACTTCCGTGCTAGTTCCTGCCCGAGCAATGGAAACTGCTCAACATGGGTCACGTCCCAAATGGCACCCTTTTCCCTATATAGTGCATTAGTTTTGACCAGAGCCCTATGGGCCTGGTCAAAGGTATTGCACTATATAAGGAATAGTGTGCCATTTGGGATGTATCCTTGATGTGGACACAGACCAGGAGAAATCCCAATGCAGTAGAGATGCTTGGCTAAAACACTATCTGACTCAGAGAAACCTTCTAATCCTCACAATAAAAATCTGAGTCTGCATCTGCAAAATACTGACACCATTTAAACATAGTGAAATGAAAAGGTAACGTGAGAGGATGTGTGCCAAGCTTTTAGTATCACTGTAACAAAGCTGCTGCCAATACTCCCATCAGAGACTAGCACTGGGTCTCAAATAGCACCCTATTCCCAGAGCTCTGGTCAACAGTAGTGCACTATGTAGGGAATAGGATGCCATTTGGGATGCAAGCGATGTCAATTCTAATGCAGGATCAAAGACCGGGCCCAGCACCCCACTGCTCATTACTATGAAACACCCACAGACACATCTTACATATTCATGTCTCCATTGAATTATATGACACGGGCCCAGTCACCCCTCACCCACCTTATTACCAGACCAGCTGGGTTCAAATAGTATCTGTTTTCTTTCAAATCCCTCTGAGTATCTGCCTGGGGTGCCAGATGGGCGCGGTTTGCCCTTTTGGGACTATTTAATTGGTTCCATTGAGTCAGAAAAGCTTAATTAAGTATTTAAAAGAAAACAAATCATATTTGGACCCAAGTCGGCTTACTACCTGAGGGGAATGACTGAGCAAGCTCTGCAGGTGTTACTACAGAGGGACAGTTGATATATGACAGACCATCCATTTACATTACATTTACATTTTAGTCATTTAGCAGACGCTCTTATCCAGAGCAACTTACAGTTAGTGAATACATATTTTTTTATACTGGCCCCCCGTGGGAAATGAACCCACAACCCTGGCGTTGCAAACGCCATGCTCTATCAACTGAGCTACATCCCTGCCGGCCATTCCCTCCCCTACCCTGGACGACGCTGGGCCAATTGTGCGCCGCCCATGAGTCTCCCGGTCGCGGCCGGCTGCGACAGAGCCTGGATTCGAACCAGGATCTCTAGTGGCACAGTTAGCACTGCGATGCAGTGCCTTAGACCACTGCGCCACTCAGGAGATATACAGCAGGTAATAGACCCCTAAAGGTAACCCTGTCCCAGACAATGTTTACAGCAGGGTTATGTCTCTCCCTTGGGCAAACTCATGTCAGGCTCGGTAGAACACTAGGCTAAAGAGCAGGCCTGAGTCGACCTAACAAGGCCTGTCAAGGCATTCACAGACCACCACACATACAAGAAGAAGACCCCAGATGCGTCCCAAATAGGAGGGTTTTTTCTTTATAGTGCACTATTTTTGACCAGAGCCCATATAGTGCATTAGTTTAGCCCTATGGGCCCTGGTCAAAAGTAGTGCACTATATAGGTAATAGGGTGCCATTTGGGATGCAGCCATGAAGAAGAGGAAAGACAGCTAGCTAGCAGGAGAGTGTTTGTTCAAACCAAACACCTGCAGGAATAAGGCGCCATTTGGGATGCATCCTGTCTCTCTTATCAGCTGCAAACCAAGCAGATGACCTGGGATAGCAGCTAGCTAGCATACCAGAGGAACAGCCTGAACTAGGTTATTAGAATGTCCTGTGTTCTAGAAGTCAACAAGACAGCTTTACAATGTCAATGGAATGATCAATTCTCAAAACCATCAGATAACAGTTTTGTCAGTCTCTTTCTGTCAATAGAATCCTTTGACTTGACAATCCATGTCAGATAAAGTGCACGGGGCTAAACAGGGTCAACTTCCATGCTAGTTCCTGCCCAAGTAATGTAAATAAAGTGCTCAACATGAGGTGTGTCCCAAATAGTAACCTTTTCCCTATATAGTGTACTACTTTTGACCAGGGCCCATATAGTGCATTAGTTTAGGCCTATGGGCCTGGTCAAAAGTAGTGCACTATATAGGTAATAGGGTGCCATTTGGGATGCAACCATGAAGAAGAGGAAAGACAGCTAGCTAGCAGGAGAGTGTGTTCAATCCAAACACCTGCAGGGCTGTGAGTCTGTTAAAACCCTGCTGGTTCCTGTTTACAAGCTTTGGAGTCATAGCCAGCTCCCACAGGAACAACCATGGAGGGCTTTCAATAGTCTACTAGTCTACACACACACACACACACACACAGCGAGACAGACAAATAGGCTACACGCACATTAACGTGCACACACATACAGTGGGGAGAACAAGTATTTGATACACTGCCGATTTTGCAGGTTTTCCTACTTACAAAGCATGTAGAAGTCTGTAATTTTTATCATAGGTACACTTCAACTGTGAGAGACGGAATCCAGAAAATCACATTGTATGATTTTTAAGTAATTAATTTGCATTTTATTGCATGACATAAGTATTTGATACATCAGAAAAGCAGAACTTAATATTTGGTACAGAAACCTTTGTTTGCAATTACAGAGATCATATGTTTCCTGTAGGTCTTGACCAGGTTTGCACACACTGCAGCAGGGATTTTGGCCCACTCCTCCATACAGACCTTCTCCAGATCCTTCAGGTTTCGGGGCTGTCGCTGGGCAATACGGACTTTCAGCTCCCTCCAAAGATGTTCTATTGGGTTCAGGTCTGGAGACTGGCTAGGCCACTCCAGGACCTTGAGATGCTTCTTACGGAGCCACTCCTTAGTTGCCCTGGCTGTGTGTTTCGGGTCGTTGTCATGCTGGAAGACCCAGCCACGACCCATTTTCAAAGCTCTTACTGAGGGAAGGAGGTTGTTGGCCAAGATCTCGCGATACATGGCCCCATCCATCCTCCCCTCAATACGGTGCAGTCGTCCTGACCCCTTTGCAGAAAAGCATCCCCAAAGAATGATGTTTCCACCTCCATGCTTCACAGTTGGGATGGTGTTCTTGGGGTTGTACTCATCCTTCTTCTTCCTCCAAACACGGCGAGTGGAGTTTAGACCAAAAAGCTCTATTTTTGTCTCATCAGACCACATGACCTTCTCCCATTCCTCCTCTGGATCATCCAGATGGTCATTGGCAAACTTCAGACGGGCCTGGACATGCGCTGGCTTGAGCAGGGGGACCTTGCGTGCGCTGCAGGATTTTAATCCATGACGGCGTAGTGTGTTACTAATGGTTTTCTTTGAGACTGTGGTCCCAGCTCTCTTCAGGTCATTGACCAGGTCCTGCCGTGTAGTTCTGGGCTGATCCCTCACCTTCCTCATGATCATTGATGCCCCACGAGGTGAGATCTTGCATGGAGCCCCAGACCGAGGATGATTGACCGTCATCTTGAACTTCTTCAATTTTCTAATAATTGCGCCAACAGTTGTTGCCTTCTCACCAAGCTGCTTGCCTATTGTCCTGTAGCCCATCCCAGCCTTGTGCAGGTCTACAATTTTATCCCTGATGTCCTTACACAGCTCTCTGGTCTTGGCCATTGTGGAGAGGTTGGAGTCTGTTTGATTGAGTGTGTGGACAGGTGTTTTTTATACAGGTAACGAGTTCAAACAGGTGCAGTTAATATAGGTAATGAGTGGCGAACAGGAGGGCTTCTTAAAGAAAAACTAACAGGTCTGTGAGAGCCGGAATTCTTACTGGTTGGTAGGCGATCAAATACTTATGTCATGCAATAAAATGCAAATTAAGTACTTAAAAATCATACAATGTGATTTTCTGGATTTTTGTTTTAGATTCCGTCTCTCACAGTTGAAGTGTACCTATGATAAAAATGTCAGACCTCTACATGCTTTGTAAGTAAGAAAACCTGCAAAATCGGCAGTGTATCAAATACTTGTTCTCCCCATTGTATGCACACAGATATACATACAGACATGTACACATACAGACGCACACACACACCAGGGTTTCCGTTAGCCGGTAATAGCCAGTTTTGTTTTTTTTAAGCCGAAAAATAAAACTGCCGCCGGCCAATTGAAAAAAAATCCCATTGCAGAATAATGCTTTTTTGCCTATTCATTGGTGGAAATACCATTCGATGTAAATACATTCGACCGGTCATGCTTATCGGTCTATAGGTTCATTTGCATAATTTTGAAATAGCCACAGGATGGTTTTTCAATACCGTCAATACCGTTGAAACTATTTAATTGATGTTTTTTTTAAATAAATGTGAATATTTGTGGCTACATTTAAGTAAATACCTGCAGTCAACCTGTGCAGTGCGTTAGGAGATAAAGAGATTGCGTTCTTCATTTCACCTGTCACATAATTTTTCATTATGAAGCTTACAGGTACTAGTCCCCAGTCACGTGGTGTTTGTTTACAAGCACACAACAACAAGCAACTGGAGGCTTGTGAGTCACTCACTGTTGGCCAGCCAGGTGATCTAGGTGATCTAGTTACAGTATGGAATTCACAACTAAATGTTTGCCAGCTAGACATCGTCAAACTATTAAGTTAACTGTCAAAAAATGTGCTAAATGCTCTACAGTTGTGCATTTCGTTTGCTAATTTAGTAGCTAGTTAGCCATCTAGCTAAGTGGTTAGCTTCTTCCAAAATCATGTTTCACTTGGTAACAGCAGAGAATCCCCTCCTGAATCAAGAGCCTTGCTGTATAATTTAGTAGCTAGTTAGCCAGTGGTCTAATGCGCTGCATCGCAGTGCTAGCTGTGCCACTAGAGATCCTGGTTCGAATCCAGGCTCTGTCATAGCTGGCCGCGACCGGGAGACCCATGGGGCGGTGCACAATTGGCCCAGTGTCGTCCAGGGTAGGGGAGGGAATGGCCGGCAGGGATGTAGCTCAGTTGGTAGAGCATGTATGCACTCACTAACTGTAAGTCGCTCTGGATAAGAGCGTCTGCTAAATGACTAAAATGTAAATGTAAATGTATAATATTTGATTTGTGCGTGCAGCAAACTGTGAGTAACATTTTTGAGTTACTTGTATAACTTTATGAGCTGGGATGTCTGTCCTGCTTTAGGTCAGAGACTGTATAAAATCTTTGCAATGCGCTCGTTAGCATATAGTTAGCATTCTCTATGGGATTGTACATGTACTTTTTAGCATTGCTAACCTTCGGATTACAATAGCGCCCCTTGTGCCGCTATTACCAAATATCCCGGTTTGGCACAAGGTCAGTATGAAGGTATGACAATCTGGATACCGCCCAAGCCTACGGGTGTGTATTTTCATTACTTGTTATGTTTATCACACACACAGCATGCAGATACAGAGCCTATGAGCGGAAATCTGTCAGACAGCGTGAGAGCTGCTGCTACAGCTTCTCAAACTGCTCATTAGTTGCTGCTGGAGTGAAACGTGTTTTTATAAGCCCAATCATTACGTAACAATTCTAAATGAGAATGCGTGTTAAAAACAGTTTTGATGGCCACAAAAAAAAATGCTACTATTTGTATTTCTCAACTGGTAATTGAAGCACACTTCCCATTCGCCATTCAAGTACATATAAGCAACTGTTGGTAGACTTCAGCGCATCCCACCATTTTGCAATGAGCTGGAGGCAGTCGCCTGTGCATTTTGAAAACATATACTTAAATGTTTGAAACCTGAATGTTTTACTTCATATTATGAGGCATGTCTTACATTGCTTCAAAGTAAGATCCGACCATAGAAGTATGGAGACAATTATTTTATAAAGACTTATGCCATTGAAACCAGTAGCCTATTTCTCTCATGTTCGATTGGTTTTCAAATCAGCTTTCTTTCATTGTCTAGCAGTAAAATAAAAATGCTGACGGTCAAATGTCCGGCGCCACATTTTGCTAACGGAAACCCTGACACACACACACATACAGAAACAAACACAAACACGCAGCTTCTAGCATAAAACAATGACGCCTGTTACTGCCAAATCTTGTTATTTACCAGTACATTCAGAAACTGTCTTGTTATAGAGGCATTTTCTTTCACAGATGCAATCAGTGCTGTTGTTATCCTTGTCCAATCAGCACAGTGAGATAGTGATGGATATGGGATCTTGTGTTACTGTGTGTGTGTGTGTGTGTGTGTGTGTGTGTGTGTGTGTGTGTGTGTGTGTACTGTATGTCCCTGCGTGTGTTGCGCATCCAGTGGTGCATAGACCAGCTTTAGTGTTTATGAGCTCATGATATCCCCAGGCAGTGCAAAGACAGCCCCTGCCCTCTCCAGCTCTAACACTGAATAGGTTTTCACTAGACTTCTTCCTGACAAAAAACCTGCCACTCCTCTGAATACACAGACTGGACACCAGAGTACATCTCATGTGTTTTCCTCTGGATGGAGGGTCACAATCTATGTCCCAACACTGTTGTTGTAGAGCTGGAAAGTCAAATACTCCTTTTGTAGACAGCAGCCTTCCAACAACAGCCTTTATCTGGTGGAATATCAGATGGTCACAGCATAACATCAAATACGGAAAACAGCCAGCTAGAGCCACACTATTAGCAATCTGTATGCACCAGTGAGCCTCCTCTTGACTGAGAGTGTGGACATATTTAAAGCACCACAAAATTAGCAAAAGATTGCACAGCTATTTAGATCATTGCCAATTAGATTTTCTTTCTTGGTTCTGCTGCAGATCCTATCCCAAGGATTAATCTGCCAGCTGTTTATTTTGGTCGAGCTGAGAGCTCTCCACTATCTTTTACATTGCAAAACAGGCCATGCAGGAGTTAAGAGGCTGTAGTTCCTAATTTTGGATGTTATGCTACTCTTATTTGGCTAATTGTAGGTCTTTTGGAGTTAGGTTTCCATTCAAACACAGCGCATAACCACATCTGAATGTGTATTCTGACTCCACCCCATCTTTGAATGGAAATAAGACTACAGTACCATAGGGTGGAAAAAGCCTCTCCTTCTCAGTCACAGTGCTAGACAGCCAAGCATGTAAACACGCTAAATGCAGTGTAAGGGCAGATCGTGCCTCCTTTCCCCAGCGTTTACTAACAAATTCAAACTGTCCTCCTTAATATGGCTGCCTGTCACCAACATCCAGGTAACCAGGGCAAAGAGATCTCAAGGATACACATCATGTGAATAATGTGTTTATGTGAGACAGAAAGAATCACTGTGCACATTACCATTTTATAACCGTGTTAAAACCGGGTCAAAAGTAGCGCACTATATAGTGAATAGGGTGCCATTTCAGATGCAGCCCAGTGCCTGGTTCCTGCGGTCCGTGGTCCCTCCCTCCCAGTCCAGCAGGTGTCAGTACACACTTCCCAGTCAGTCACAGTGAGGGCACAGACACACCAGGCAGTGAAGGAACCAGCCCCAAATCCTCCATCCGGTCTCCACTGCCCCCAGGGGGGAGAAAATAAAATAGGGCACAGCTTAGACGAGAGGTCACCTTCCGTTGATTCTTAATGTTATTATAACGTGTGAACTAATGTTACAACATACTCAGTGGTACGGTGATGGTCTGCAATTCAAATTCATATTCATTATACTGGTGTTTTCTCTTCCTGACTTATTTGGCTTAAACCTCCACCATGGCTCTCCACATGGCTTGATTAAAGGGGGGTTTATTCATCAGACCTACACCTAACCACACACTGTCATTTCTTTATAACAGAGATTAGAAGATCAACAGCAGAAAGGCACATTCACATCCTCACTAATAGGGCCTTAATGCAACTTGAGGGAACTGACAGGGAAAAGGGAACACCTGCCAATCTGTCTGTTTAGAGAGACTAGCGGAGAGCTGACCCAACCCAAGGCTTACCGTAGAGGAGCAAGGTATTCATAGGGCAAAAAAACTATTTAAATGGGGAGTCTACATTGAGCATGCTTTTTAGTCTCCTCACATAGAATGTGCCTCCTCATCATTTTTGTTATGAGGAGCGATGGGGTGAGGTTGTGTTCCTCTAAGCGGGGAGGTAAGCTTGGCTTCTTCTTTATATGTGTTGAGTAAAGCTTAAACCATGCATTTAGATTGTAGGTAGGTATTGTAGTTAGGTATTGTAGGTAGTTTATCCAGGTAGTTATTGTAGGTAGTTGTTGTAGGTAAGTATTGTAGTGTATTCGACTGAGCCCGGTGAAGCACGAGGCTAGTTAGCTAACCCACTACCTGGACCATTAAAACTAGCTAGCTAGCGGGTAGCAACACCGCAGCCACTGCTTAAACCATGCATTTAGATTGTAGGTAGGTATTGTAGTTAGGTATTGTAGGTACTTTATCCAGGTAGTTATTGTAGGTAGTTATTGTAGGTAAGTATTGTAGTGTATTCGACTGAGCCCGGTGAAGCACGAGGCTAGCTAGCTAACCCACTACCTGGACCATTAAAGCTAGCTAGCTAGCGGGTAGCTACACCGCAGCCACTGCTAGCTGGCCAACTATACCAGCTAGCAGTACTGTAACAACTAAATACATTTCAACGGAACAATTTGATTAGTGTAAAGTTAGCTAGCTACATAGTTGTCTTGGTATCAAAGACAAAGGTGTAGTATAGAGAAACTATCGAGGTTAGCTAGCCAGCTACATTTTCAAACAGTCAACACCGCAGCCACTGCTAGCTAGCCAACATTACCAGCTAGCAGTACTGTATCATTTTAGTCAATGAGAATTTTGCAATGTAAGCTTCACTTTCTGAACATCTGAGATGTGTAGTCCACTTGTGTAGCTAGCATGACTGACTTTGTGCTAGCTAGCCAACGTTTAATTACTTCTGCGTTATGAAAGGAACTAGACACGGACATGAATGATCCATTGGTAGTTTGTTGTAACCAAGTATTGGTGCTAAACCGTGTGTTATTGGATGCTAGCATGCTAGTTAGCTATGGCGTCATAGGATACGGTGCCCTGGGCGGTTTTCACAGAAGAATACTGTACCAAGTTAGCTAGCTGAATAAACTAAGTTAGTCTATTCCTGGAAACATTGAACTACTGTAGATTACAGCAATTATAATTTCTAAATGGAAGTTGGAAGAGTTGTATTTGAGTGTTTCAGTGAAAGGTTAGTGAGGGAGGCCTCGTTTCCCCAGATGTTTAGTTAATTTCATTCCGATCTCCTTTGCATTAGTGTAGCCTTTTCTGTAGCCTGTCAACTATGTGTCTGTCTATCCCTGTTCTCTCCTCTCCACACAGGCCATACAAACGCCTCACACCGCGTGGCTGCTGCCTCTCTAACCTGGTGGTCCCTGCACGCACGACCCACGTGGAGTTCCAGGTCTCCGGCAGCCTCTGGAACTGCCGTTCTGCGGCCAACAAGGCAGAGTTCATCTCAGCCTATGCTACCCTCCAGTCCCTCGACTTCTTGGCACTGACGGAAACATTGTTTACCACAGAAAACACTGCTACTCCTACTGCTCTCTCCTCGTCTGACCATGTGTTCTCGCATACCCCGAGAGCATCTGGTCAGCGGGGCGGTGGTACAGGAATCCTCATCTCTCCTAAGTGGACATTCTCTCTTTCTCCCCTGACCCATCTGTCTATCTCCTCATTTGAATTCCATGCTGTCACAGTCACTAGCCCATTCAAGCTTAACATCCTTATCATTTATCGCCCTCCAGGTTCCCTTGGAGAGTTCATCAATGAGCTTGACGCCTTGATAAGTTCCTTTCCTGAGGATGGCTCACCCCTCACAGTTCTGGGTGACTTTAACCTCCCTACGTCTACCTTTGACTCATTTCTCTCTGCCTCCTTCTTTCCACTCCTCTCCTCTTTTGACCTCACCCTCTCACCGTCTCCCCTTACTCACAAGGCAGGCAATACGCTTGACCTCATCTTTACTAGATGCTGTTCTTCTACTAATCTCACTGCAACTCCCCTCCAAGTCTCCGACCACTACTTTGTATCCTTTTCTCTCTCGCTCTCCCCCAACACTACTCACTCTGCCCCTACTCAGATGGTAATGCGCCGTCGCAACCTTCGCTCGCTCTCTCCCGCTACTCTCTCCTCTTCCATCCTATCATCTCTTCCCTCTGCTCAATCCTTCCCCCTCCAATCTCCTGATTCTGCCTCCTCAACCCTCCTCTCCTCCCTTTCTGCATCTTTTGACTCTCTATGTCCCCCCCGGCTCGGTCCTCCACTCCTGCTCCGTGGCTTGACGACTCATTGCGAGCTCACAGAACAGGGCTCCGGGCAGCCAAGCGGAAATGGAGGAAAACTAGACTCCCTGCGGACCTGGCATCTTTTCACTCCCTCCTCTCTACATTTTCTTCATCTGTTTCTGCTGCTAAAGCCACTTTCTACCACTCTAAATTCCAAGCATCTGCCTCTAACCCTAGGAAGCTCTTTGCCACCTTCTCCTCCCTGCTGAATCCTCCCCCCCCCTCCTCCCTCTCTGTGGATGACTTCGTCAACCATTTTGAAAAGAAGGTTGACGACATCCGATCCTCGTTTGTTAAGTCAAATGACACTGCTGGTCCTGCTCACACTGCCCTACCCTATGCTTTGACTTCTTTCTCCCCTCTCTCCCCAGATAAAATCTTGCGACTTGTGACGGCCGGCCGCCCAACAACCTGCCCGCTTGACCCTATCCCCTCCTGTCTTCTCCAGACCATCTCCGGTGACCTTCTCCCTTACCTCACCTCGCTCATCAACTCATCCTTGACCGCTGGCTATGTCCCTTCCGTCTTCAAGAGAGCGAGAGTTGCACCCCTTCTCAAAAAACCAACACTCGATCCCTCTGATGTCAACAACTACAGACCAGTATCCCTTCTTTCTTTTCTCTCCAAAACTATTGAGCGTGCCTTTTTTAGCCAACTCTCTTGCTATCTCTCTCAGAATGACCTTCTTGATCCAAACCAGTCAGGTTTCAAGACTGGTCATTCAACTGAGACTGCTCTTCTCTGTGTCACGGAGGCTCTCCGCACTGCTAAAGCTAACTCTCTCTCCTCTGCTCTCATCCTTCTAGACCTATCTGCTGCCTTTGATACTGTGAACCATCAGATCCTCCTCTCCACCCTCTCCGAGTTGGGCATCTCCGGCGCGGCTCACTCTTGGATTGCATCCTACCTCACAGGTCGCTCCTACCAGGTGGCGTAGCGAGAATCTGTCTCCGCACCACGTGCTCTCACCACTGGTGTCCCCCAGGGCTCAGTTCTAGGCCCTCTCCTATTCTCTCTATACACCAAGTCACTTGGCTCTGTCATATCCTCACATGGTCTCTCCTATCATTGCTACGCAGACGACACACAATTAATCTTCTCCTTTCCCCCTTCTGATAACCAGGTGGCGAATCGCATCTCTGCATGTCTGGCAGACATATCAGTGTGGATGACGGATCACCACCTCAAGCTGAACCTCGGCAAGACGGAGCTGCTCTTCCTCCCAGGGAAGGACTGCCCGCTCCATGATCTCGCCATCACGGTTGACAACTCCGTTGTGTCCTCCTCCCAGAGTGCAAAGAACCTTGGCGTGACCCTGGACAACACCCTGTCGTTCTCCGCTAACATCAAAGCGGTGACCCGATCCTGTAGGTTCATGCTCTACAACATTCGCAGAGTACGACCGTACCTTACACAGGAAGCGGCACAGGTCCTAATCCAGGCACTTGTCATCTCCTGTCTGGATTACTGCAACTCGCTGTTGGCTGGGCTCCCTGCCTGTGCCATTAAACCCGTACAACTCATCCAGAACGCTGCAGCCCGTCTGGTGTTCAACCTTCCCAAGTTCTCTCACGTCACCCCGCTCCTCCGCACACTCCACTGGCTTCCAGTTGAAGCCTGCATCTGCTACAAGACCATGGTGCTTGCCTACGGAGCTGTGAGGGGAACGGCACCTCCGTACTTTCAGGCTCTGATCAGTCCCTACACCCAAACGAGGGCATTGCGTTCATCCACCTCTGGCCTGCTGGCCCCTCTACCTCTGCGGAAGCACAGTTCCCGCTCAGCCCAGTCAAAACTGTTCGCTGCTCTGGCACCCCAATGGTGGAACAAGCTCCCTCACGACGCCAGGACAGCGGAGTCACCTTCCGGAGACACTTGAAACCCCACCTCTTTAAGGAATACATGGGATAGGATAAAAGTAATCCTTCTACCCTCCCCCTACCCCCCCTCCCCCCCCCAAAAACTCCCTCCAAGCCCCTTTATACAGACTAGTTCTGCATCATGGGTTGTGGTGTCCAGACCAGATGACAGCCTTGTGTCGTAGCTAGCAGCCAGGATGCCTTTGGATTACATTAGCCAAGATAATGGTAATGGTGATGGCATGGTGGTGGAGCAGGTCCAAGTCGACACAGTCAGAGATTATGACCTCCTCTTTCTGTTCAGTTACGTTGTCCTGCCCTTTGGACAGGCTCAGTCTACAGCTATCGCTCCCCCAGAGGGACAAACAAGTCACACCACACCAAATCCTCACAGCACGGTGAGATAAATAAAACATAACAAAAAAACACATCTACGACGATAAACAACACCTTTGCCCTCATCATGTCTGCAGCAATTAATTGAAAATGTTTAGAAAATAGTTTCTTAGTCATTCATCATATGACCACCCACTTTGTTCTCAGCTAGGTGACCTAATTTGCCACTAGAGGATGAAATGAAAGGACCAATTATCTACAGGACTCTCTGAAAGGAGAGGAGAGCAGTGGAGGACAAACAGTATCAAGTGTCAGGATGAAAGACTCCCAACACCCAAGGAGAACATGAAGACTGACCAGACCAAGCCATGTTCCAAACTAAATGACATAGGTCATGTTCAGTAGGACATACTATAGCAAAACGTTTTGAAATGGAAAACTAAAATAAGTGTTTCTTATTGGATAAGTTCAGGTAGTCGTTCCCCTGCTTCCCTCTGTTTAGAAAATGTTTCTCCCTACTGGAAAGTGACACAACCATATTAGCCTCATGATAACTGAGCTAATCCCATTCTGATGAGCATGTTCATAATCAACTGGTTGTAAACATGACTGGTACAAGGGCAGCAACCCCAGACAAATACATTAAAATATCAGCAATAAATAGCTATTTGAGAATGTCCTGATTCAGCACCGACTGACTCCATAAATAGGCCATTGTTTAGTGAAGAAAGAAAAGAGCCTCACTAGCCATGCAACCATCAGGGATGAGAATATCATTCCACAAGGTAGCTACTTACAGAGTCCTGCGGAGAGAATCTGCATGGCCATGTCTCTTCCCTTCTCACACCATTCAGCTCATAAACAAGCCAGGTAGCAGCAGAGAGGAACGGCTCTGACTGGAATTGCTTTGGCTCCATGGACCAGGGCATCAATCAGGAAGGATGGTGCTTGCTATCTGCTGTGTTCTGCCCAGTGCTCTGTATGAGCATGTCAACAGGCCCCTGTGCTAAGAGCTTTGGAATAGAACCAGCCAAGCCCCATCCAACTCCCCTTACATTAGTCAGTGCATCACTACCATCTCCACCCTACCCCATCTCTGGACCATGAGAGCTCTCTCTGCCGTCCTATTGGTTGGTGAGGGGGAGGAGGGCCCTTCCAGAGGCTGATGATGTGAGTGTGATGGACTAGAACCTCTCTCACACATGCATCAGTGCTCTCTAGCAACAGAACTGGCAGTGCTCTCTCTGAGGTTGTGTCCCGTCCCTAGTCCGTCCTCTGAGGTGTGTGTGTGTGTGTGTGTGCATGCATGTGTGTGTGTGTGTGAGGGGGGGTGCGTCTCCCCCCTGAGGGCACTGCCTGCCGTCAGGCTGTGTTTCATCATTCTCTAGGCAGGCTAGGCTGAGTGCTGCTGCCTGTGAACTGACTGACTCTGGGAGGGACATTGGGGCCATGGACACAGCAGCAGAGGCCTGGACAGGTGGCCTAAATACCCCAGAAATGACCGCCAGACATTGTGTGTCCCAAATGGCATGCTATTCCCTTTATAGTGCATATCTTCTCGAGATAGATCTGAGAGGAGAGAGCGAGATCGAAAGAGGGCGAGAGCAGAGAGAGAGGCAGATGAGGAAGAGAGCGCAGAGCAGAGTGCGAGAGAGCGGAGGAGAGCGATCGAGACTATCGAAGAGTCGCGCTCTCGCTGCTCTCTCGTCTGCTTGTCGCGCTCGTCGTCTGCTACTCGATCTGCTATCTCTCTCTCTCTCTCTCTCTCTCTATCTCTCTCTCTCTCTCTCTCTCTCTCTTAAAAAGTACTGTGAAAGGTGTGTTATGTTGTAACAACTGCAAGCCCAGTACATTAACTTCAGCTAGATCCAGCTTTCCTGGAACAATGTTCCTTTTGGCAACGCACCACAATAACTCATCTACAGTAATCCATTCATACTAACCACATTGCACTAAAGATTCAAATCCACAGGTAACAATATAATCCAGAGGAAGTGGTAACCTAGTAACATGGATGTGTTTTGGGTAAACTAATAATACACAGGTTGAGGTTGCTGTGGCTGGAACGAGGTGTGATGATGAGTTGCCTTTCCTGACACCCAGGGTTAGCCTGGTGAAACCAGACTGAAACAGTGGATAATGCAGTGTTCAGTCTGGTTGAACCAGGCTAACACAGAGAAAGTTAGAAAATGAGCAGAGGCTCAGCGGCAGGGTGGATCACTACCATGCTGCCTCTCTGTCTGATCTGGGACCAGTCAGTGTTTGTCTTCATCAATTCATCAACAGACCAGGACTACTGTCTCAATCAGTGATAATGGACGTTTGAACCACAGCAAGGCCTGTGTGGTCTCTGTCTGAAAAGACTGTCGGTTTCTTGCAAGTAATTTGATTACTTACAGTGGGGAGAACAAGTATTTGATACACTGCCGATTTTGCAGGTTTTCCTACTTACAAAGCATGTAGAGGTCTGTCATTTTTATCATAGGTACACTACAACTGTGAGAGATGGAATCTTAAACAAAAATCCAGAAAATCACATTGTATGATTTTTAAGTAATTAATTTGCATTTTATTGCATGACATAAGTATTTGATACATCAGAAAAGCAGAACTTAATATTTGGTACAGAAACCTTTGTTTGCAATTACAGAGATCATACGTTTCCTGTAGGTCTTGACCAGGTCTGCACACACTGCAGCAGGGATTTTGGCCCACTCCTCCATACAGACCTTCTCCAGATCCTTCAGGTTTCGGGGCTGTCGCTGGGCAATACGGACTTTCAGCTCCCTCCAAAGATTTTCTATTGGGTTCAGGTCTGGAGACTGGCTAGGCCACTCCAGGACCTTGAGATGCTTCTTACGGAGCCACTCCTTAGTTGCCCTGGCTGTGTGTTTTGGGTCATTGTCATGCTGGAAGACCCAGCCACGACCCATCTTCAATGCTCTTACTGAGGGAAGGAGGTTGTTGGCCAAGATCTCGCGATACATGGCCCCATCCATCCTCCCCTCAATACGGTGCAGTCGTCCTGTCCCCTTTGCAGAAAAGCATCCCCAAAGAATGATGTTTCCACCTCCATGCTTCACGGTTGGGATGGTGTTCTTGGGGTTGTCCTCATTCTTCTTCTTCCTCCAAACACGGCGAGTGGAGTTTAGACCAAAAAGCTATATTTTTGTCTCATCAGACCACATGACCTTCTCCCATTCCTCCTCTGGATCATCCAGATGGTCATTGGCAAACTTCAGACGGGCCTGGACATGCGCTGGCTTGAGCAGGGGGACCTTGCGTGCGCTGCAGGATTTTAATCCATGACGGCGTAGTGTGTTACTAATGGTTTTCTTTGAGACTGTGGTCCCAGCTCTCTTCAGGTCATTGACCAGGTCCTGCCGTGTAGTTCTGCGCTGATCCCTCACCTTCCTCATGATCATTGATGCCCCACGAGGTGAGATCTTGCATGGAGCCCCAGACCGAGGGTGATTGACCGTCATCTTGAACTTCTTCCATTTTCTAATAATTGCGCCAACAGTTGTTGCCTTCTCACCAAGCTGCTTGCCTATTGTCCTGTAGCCCATCCCAGCCTTGTGCAGGTCTACAATTTTATCCCTGATGTCCTTACACAGCTCTCTGGTCTTGGCCATTGTGGAGAGGTTGGAGTCTGATTGAGTGTGTGGACAGGTGTCTTTTATACAGGTAACGAGTTCAAACAGGTGCAGTTAATACAGGTAATGAGTGGAGAACAGGAGGGCTTCTTAAAGAAAAAGTAACAGGTCTGTGAGAGACGGAATTCTTACTGGTTGGTAGGTGATCAAATACTTATGTCATGCAATAAAATGCAAATTAATTACTTAGAAATCATACAATGTGATTTTCTGGATTTTTGTTTTAGATTCCGTCTCTCACAGTTGAAGTGTATCTATTATAAAAATGACAGACCTCTACATGCTTTGTAAGTAGGAAAACCTGCAAAATCGGCAGTGTATCAAATACTTGTGTCACGGATTCTGCCGAGGCTGCTCCTCCTCCTAGTTCGGGCAGGCTTCGGCGTTCGTCGTCCCCGGAGTACTAGCTGCCACCGTTGAATGTTTCTATGTTTGATTGCTTTTGTCTGTCTATTACACCTGTGTCCGTTTGTGTCTGATTACGTGTTCTATAAGTTGCCTGTGTTGTATTGGTTAGGTTGTGTGTTGTTTTTCGCCTGTCCGTAGTGCTGCGTGTTTTTTCTCTGTTTTGTTGTTTTATTGTTTTACGCATAGTTGCGTAATTGCTCGCCTCTGTTTTGTTTTGAGGCCGTTCATTGTATCTTTGCCTTGTGGTTTCACAAGTAAACTTTGTTGGACTAAGCTTCGGTGTCCTGCGCCTGACTCCCACACCACATACACCTCAGCCTTGACAACTTGTTCTCCCCACTGTATATATTATTGGCATATTAAAGGCTCAGTGCAGTCAAAAACTAGATTTTCGTGTGTTTTATATATATTTCCACACTACGAGGTTGGAATAATAGTGTGAAATGTAAAAAGATATAATAATACAATTTTATTGTAAGAGCTGTTTGAAAAGACCGCCTGAAATTTCAGGCGGGGTGGAGTTTTGGCATGTCTGGTGACATCACCAGGCGGTCAATTAGTTAATAGAATGCTGCGTCGAGGCTGCCTATTTCTTTATGACGTTAGGCGATGCCTAATGCTGTCCGTAATATGGATGTGAGCTTTCTAAATCCATTAGCTCCATGAGAAGGTAGTAAATGATTGTGCTTTCACTGTCAGTTTTGATTTGCAGTTTCGCTGCTCTAGCTGTAGCTAAATGCTGGAAAGAGACTCTGCTAGCTGGCGCTGACTGGGTCTTTCTCAATATTTGCCACATGGGCTTTTATTCACATTCTAATTCTGCAGATTAAACTCAGAACTATCCTTCGTCCTGTTCGAACCACACAGTGTGCTTCGTCCTCCCATTGGATCTCTCTGTCTGAATAATAATAACCATGGACAGGGCTGGGCCTGCGGTTAGGGTTGGCTCAAACAGTCTGACAGATCCTGATTCCTGCCGGCCTCCCATGCTTTGGTCTGTTTCAACCAGAGAAGGAAGTGGTTTCTGGAGCTCATTTGATATTCTATTATACTCTGCTCCACAGAGAGAGAGAGGCCAGGGTAGGGAGGAACTAAGGGAGGGGAGGGGTGGGGAGTTGGGGGGAGGTGGAGACACTTCAGCTTTCATTACTGCTCCTGAATTACCTCCATGTCCCTGGCGTATGAAGACACACAGAGGCAATTAACATTTTACATTTTAGTCATTTAGCAGACGCTCTTATCCAGAGCGACTTACAGTTAGTGAGTGCATACATTTTTCATACTGATCCCCCGTGGGAATCGAACCCACAACCCTGGCGTTGCAAGCACCATGCTCTACCAACTGAGCTACAGGAGTGAGAAGGGAGAGATTCAAGCAAGCAACTGCTCACAGGCAGCAGCCTGGAAGCAGAAGAGGAGGCGAGGAGGGGGAGAGAGGAGGAGAGTGGAGGCCTGTTTACTTAACAATTAGCATTAGAACTGGTTGTAATGGATTAAAGACCACTGTTAGGTGGGCTGTGGTACTGGGTCCGTTGTATTGTGCTGAAGGCAGGAGAGACAAGGGACAGGGCGACAGGCAGACGGGGGGGACAGGGGGGTAGGGTCGAGGCATCATACAGGTTGTCACAGCCCCCTACTGTTAGGGGCCAGGGGGTGTAGGGGCGTAGGGAATGGCAGAGTGGGGCCAGTTGCACCCCTGTGGTGTATGACATAGAGACAGGTGGGCTGGGTCATGTAGTCAGAGGAGTAAGGGAGAGTAAAGGTGAGAGCAGTGCGTAGCCTCTAACAGGATCATCATGAGGTGCTGGGCTTATAATGGTACAGCTTGGAGTCTCATCTTTGCACTAGTAATGGAAATGCTTTTCTGTTCAGAATAGTTGTACTCTATCATTGAAAATGCTGTTGTGAGCTCACATGCTATGCCCAGGCAGGACCTCAGCTGTGTTGTCATAGACATATGGGGCACATGACCACCAGGCCTGCAGGCGGAGGGTGGAACTAAGTCAATTACTGTGTAACACTACAGTGGGGAAAAAAGTATTTAGTCAGCCACCAATTGTGCAGGTTCTCCCACTTAAAAAGATGAGAGAGGCCTGTAATTTTCATCATAGGTACACGTCAACTATGACAGACAAAATGAGAAAAAAAAAATCCAGAAAATCACATTGTAGGATTTCTAATGAATTTATTTGCAAATTATGGTGGAAAATAAGTATTTGGTCAATAACAAAAGTTTCTCAATACTTTGTTACATACCCTTTGTTGGCAATGACACAGGTCAAACGTTTTCTGTAAGTCTTCACAAGGTTTTCACACACTGTTGCTGGTATTTTGGCCCATTCCTCCATGCAGATCTCCTCTAGAGCAGTGATGTTTTGGGGCTGTCGCTGGGCAACACAGACTTTCAACTCCCTCCAAAGATTTTCTATGGGGTTGAGATCTGGAGACTGGCTAGGCCACTCCAGGACCTTGAAATGCTTCTTACGAAGCCACTCCTTCGTTGCCCGGGCGGTGTGTTTGGGATCATTGTCATGCTGAAAGACCCAGCCACGTTTCATCTTCAATGCCCTTGCTGATGGAAGGAGGTTTTCACTCAAAATCTCACGATACATGGCCCCATTCATTCTGTCCTTTACACGGATCAGTCGTCCTGGTCCCTTTGCAGAAAAAACAGCCCCAAAGCATGATGTTTCCACCCCCATGCTTCACAGTAGGTATGGTGTTCTTTGGATGCAACTCAGCATTCTTTGTCCTCCAAACACGACGAGTAGATTTTTTACCAAAAAGTTCTATTTTGGTTTCATCTGACCATATGACATTCTTCCAATCCTCTTCTGGATCATCCAAATGCACTCTAGCAAACTTCAGACGGGCCTGGACATGTACTGGCTTAAGCAGGGGGACACGTCTGGCACTGCAGAATTTGAGTCCCTGGCGGCGTAGTGTGTTACTGATGGTAGGCTTTGTTACTTTGGTCCCAGCTCTCTGCAGGTCATTCACTAGGTCCTCCCGTGTGGTTCTGGGATTTTTGCTCACCGTTCTTGTGATCATTTTGACCCCACGGGGTGAGATCTTGCGTGGAGCCCCAGATCGTGGGAGATTATCAGTGGTCTTGTATGTCTTCCATTTCCTAATAATTGCTCCCACAGTTGATTTCTTCAAACCAAGCTGCTTACCTATTGCAGATTCAGTCTTCCCAGCCTGGTGCAGGTCTACAATTTTGTTTCTGGTGTCCTTTGACAGCTCTTTGGTCTTGGCCATAGTGGAGTTTGGAGTGTGACTGTTTGAGGTTGTGGACAGGTGTCTTTTATAATGATAACAAGTTCAAACAGGTGCCATTAATACAGGTAACGAGTGGAGGACAGAGGAGCCTCTTAATGAAGTTGTTACAGGTCTGTGAGAGCCAGAAATCTTGCTTGTTTGTAGGTGACCAAATACTTATTTTCCACCATAATTTGCAAATAAATTCATTAAAAATCCTACAATGTGATTTTCTGGAGAAAAAAAAATCTCAATTTGCCTGTCATAGTTGACGTGTACCTATGATGAAAATTACAGGCCTCTCTCATCTTTTTAAGTGGGAGAACTTGCACAATTGGTGGCTGACTAAATACTTTTTTTCCCCACTGTACTTCCCTCTTCCCTCCCCCACCACCACATCACTCTACCACTGTCTGTAGCATGCAGCCCTCCCTGGAGAATGAACACTGCTGACAGCTAGGGCCTATCAGGGATATATGGAGAATTATATAGGACAATATACAGTATAGTTTGATATATACAGTTGAAGTCGATCCTGTAGGTTCATGCTCTACAACATTCGCAGAGTACGACCCTGCCTTACACAGGAAGCGGCACAGGTCCTAATCCAGGCACTTGTCATCTCCCGCCTGGATTACTGCAACTCGCTGTTGGCTGGGCTCCCTGCCTGTGCCATTAAACCCCTACAACTCATCCAGAACGCTGCAGCCCGTCTGGTGTTCAACCTTCCCAAGTTCTCTCACGTCACCCCGCTCCTCCGCACACTCCACTGGCTTCCAGTTGAAGCTTGCATCTGCTACAAGACAATGGTGCTTGCCTACGTAGCTGTGAGGGGAACGGCACCTCCGTACCTTCAGGCTCTGATCAGTCCCTACACCCAAACGAGGGCATTGCGTTCATCCACCTCTGGCCTGCTGGCCCCCCTACCTCTGCGGAAGCACAGTTCCCGCTCAGCCCAGTCAAAACTGTTCGCTGCTCTGGCACCTCAATGGTGGAACAAGCTCCCTCACGACGCCAGGACAGCGGAGTCACTCACCACCTTCCGGAGACACTTGAAACCCCACCTCTTTAAGGAATACCTGGGATAGGATAAAGTAATCCTTCTACACCCCCTTAGCACACCCCCACACCAAAAAAAAAAACACACAAAAAAACTATTGTAAAGTGGTTGTCCCACTGGCTATCATAAGGTGAATGCACCAATTTGTAAGTCGCTCTGGATAAGAGCGTCTGCTAAATGACGAAAATGTAAATGTAAATGTGAAGTCGGAAGTTTACATACACCTTAGCCAAATACATTTAAACTCAGTTTTTCACAATTCCTGACATTTAATCAGAGTAAAAATTCCCTCTCTTAGGTCAGTTAGGATCACCACTTTATTTTAAGAATGTGAAATGTCAGAATAATAGTAGAGAGAATGATTTATTTCAGCTTTTATTTATTTCACCACATTCCCAGTGGGTCAGAAGTTTACATACACTCAATTAGTATTTGGTAGCATTGCCTTTAAATTGTTTAACTTGGGTCAAACGTTTCGGGTAGCCTTCCACAAGCTTCCCACAATAACTTGGGTGAATTTTGGCCCATTCCTCCTGACAGAGCTGGTGTAACTGAGTCAGGTTTGTAGGCCTCCTTGCTCGCACACAATTTTTCAGTTCTGCCCACACATTTTCTATAGGATTGAGGTCAGGGCTTTGTGATGGCCACTCCAATACCTTGACTTTGTTGTCCTTAAGCCATTTTGCCACAACTTTGGAAGTATGCTTGGGGTCATTGTCCATTTGGAAGACCCATTTGCGACCAAGCTTTAACTTCCTGACTGATGTCTTGAGATGTTGCTTCAATATATCCACATAATTTTCCTTCCTCATGATGCCATCAGTCCCTCCTGCAGTAAAGCACCCCCACAGCATGATGCTGCCACCCCCGTGCTTCACGGTTGGGATGGTGTTCTTCGGCTTGCAAGCAACCCCCTTTTTCCTCCAAACATAACGATGGTCATTATGGCCAAACAGTTCTATTTTAGTTTTTTGGACATTTCTCCAAAAAGTATGATCTTTGTCCCCATGTGCAGTTGCAAACCGTAGTCTGGCTTTTTTATGGCGGTTTTGGAGCAGTGGCTTCTTCCTTGCTGAGCGGCCTTTCAGGTTATGTCGATATAGGACTTGTTTTACTGTGGATATAGATACTTTTGTACCTGTTTCCTCCAGCATCTTCACAAGGTCCTTTGCTGTTGTTCTGGGATTGATTTGCACTTTTTGCACCAAAGTACGTTCATCTCTAGGAGACAGAACGCGTCTCCTTCCTGAGTGGTATGACGGCTGCGTGGTCCCATGGTGTTTATACTTGCGTACTATTGTTTGTACAGATGAACGTGGTATCTTCAGGCATTTGGAAATTGCTCCCAAGGATGAACCAGACTTGTGGAGGTCTACAATTTTTCTTCTGAGGTCTTGGCTCATTTCTTTTGATTTTCCCATGATGTCAAGCAAAGAGGCACTGGGTTTGAAGGTAGGCCTTGAAATACATCCACAGGTACACCTCCAATTGACTCAAATTATGTCAATTAGCCTATCAGAAGCTTCTAAAGTCATGACATCATTTTCTGGAATTTTCCAAGCTGTTTAAAGGCACAGTCAACTTAGTGTATGTAAACTTCTGACCCACTGGAATTGTGATACAGTGAATTATAAGTGAAATAATCTATCTGTAAACAATTGTTGGAAAAATTACTTGTGTCATGCACAAAGTAGATGTCCTAACCGACTTGCCAAAACTATAGTTTGTTAACAAGAAATGTGTGGAGTGGTTGAAAAACGAGTTTTAATGACTCCAACCTAAGTGTATGTAAACTTCCGACTTCAACTGTATAATTATTATACAGTACAATATTGCACTGGTCATGTTAATGTCACGACACTTGTAGCTCAATAGACATTGCCAAGGTACCTATTGGGATGGGATGATAATCTGCTAAGGGTCTTCTTGTCACGAACGTTGAGAGACGGGTCGGACCAAGGTGCAGAGTGAAAAGCGTACCTGTTTATTATATAGAATAAACATACAAAAACAACAAAACCACGTGACGTGACGTGACGTGACGTGACGTGACGTGACGTGACGTGACGTGACGTGACGTGACGTGACGTGACGTGACGTGACGTGACGTGACAGTCCTATGGGCTATACAACCACCAGCCTACACGGAACAAGATCCCACAAACAAGGACTGCAACCAGGCTACTTAAGTATGATCCCCAATCAGAGACAACGAGCGACAGCTGCCTCTGATTGGGAATCATACCCGGCCAAACATAGAAGTATAACAACTAGAATCTAAACATAGATATACAACAACCTAGAACTAAACATGCACACCCTGACCAAACTAACTAGAGTTCTATAGGTCAGGGCGTGACACTTCTATTGTGCTATTTATCAATAGGAGTCATAATAACCTTTGGTGATTTGTTCTGCATTTAAAGACTCTTCTGGATTAGCATTATAATGTAATATAGCATTAAAATCTGTTATTTGTAGATGCTATTTTCCATATTACAAAAGCTTTTCATTTTCTAAATTACATATACTGTATATTGTGGGCAAGCTTAAGCAAAAGATATATGCGGCTTTTGCATCATGTTTTGCTGAGTGCGATGATATTGACAAACTGTCGTCCAGGACGTTTAGCGGGATGCAAACAGAGAACCAAGCTGTACTGCTGCTGTATAAAATCAGACATTTATGTAAATAGGGTTCTCCATCTGCTGTACATCGCTCCCTGCCGTGTAACAGTGAACAGTGAACACACTCTGGACTCATTCTGTGTGTAAACAGGAGACTTAACGGTCCTCAAAGGGATTTCCTGGAATTGCTCTCAGAATAAAGATGGCAGCCAGAGACGTGTCTCTGTTCTTACTTTAGGGAATCCTAAAGTCCTGCTGCGCCATCTGAGATGTATTTGGCTTTATGTACGTTTAATGATAATACACCATGGGCGAATGAATCACAGAGTAAATGTCAATTGTTGCTATTCACTTCTTACTGTACGATCGTATTCATCTCAGTAATACAGTCTGAGTGAGTGTGTGAGCGAGAGCGAGAGCGAGAGCGAGCGAGCGTGCCTCTCCTCTCCTCCTGCTTTCAACAGACATGAAAGGAGTGCTCTCATGTTTTAATGCATGGCCTATCCTAGCCCTCCCAGCCCAGTCCTCCCATCCCAGCTCTCCCATCACAGCCCTCCCATCCCAGCCCTGTCACCATAGCAGGTCTGATCTCTACTGACAGCACAGGCAGAGGATTGGCAGCAGCCAAAGACAGGCCCTCCAATGGAGAGCAGAACCTTTTGTGTGCCTCTCTCCCACAGGAACACAGAACAGAGCAGAACTGCTACCGGCACACACTGTCACGCCCTGGCTCTGGGGACTCTAATATGTTGAGCCAGGGTGTGTATAGTCTATGTGTGTTCTAGGTTTCACTTTCTGGTTTTGTAATTCTATGTTGGCCAGGGTGGCTCCCAATCAGAGACGGCTGTAGCTCGTTGTCTCTGATTGGGAGTCATACTTAGGTAGCCGTTTGGCACTCATTCATTGTGGTTTCTTGTTCGTATTTGGTTTGTGTATTACCATTGACTGTCACGTCATCGTTTTGTTGTTTTGATCGTGTGATCATTCAATAAATAAATATGTTCGCCTTCAACGCTGCGCCTTGGTCCTCATCTCTAACCAACGATCGTGACAGAAGAAACCACCAAGACTTGACCAAGCAGCGTGTCCAGGAGCCATCGCCAGGGAGATCTCTAGCAGATCTCCTTCGCCTCCTCGACTGGGTCAAGCCGAGTGAGGAAGAGAAGGGCTTGACATTGAGGCAGAAGGGCGAAAGGCTGGCGAGGGACATGGAGACCTGGTCCACGGGCAGGAGAGACGCCCAGAAATTTTTTAGGGGGGGGCTAACGCCGTGGACGACGGGCCAGCAGGAGACCGCGGCAGAGCGGCCCAGCGGATTGGCAGAGGAGGCCGCCAGGTTACGGGGGCCACTGGTCGAAGAGGGGGTGGAAGGTGTAGAGGCACGGCGAGAGGTACTGGGGTGTGTTACCAGTCCGGTCCGGCCCATTCCAGATCCCTGCGTAGGACCAGTGGTGTGTGTCCCCAGTACGGTCCGACCTGTTCCTGCTCCCCGCACCAAGTCAGTGGTGCGCTTCGTCAGCCCGGCTCGGCCCGTTCCTGCTCCCCGCACCAAGTCAGTGGTGCGCTTCGTCAGCCCGGCTCGGCCCGTTCCTGCTCCCCGCACCAAGTCAGTGGTGCGCTTCGTCAGCCCAGCTCGGCCCGTTCCTGCTCCCCGCACCAAGTCAGTGGTGCGCTTCGTCAGCCCGGCTCGGCCCGTTCCTGCTCCCCGCACCAAGTCAGTGGTGCGCTTCGTCAGCCCGGCTCGGCCCGTGCCTGCTCCCCGCACCAAGTCAGTGGTGCGCTTCGACAGCCCGGCTCGGCCCGCTCCTGCTCCCCACACCAAGCCAGTGGTGTGCGTCGTCAGTCCGGCACGGCCCGTGCCTGTTCCACCGGTGGCTGGTCCGGCACCGGTCAGATGCTTCACGCCGGAGCTAGAGCAATCCGCTCCACCAGTGTGCAGTCCAGCTCCGGCCAGCGGGGCCAGACCGGACCAGGGGTACTTTGGGGGGTTGGAGATGGAGCGGGGATCAGGCCCGGAGCCGGATCCGCCGCCTAAGCGGAGTGCCCACCCGGTCCCTCCCCTGTGGTATTTGGTGGGCGCGGTCGGAGTCCGCGCCTTTAGGGGGGGGTACTGTCATGCCCTGGCTCTGGGGACTCTAATATATTGAGCCAGGGTGTGTATAGTCTATGTGTGTTCTAGGTTTCACTTTCTGGTTTTGTAATTCTATGTTGGCCAGGGTGGCTCCCAATCAGAGACGGCTGTAGCTCGTTGTCTCTGATTGGGAAGTCATACTTAGGTAGCCGTTTGGCACTCATTCATTGTGGTTTCTTGTTCGTATTTGGTTTGTGTATTACCATTGACTGTCACGTCATCGTTTTGTTGTTTTGATCGTGTGATCATTCAATAAATAAATATGTTCGCCTTCAACGCTGCGCCTTGGTCCTCATCTCTAACCAACGATCGTGACACACACACTCCTACTGATCCTGATCAACAGCAAGCTCCAATTAAGGGAGAGACAGTTCTGTGTTCTGCTGGGAGATTATAGTAAGGTGTAGCCTATACACTTCAATCAGACACAATCTTACACTTTCTGTTCTGCTACGATCTTCCAGAAAAAATGCATTGCTATCATTAAGAAAGACAGGCAAAGAATGGTCATAATGCTTGCCTGAATTAAGACATACTGATGTACTGTATTAGACTGATACAAGCATATCAATATGCAAAGATAATTTTAATTTGTTCAAAAGAACATGACACCTAGTGCACATGGTAGATATTTTGCCACCAGCAGAAGGTAAGCAGAAATAATCATGACATAACATAGCCTACTTCTTCTACCTACGTAGCATTCAAAATATCCAAAAGGAATTTTCAGCAGATAGAAAAATGTTTGGTCAACTTTATTGAATAATTCACACATAAACCATTTTCCCCTTTAGCCAACACAGACCATCTTTAGTGAGAGCAGAGTCAGCAAATATCCTAATTGAAACTCATTATTAACCCTATATAATTAACCTGGCACCTGAAACACCTGCAAATTAATGTGCAGCCTCTAACAGGATCATCATAGTAGTTACAAATGTGTTAAATATTTCACTTCACCTAACAGAATATGGAAAACAGAATATGCCACCGATCAGTAACCAGTCAGTCAGAGCCTAGGTGTGAAGTTTGGACTGTGTGTGTTTTTAAATCTTAAACATAAAGAACATGGAGACCGTGATGGCATTCAGTTATCATGCAGGTGACAGACCTGTCAACCACGTGTGTGTGTGTGTGTGTGTGTGTGTGTGTGTGTGTGTGGGTGTGTGTCTGCGTGGCACCGTGCGTACGTGTCACCTTGTTGAGAAATAAGCAGGTCTGTGACCAGTTAGCCATGAAGAACGTCACGGGTGAAAATTCTATACTACATTAACCTTTTAACCTTCAAGACTCCATGTAGAACCTAATAGGAAATGACTATACACAAGAAAGCATCCATGATGAAAAGAAATACACTGCTAGGCTCTGATGGCACTGAGTCAGTGATGAGGACCTTCAGTTAAACCAGACCCTCTGTACTTAACTTTCACTCTCAATCAGCTGTGGCAACAGCAGCCATGTAATATAGTTGCTAGTAATATACTATATAGTAGCTATGTAGGTACAGTATACCAATGTACCCAAGCAGTGCCCGAGCGCTCAGATAGCGAGGCGAGAGAGAGAGAATCGCGAGAGCGGAGCTACGCGCTCGAGAGATCGAGAGGCGAGCGAGCGCTATCGACTATCTCTACCTGATCAGCTCTCTCTATATCTCTCGCTACGCTCTCTATATCTGATCTCTTCTCTATCTCTATCTCACTCTCTCTCTCTCTCCTCTCTCCTCTCTCCCTCTCTCCCTCCCTCCCTGATATGATAGGATCTGTTTCTTCCCCAAACCTCACCACAAACACGCATAAATAGATATCTGAGAGGGTATACCAAAGCAAGGTGTCATATTATACGCGTAGCACAGTTATACAATACATTCCACAGACAAAGAATTAAGTAAATAAATGACCTGCTTGTTGACTGGGTCCGTCCAGTTTGGGCTCACATTTTGAAAGAGGGAGAGAATCTAGAAAAATAAAGATAGAAAAGAATAGTCAGTGAATGAATGCAGTGGCCTGGCTCTGCCAATCTCTCCAACCTTGAGCCTGTGATTATTTCCTGCAGATGAGAGGACAAGGAAGAGCTGCTTTGATCCCAGTATCTGGCTAGTCAAAGACATGAAACAGCATGAGACGTGCTGTGTCACAAATGGCACCCTATTCCCTATACAGCATGAGTGCGTTATACAGGGAATAGGGTGCCATTTGGGACACAGCCAGAATTTGGGACACAGCCAGAATTGAACATGAAGCCACCAAATTACTTACAGCTGACAAACTGACACAGGAATGAATCATGATATAGAACCACTGAGTGGGAATCTGTATATCTTTCTACCGCCACCCGCCTGGAAAAAATGATATCTTTGAAGCAGAATGCTGGATAATTCACCTGGAGTCATTAAAGTTAAACACAGTCCGTCATCGTTTTCTCTGATTTTTACAGTAGCACATTACAGTGGGTTAAGTGAGACTTTCTCTTCATTCTGACTGACATTTCTACGTCTATGGCAGTACTGTGGTGTTGTGGGATGTTCGCAGTACAGCCCTGTTTTCTTTCTGGGTCATTTATCTATCAGTGGCATGGGACAGCTACAGCTAAGCTCTACTTTGCCTGCTTCTCAAAAGACAAACCAGCATATGCTGCTGCTAGGGATTAAATGGGCGGCGAACTGCAGTGGCTTGGGATTCGATGTTAACTGCATTGTGGATTCGATGTTAGGCTATATTAAGGTCACAATTAAAGCCAACACACCCTCTCTCGAAGACGTGACGGATAATTCACATGATGATGATCCGACAGAAGCCCCTCACCCACCCAAAAAACAACCTTGCCTTTCTTGAACTAACGCTTATTTATAATTAGCACTGACTTTGCTGATAGCTACTTTGAGGAAAATGTACTTACTATGACTGTGATAATGTGGTTGTCTCACCTAGCTATCTTAAGGTGAATGCACTAACTGTAAGTCACTCTGGATAAGAGCATCTGCTAATTGACTGAAATGTAAAAAATGTAATGTAAATATAGACTAGAGGGTCCTCTGCTGTGTAGTGAGACGAAGCCTTAGGTTTTGTAACTGGCATCCTACATTTTAGCTCTGGCATTTTATCACTGGCATCCTCCTAGTTGCCTATTCACCTAGGGGCTTTATAACATGGAAATGGCTATGAGTTAGAGTCAATTAAATACGTCAAAGTATCTAGGGTATGGCATCTAAAAGCGGAGCAAAAAGATGTCTCTCATACAAACCAACTTGAATGGGATGAATGAGATAGATAATATTGTATTATGTGGATTTGAGTTTAGTTTGCTTGTTTTTATACAAATCTGAGCAGCGGCGAGTGATCTATTTAAACCAGGCGACCACTGGCAGAGTGCAGCACGAGGAGGAACTAAACATGTTAGTGTCTTCAAAGGGGCGAGGATGTTTTGCTCTGTGTGGAGTTCCTGTTTGACAGGCTGTGCACAGCTGTTCACTGGAGACAAGCACAGGGAGGGCACACAGCTGCAACCACACCACAGCAAACATCCCCTACCTACCCACGTGGGCCCTCTTTGTTTCCCAAACTGAGCCCGTGGGGTGTTGTGTGTGTGTGTGTGGGGTGTTGGGGTTTGGGGGTTTTTTTGTGTGGCCTCCCTCATAAAAAGAGGAAAGCCGTTTTTTCCAAAAATAACAAAGGGTTTTAACCCAAAATATGATTTTTTTATGCCGTTGTATGAACGACAAGAAGGATCAAAGGTGCGCGCGGCGGTGTCTTGAGTTATTTTTACCACAGAGAGAAGAAGGTTTTAAACAAAAACTGGGAAACACAAAAAACCCGCTCCCTTGTTTGAAATAACAGTAGTCTTGAGAGGGGAGACGACAGGAAGGCGGCCGGCAGACAGACACCTAGGAAGCCAGGGTTCTGAGATGAGATGCCCTGATTCCAGACGCCTCCTTAGTGCTGGGAAGGAGGGGGCTGCTGGGTGTGTGTGTCTGGTAGGGGGTGGGTGGCTGAGGTTGACTGATGGATAGGAAATCCTCTCTTATCAGATGAGGGATTTCAAGGAGACACCCAGGCAGGCTCAGCCCACAGCCACTCTTCTTCTTCATGGCCCACAATACCTTCTTCTTTCCTTCCTTCCAGGTCCCCAGGCAACGTGGGTGGCAGGCTGAAGCTGCTCTGATTGATACCTCTATTTTCCTGACTGAATTAAGCCATCCCTTAGGCTAGTTATCGACTTCACTCTGCATTCTCAATTCCTACTTATTGACATTGACGGTTATCTGTATGCAAATCGGGACAATTTAAATGGGAAAATTGATGTTTTTAAAGGGATAGTTCACCCAAATTACAAAATGACATGTTGGTTTCCTTACCCTGTAAACGATGACTTTAAGCTCTGCAAGCTTTAGACTTAGTGTTTGATTTTATTTTATTAGGATCTCTTTTAATCCTCATTTGGACTAATCTTCCAAGAGTCCTTAAACATTAAAATACAATTTACAAAACAATCACATTTAACAATACAATCACATTGTTACAAACAACAGACATAATTCACTGCCATATATTGACCAGATAAATAATCTAACAGTCTGAAAAGATAGATTGGTTCCTTCATCTACCATAGTCATGCACAATTTAATTTATATATTGAAAGGTTTCTGGTTTGCTCTGAATGTCTGTCTCTTACCAACTGAATACTGTTGTTAATGTGTTTGGCCGTTTTAAATGGTGTTCATTGTGAAATAAAATAAGCATATTTTTTTCAATTATCGTGTTGAATGATAACCACCCAAGAGCATTGTGCATGACTACAAGAGAAGAATCATATCTCCACCATAAAACAATCCTTGCTGCTTTGTTCTGTGCAATCTGCAGCCTCCTAATCTCACTTGCTGATGAATTTCCCCAGATCACAGGACAGTAGTTCACCTGACTCCAAATTCATGCTTGGGTTGTTTGCTTAAGAATTTTTCACTGTAAATATTTTGCTGTCCTTCTGATCCTCCATGCAGTTTTAATGATTGTCTTTAGATTTCTTCCATAGAACTCACATAGGCCTACATTTCATGATATATACTACAGAACTGTGCACAGATTGCTGCTTTGAGTGAGATGTGGCCTGATCTAGTTCTGTGGGTCAGTGAAAAGCATAGTATCTCTAACTAATCTATATATAAATGCCATGAATCTCATAAAATACATTCAGCAGGCTTCTTTATAAACAGCTCTACAATAAATAAACAAATCCATAACAGTCAAGCAGAGGAGGGGGAAACCAAACCACCGAAAGTGAGTCTGGGCAAAACAGAACAGCTCCAGTCAAAAGCTCTTCTTTTTCCAATTATGAGGAGGATGGCATGATGGTGGCTGGGCTGAGGCTGTTTCATGGTGCAATGCCACTCTGTGCTGATTGCTTCTACTCCACTAGAAGCAACTGCCAATTCCTTTGCGATAGAATGCAAGAGGATTCTTTCTGACTGTAGAATATGATGATGGCCTACTCCACCCTGACCTTTACTACTCTATAATTTGCAGAGGTTTTTTTTCTGTCCTACCTTTCGTACGCTCTCCCTCTCTCTCTCCCCCTCTCCCTCACTCATGATGTGAATTGATTCTGGAGCATCTGAGCCCTACTACATTACACCATTATTATGACACAGCTAAGAAGACTTTAGTTGGTTAAAGTGTGTTCCTCAGCAGCAGCCAGCAGACATTTTATTACATAACACTTAGGTTTCCACCTCGATAAGCATGATCACACTGGGTGATAACGCTGGATCACAGGCAGTACAACTATTTGGCTCACATTACAGGCCAGTCTAATTAGGCCTAGTAATAATCTCATGGCTTCTTTTTCATTCCTAAACGGACAAAGACATTTTGAATTTTCATGTCCAACAGTTGTTGGTAAATAGATGATAACTGTGACCTTTCTATGGCATAATATCACCACTAGAAAGCAAGTAATGTTTAAATGGAATGGGGACATAAGAAATTAGTAAAGGGGCTTTTCCAAAGAACCAATCAAATGAAAGTACTTGGTAAACCTCATGCTGCTCTGAGCTGGATAGACTAACAATCATGTACACAGAAAATATCCTGACTTATACCGTTGCCAATGTAACGGCCGTCCTCTCACAAGAACAACCCCACTGTGTAATATGGTAAATGGGCAAAGCAAGGCAGCTATGTGGTGGCAAATGGCGCCTGACTATGATATTTGATACAGGACAAAAATAGAAGGTACTTTGACATAGTAAACACTGGATCTTTGTTGGAACCATAGGTCTCATTAAACCACTGGTGGTATGATGGATGACTAGTATCTTATGACCTTGTAAATCAGAACTCAGTGGTGCCTGATTCAGCTACAGCGTACTCATTTGTAAGCATGGCATGATGCTGTGTCATAAAAGTTAGATATACATTTTTTGTCTTGTTCTTAAAAAGCAAGAAAAATAAGTCTAATTTCAATTACACAATTCATTCAGTCTGCTATCCTTAAAAAGCCACTGAAAATGACCTCCTGATTTGGGTCATTGAAAGCTAATGGGCAATGCCACAGTACGCTATGAATAGCCAGCGAGCAGCTCTGCATTACAACAGCTTACTGTACAGTGGGGGACAGGATGATCCCTGTAAGAGTCAACTCACATCAAACAAGCCAAGACAGCCTTATGCCTTCCCAAAGCACTGTATACTACACTCGGTGCCAATGTAATAACTACGTAAATGGTAAATACATAGTATTACTATACACTGAGTGTATAAAACATTTGGAACACCTCCCTAATATTGAGTTGCACCCTCAGAACAGCCTCAATTCTTCGGGGCATGGACTCTACAAGGTATTGAAAGCATTCCCACACGGATGCTGGCCCATGTTGACTACAACTCTTCCCACAGTTGTGTCAAATTGGCTGGACGTCCTTTGGGTGGTGGACCATTCTTGATACACATGGGAAACTGTTGA